CTGGCACAGGGTCCACGTCCATTTCTAGCTGCGTCATGGTCATACGGGGAGACAGCCCGGGCTCACGGCTGGGCCGCTTGTGCGGAGAGCCTGTTTCTAAGCTTTCAAAGGATCTGGAGCGCTTCATCTTATGGGCCGATGCTGGGACACCTGGGAAAGAAAATGGTGCAACATGATGATGCGGTCTGCACCAGCCAGGCTGACCATCGCAGCAGGCTCGCTTGGCGGGGCTGAGCCATGTGAACCAGGTTGGGTAGGTCAGCTTAGGTGATCGGGAATAGATTACCCCGCCGTGATAGACGACTCGCGGATACTCTTCTAACAGAGGTGAGGGCAGCTATTTGAAGAAATAGTGGGCATATCTGAATTGTTTGTTGAAGGGAAGGACCAACAAGTCGCTGAAGTGTCTACGCAAACCGAGGCATGCGTGCCGAATCCAGCGGCCAGGGCAACAATGATAGCTCAGAGGTTAAGGAGTGTCAATTGGCCCAGTTAGATATACAATAGGTAGACAACTATGGGCTCAGACGCTTAACAGATCGATCACTCTGACTTTCTCCCTTCAACGCCGCTTGGCATCTTCATGCCCCCACCCAAGCTCTCCGTTCGGCAACCTCCTCAACTTCCCCTTATGCGCCACAACCATCATATCCAGAAAAATAACCCCGTCCGGATCCCAGCTCGCCCTCGGATCCCCACTCCCATACTCGTGAAATGACACCAGCCTCGGTCCCACCATCTCCTGTGCACCTCCACCGCCGCCGCGATCCACACCTGCGCCGACCCGGCCATCCGCAGCCCGGCCGCCCGTCGAAGGGAAAGGCCTCGAAGTCGAGGCGGTGCATGCAGTAGCCGTGCTTCCAGCTCGTGTGCGCGCAGATGAGGACGTAGGAGGTGAGGATCGTGCGCCGGGTGGATTCGCCCTGAAGCCACGCCTGCCAGGGCCCGAGGCCGCGGAGGGGCGGTCGCTCCGAACAGGCTCCGGTATTCGTGCTAACCCACATATAAGATATTGTAGACTCGTGGTGTCTCCAACAATCCCCATCGCTCCGTAATACTGCCGCTGCGGCCCCAATGCATCCAGCTCTGGATGAGACAATGGGCGAGCCCTCCATCCTCTGGGCCCGGTTCCTCAACCGACCCTTCGAGCGGTTGTCTATCGGCTAGCACGAGCTTCAGATCCTAAGAGCATTCGAGCCCCTTCTTGGAGCATCGCTCGCAACAGGGAAGCTGAACGACGCATCGGCGTTTGGCTCTGGCGCAGTTTCGGCATGCCCTGCGAAGAGCTGGGGTCGCCGGGCTTACCATGGTCGGCGATAAGGGTTTAGTAAAGGTGCAAGGGGAAATAATACCAGCTTACGTTTGAACTTGAGCTGCGGGAACTTTACCCCTTACGGAGTATGTGGGGGTTTCTCGACCGACCCGGAGTTTGGGGGTTTAAGGCTTGGGCCGAGGAAAACCCTTAATAAGCTCATCCAATGAGGATTGTGCAGGCTGATAGGCTTCATGTGTTTCAAACTTTATCAGCGTGTGCCTCGGCAGCACCCGTCTGTGAAACTCCTAGGAAGTATGCAACTGACTAAGGATAGCGTCAACTGTATATAGAAGGAAGCTGCATTGGAGGAAGTCTGCCCTCCTTCCACGATGCACACTGGGACTTGTAGAGACACTGGGCGGTTACGGCAATTCCGCGATCGATTAGCCTAACCCTAACCTTAACCCTAACCTTAACGGCAAAGCTTTTTGAAAACAGTTACACACGATGATGAAGTAGACTTATTGCACTCACCTATGCCGGGGAAATGACATTGATCTAGGAATCAGCATCTATTATACTATAAGCATATATTCATTGACCCTTGACAAGTGTTCCTATTATATGTAGCCGACAAGATCATTACATGTCCACCATATTCCCAATCTCCGGCCGGCCGTTCACTCCACCCACTAGTGAAGATACTCAAACTTCCTACCGAGGACTCGAGCACGGAAGTTCTCGAACTTGCCGCATCGGTCTTTTCTGCTCGTCGAGTCACACCACTCCATAACCATGTTAGATCGCGGGTGGACTGCGAGGAGCTTTTGCTTCTTCGTGGCTGACAATTGTTTCAGGGTGCCGTCGGACAGTGCAACCCTCGCCTCTCAGAGTAAGGTATGCTTCGATACCGAAGACTGCCAGCCAGAGAACTTGTTTGTCGTACCTCTTTTTGATGACGAGCCCGGGCACTCCATGTTCCGCCAAGGAAAGCATTTCCATATTTACAGTCTGGCGGTTGAGAGGCAACTTAACGCCCAAGGATTGGAGGTATTTCGTCGGATTGGCATGGTAATGACTCTGCATAGGGACTATAATACATTCCATAAGGCGAGGACAATTAGACTGGTATAAGGTAGGTACGTTGTTCTAGTATGTAAGCTACAAGAAGGGTAGCTGATCAAGGAACACCTCGGAAGGCTGCGAATAGCATCTACATGCGTCCTTTCTATGAGGACCTTCCAGCCCACATTTCCAACCTTGTCGACGAAATACGCCGGGATCGGGACTCTCCGAGTCCGGCTTTGGATCAACTCCTTCTAGACACTGATTTGTATGACCTGGAGATGGGAGCAACGAAAGGCGAGGTGAAGAGCTATTGCCTGACCGAGATATTCCCTGATCCAAAATTGTCGGGCAGTCTCAAACTCTGCCTCAGATTGCCCCATGAGCAAACATGTCATTCCCAGTACCGGACCGCAATTCCGAGCGAGCAACCCGGTACCCGACATGCTCTATGGGTATAATCGCACCGCCTTCCGGCAGCAGCAGGCTCAACTCATCGCCATGGGGGTAGACCCCGTCGCGAATGACCAAGGCTTGGTGTATCCATTCTTCGTCATCGAGTTCAAATGTGATGGGCCTTCCGGAGGCGAAACAATGTGGGTCACGACGAATCGATGCTTCGGCGGTGCCGCCTCATGTGTAAAGGTTGTCGAGCGCCTTGGCGATCAATTGAGAAAGTGTCAGGGTGATAAGATCCGGCGGATGTCGATTGACAGCGCAGTGTTCTCCGTCGCTATAAGTGGCACGGAGGCGCGGCTCTACGTCTCGTGGAAGCACGAGTCGAAGTTACTACATGCGGAAAATCGACAGTTTTCTTCTCCAGAAATCCGAAGACTACCTTGAATTCTGCAAGTTCGTCCGGAACATCATCGATTGGGGGGAGGGCAAATGGCTGAAACAGATTCGGGACTCCTTGGATGCCCTTGCGGAAGAGAGTAGGAAGAGAGCCGAGAGAGCCTCAGAAGACGAAGCTGTGTTGGCAGTGGGATGAGAGAATGATTGTGCAGTTTCTTGCGAATCCTGACGGATCCATCACTTGGTCATGGATGATACGGTTCCATAAGGGGTGGCTTTATGGTCTTAGCGAATCAAGGCGGTCGACGGCCCTTATCAGGAGTCAAAAGCACACAGATCGGCCCAACCAAACACTGGGAGAGTAGTGAGGGTGAGTCGTTTTGTTCCGGCGGCAGGAAGGATGTCTGGACGGAAGCCAAGCATTGAACGTTTATCAAGTGTGATGTCAGATCAATTGACATGTTGCTAGTAATTAGCAGTTAATTTCCTTCAGATCCAGGCTACATCAATTGATCCACCGTTTCGGGCGTCAGGGTCGTTCATCTGCCAACATTCTTTTAAACCTCTCGACCGTGCTGATATTACACTCTACCTCAACTTGATCGTATACAGATGCAGTACGCGTACATACGGAAGTACGTAGGTCTGCTTCATATGGACATAATCTACACAGCTGGTTGGTAATGGGGTGGACGAAGCACTTCGGACACAGCTGTGCTGGCATGCTCCTATTTCTCATAGGTCATAGGTGCCCATGGAGGAAACTGGCGCTCTGGCTTCCTCCCTGCTTTTGCTCCGTATGTAGATACAATTAACAAGGACTCGTCCAGTCACGACGTAGGAATTGCCAACCTCAGCTCCAGAGATATCACTATCACTACCCATGCTTCCGAGTTGAGCTTGGCGCTTGGCCAGTTCCCTTTTCCTCTTTTCTATTTTCCCTTTTCCCTTCTTGACTCGTGCAGATTCTGGGCATCTCCACTCTTGGCCAATTTTCTTTGCTGGCCCTGCATATTTTATTCGTACTTGCTACTGTTCTCGCCGGACCCCTGTCAATTGTCCCGTTCAGATGCATGCCGAGCCTGTGTGGCGTGCGCGGGTTATTTCCACCTCGTATATGTATGTAGGTGAGCCAAGGAGAATTACGAAGTGCCAGGCGAATTGTCGAAAACGTGCAACTCTGTCAGGTCCAAGCCCACTGGTCCAGACCTCTCTTATCTCACACACGTATCGTCTTCGGGGCTTCTAGGAGTCAATTGCCCGGCCACCTTTGCTCATGGACGATAGGCGCCTGCGACGCTTGCATTCCAGCACAAGCTGGTATCGAACGAACGATGGCACCGGAACATTGGCACTGACCATGGCGCCCAATTCGGGAAGCCTTGTGCGCCACAGGCCAGGCCAAGAATCATACTTCGCAGGAATCCGCGGAACGATTCATGACCGAACGGGCAGTGGGGGCTTGGGGGCTTGGGGCTCTCCACATTCCGTGCGTGAACTCCCTTCGCGTCGGTCGAAGCAAATGAGCCAAGGGCGCCATGCAGGCAGTGGTAGGACAGAGTTGGAAGTCTTTCTGCAGAGAGAATTGAATTGATCCCGGTTTAATGGACCAGCCTCTTGGGTTCGCGACGTGGCATGGCAGTTCCGGTATATCTACGGCTTGGCCTCCGGTCTGGGCGTTCCCTCTTGCTTCCTGATGGGGATAACTTTTATGTTCGCTCTCGAGTTGTTGCGTCGAGTCCAGGTCATTGGGGTCTCGCTTGTTTCCCTAGCCATACTTAGTCCATTGAGATCCCAAGGGCAGTGACACTCCTCCTAGACAATTCTTCATGACTGAAATATAGCAATACACTTTCGCTATATCGATTCATTCCCTTGAGACACAATGCGGTCCAAGCTCTCCTCCCTCCTCTACCTCTCAGCTCTGGCAGTCACTGCCGCCGCCGATCCAACATGGCCAAACGCCATCGACGATCTCGAGGAGATCATGTACCAAGTCTTCGACTTTAGGGCCCGCAAATTCGCTGATCTCGTCCATCCCTGCGACAACCAAGGTTCCGGAGCCGGCCGCCAAAACGCCGCCGAGTGGCTCCGCACCGGCTTTCACGACATGTCCACGGCGAACACATTCTTCGGCACCGGAGGGCTCGACGGCTCGCTGCAGTACGAGCTGACCAACGGAGAGAATGCCGGCCCCGGCTTCGGTAGGACACTGTCGTTCATGGCGCCGTATTTCAGCAAGAAGACGAGCGTAGCCGATCTGATTGCCCTCGGCGTTTACACTTCCGTGCGGGCTTGCGATGGTCCTGTCATTCCCGTTCGTCACGGCCGCGTAGATGCTACGAGGAAGGGGAGTACAGGTGTGCCTCAGGTCGGCAACTCCGTCTTGACGTTTAAGCAGCAGTTCAGCCGGATGGGCTTCGACGAATTTGAGATGATCCAGCTTGTCGCCTGCGGTCATTCCCTAGGCGGCGTTCACAGTACCGAATTTCCTGCTCTCGTTCCTTCCGGCCAGTTCCCCAACGACCGGGCGCCTCTCGACTCAACTCCCGCCTCGTATGATAACCATATCGTGACGGAGTATCTCGACGACTCTACCGACAACCCTCTTATCAAGGGACCGTCGGTCGGCTTGGGCCACAATTCCGACTTTAAAGTCTTCAGTTCGGACGGCAATGCCACGATGCAGGCCATGGCCGACAACACCGTCTTCCAGAGCACTTGCCAGAATGTCCTGGGACGCATGATTGACGTCGTGCCCAAGAACGTAGTGCTCACGAACCCCGTCCAGCCGTACATGGTTAAGCCGGTTAACCTGCAGCTTCTTTTGAATGCCGGCGGTGCCACTACACTTCAGTGGACTGGATATATCCGCGTTCGCACGACGGAGCTGCCCCTGGCTGATATTCAGAGCCTGACGATTACGTATAAGGACCGAAATGGGGGTTCGAACTGCGGATCTTCAACTTGCTCGAGGACACTGACCGTCAGCGGCATCGGTAGAGGCTTTGACGACTCTTTTGCTGTAGGTTTTTCGATTCATTCCCTCGACATCATCGTAGAAGCTAACGAGAAGCCCCTTTCCAGTTCTTCCCCATCAACACGGCAATCCCCGCCTCCAGCGGCATCTCCTCCTTCACCATCACCATCAACAAGAAAAACGGCGACCAACTTCCCTTCGATAACAACGGAAACGCCTACCCCATGCAAGATGCCGTCGTCCTCCAGAAGCAGCAAACCTGTCTCCTCCAGACCTCCGGCGCTTTCACGCTTACCGCCGCCGTGCGCAACGACGTTGCCGACCAGGCTGTCAGCGCGAAGATTGCGTACAAGACGACGCGCGATACGAGCCCTGTGCCACTGCTGCAGGAGATGACGCTGGCGCTGAGCAAGGGGGATTGTTATGGTGGGTATACCTTCTTTTCGGGGTCGACGACGATTCCTGGGGCGTTGAGCTTCGAGTCGACGGTTGATATTAGTGCTGGGGAGTATACCGAGGCGTTCAGGCGCGTTGATGAGATTGGGGGCTCATGTAGGGAGTTTACTGGAGTGGCGACTTGCTCATCCGCGAATCCGTCGTCATCGTTGTCCTCGTCGAGTTTGGTCGCCTCGACAAGCTCGGAAACTTCAGCTGTCCCCACAAGCGATAGTACATCAGCCGATTCCTCGACCTCTGTCACTGCGAATCCATCGTCCTCATCATCCTCATCACCCTCATCTACTTCGGTCGCTTTGACAAGTTCGGAAGCTTCAGCTGTGCCAACGAGTGATACAACATCAGGAGATCCTTCGACCGCTTCTTCTACCTCGTCTTCTACCTCGCCTTCCACCTCATCTGATGACTCTTCTTCCACTCCTTCTTCTGCCTCTTCCTCTACCTCTGGCTTTTCCTCTGCCTCTTCTTCCGTCTCCTCTACATCTTCTTCTGAGCCTTCCTCTACATCTTCTTCTACGCCTTCCTCTACGTCCTCCTCTGACTCTACCTCTATCTCCTCTTCAGCCTCTTCCTCCTCTACTTCCTCCTCTACTTCCTCCTCTACTTCTGCCTCTCCTTCTTTCTCTACATCTGACTTTTCCTCTGCCTCTTCTTCGACGTCTTCCTCGACGCCTTCCTCTGATTCCTCCTCTCCATCTGCCACCCCCACCCAAACTCTCCCCCACCACCGCCCAACAATAGGCGGCTACACCCTCCTCTCCTGCTGGACCGAAGGCGCCAACAACATCCGCGCCCTCAAAGAAGCCTCCTTCGCCTCCGACGCCATGACCCTCGAATCCTGCATGGCCTTCTGCGCCGGCTACGTATACTGGGGCACCGAATACGGCCGCGAGTGCTTCTGCGGCGACTCCCTCGACGCCACGTCATCCGAGGCGCCGCTTTCCGAGTGCGACATGGTCTGCTCCGGAGACGATTCTCAGTACTGCGGCGCTGGGAATAGGCTGGAGCTTTACTCGACCACGGCGACGGGGGTGCCGACTGCGACTCCGACTCCGGATGACCATTTCCCCAGCCCCATTGGGCCGTATAACCTTGTGGGTTGCTGGAAGGAAGGGGCTAATGGCGTGAGGGCTCTCGACGCGAAGGCTACCGCTTCTCCGGATATGACGCTGGATAAGTGTGCGGAGTTTTGTGATGGTCATAAATACTTTGGTGCCGAGTACGGCAGCGAATGCAAGTCATTTCCCCCCCTTTCTTCCCTCTTTTCTCACACTCTCTCTTGCTAACAATCACTAGGCTTCTGCGGCAACACCCTCCACCAAACCAGCTCCCCAGCCCCCATCTCCAACTGCAACACCCCCTGCCCCGGCAACGCAACACAACACTGCGGCGCCGCCAACCGCCTAACCCTCTACCAACTCCCCGACTACCAGGAACCGCACCATCCCTCCCCCATCGGCCCTTACACCTTCGCGGGGTGCAGGACGGAGCTTGGCCCCGGCGCTAGAGCACTCTCCTCGGCGGCCTTCGCCGATGATGGCATGACGAACGGGATGTGTGCGGGCCTGTGCGAGGGCTATGCGTTTTTCGGGACGGAGTACGCGAGGGAGTGTTTCTGCGGGAATGAACTCGCAGAGGGGAGCGAGGTGGCGGATGTGGGGGATTGCGCGATGGTTTGTGCGGGTGATGGGGGTGAGCTTTGCGGAGGGCCGAATAGGTTGTCGGTGTATTCTTTGGGAGCTGTGTGATTGATATACGGTCTTTCGGTGTGGGAAGTAGCTGAGTGAGTGTGATATATATGGTTTCTGTTCCATAGTTTCTTCAAATAGAATCTCTTTAATTCGTGCGACAGGAATGTCTCTCTCCCTTACTCGCAGTCGACGAGATCAAGACGCACCTATCTTCGCTCTTCACTTCAGTCCAAGTTTCCCATTATCAATAGTTCGTGTATTAAAGTCTAATCATACAAAACAAATAACTCTAAACTCAATCAAACATGGTATACAAAACTGCTGCTTTATAAAGGCGGCAGATCTTCCCTGCAAATAGGGCACTGCAACCTAAACCTCATCCACCCCTCGAGGCACTTACTGTGGAAAACATGCCTACAGGGCGTAACCATGTAGCCCCTCGTTCCCAACACGGCCGCCACACCCGCGGCGCCTCCCTGTCCATCTGAAGACATTGCAGAACCAGAGGTTGTAGCAGCAGCACCCGATGCAGCAGCCGCGGAAGACACGGCAGGCAAGACGGGCAGTTCCAGGATCTCCCGACAAATAGCACAATCCACCGACCGAATCCCATCCGCAGAAGTACCCCCCGTCCCATCCTCCTCTGAAAGCGCCAACGGCAACTTCCCCGCCTCGAGGGAATCCTCCCTCAGCACGGGATGGTAATCCCACGCCTCGGGGGTCCAGCTGGAGGGTATACCAAACCGCGGCCCCAGGACATCCTGGAACGCGAGGATCCACAGCTGGATCCACACCCACAGCGCGAAGACGGCAAAGGTCCTGCGGTCGGGCTGAGCGAGGAGCACGTTATCCTCACGGCAGTAGAAGTAGGCGATGGGCACGAGGCGGAGCAGGGACTGGCCGAGGGTGAAGCGCCAGGAGAGAGCGCGGCGGCTGTTTCGCAGGATGTTGCGGTGGATCTGGGGGATCCAGAGGGAGAGGTAGGCGAAGATGACGATGTTGATGAGGGCCGAGCGGGCGGGGGCGTACCAGGTTATGGAGGCGACGAGGAGGAAGAAGAAACATGAGGTGAGGAGGGCGAGGCGGGCGATGATGGAGGAGAAGGTGATGGGGATGGGTTCTGCGGGGCGGGCCCCGGCGGTGGGGACGGCGGAGGCTGTGTTGGCGATTTCGGCGTCGATGTCTTGGTCAGAAGGGATAATTATCGGGGTCATCTCGGTAGGGGGTTCGGGCGTTTCAGGTCGCCGGGGTAAGAGGGCTTCGCGTTCGGAGGGGTCAGAGTTGCCGGTCATAGCCGGAACAGGGCTAGAGGAGGAGGCACCGCGCGGTGACGACTGGCCGGTACCCGAACTGCTGTCAGTCGCACGTGGGGTAGTCGATCGATCCCGATCCCGATCCCGATCCCGATGCCGCCTCCTGACCCACTCCTGCTGTTGGACCTCAAAGACATGGAAGAGGAACGTGCCGCCAACAAACATGGAGATAAAGGCGGAAAACATAAGCGCCAGAGCCTGTAATGATGACTCGGACGAGAGCATAAAGGCCGTGACGGAGGTGACGACGAGCAGGTCGGCCATGAGCATGATTACCCCAGTATAGAAGCTGACGCGGCCCATGGTGGAGGGCGTGCAAGTCTCGCGCATCTGGCGCTTGAGCAGGAAGGTTTGGCCGATGAAGACGAGAGCATAGGCGAGGAGACAGTTGTTAAGGGAGGCGCGGAAAACTTCAGCTTTGACGCCGATGAGGTGTTGGCCGTCGGCGACGGGATAAACTGGAGGGCCTTTGGTGTCGAGGAAGAAAGCGCAGTCAGGAGAGTAGATGACCGCGGCTAGTTGCAGGGGAGGGACCCCGCGGATGGGGGCGCCGATGGGGTGTTTAAGTTCTTGTTCGATGTCGAAGATGACGGTAGCGATGGACTCCCTTTCGGGGTCGAAGGATGTCATGTCGAGCTTGGTGCGGTCGAGAGGCATGATTTGGGCGTACATGATGTATTCACAGTGAGGGATGGGGTTGTAGAGGTCCACGTCTTCAATATCAGAAGTCCAAGGGATCCTGGCATCAAAAGACAAGTATCTAGATCTCTCCCGTAGCCTCTTCGATATGGTCCTGTTGAGAAGGGCCTGGCTCGAATTGAAGAACTCCGGGCCGGGCGCAAGGTGCGGCAGCGCAAAGATGCCGTCAAACTTCTCGCTCGTCGTCGTGAGGAGCAGTGCACCATGACGCCTCCAGTGAACTCCGTGGAGCCTCATATCCCAGTTCTGTTTCGAACCGGAGGTGTCATCGATGGTGACTTCAGCACGAACCATGTTGGCGCCATAGATAGGATGACGGTCGAAACCCTCGGCGTCGTCGTAACTGGCCGTGTCGCGTAGTCTCACCTTCATGCGGCCTTCGTGCCCGGTGACGTTCCTAGACCATGGAAATTCCGGGCCAGCCCACTCAACGTCGGGCGTGATGGCACTAAGGTTGTAGCTCGTAGCCTCCCTCTTGACGGAGGCATTGCGACGCACCCAGGAACCATGAATGCGACCAGAAGCGTTCTGCCATACAGGTTCGCCCTGGCCAGACAGCCAGAGATCCTCGCCTCCGATGGGTGGTATGGCCGCACGGCTAACACCCAGGCAGTGGTCGCGGAACGTGTCAAAGTCCTCCCAGGCTAGGCCGTCCGCTTTGCGGAAGCCCGTCAAGTTGAGAAACTTCTGCACTGTCGTATTCCCATCTCCATCAGTATCTTCCTTAGGTATCACAGGTGTAAAGTCGCCCCATCTTGTCGAGTTGAGAACATCGAGAGCAGCGAGCTGGCGGTTCAATCGGATAGTGGCAAATTCGGGCGCTGTGATGAGGGCGGCGGGATTCTCGGGGAAGAGGAACAGCCAGCCGAGGAGGACGAGGATGAGTGGGAGGAGGCGGGACTGTTCGCGCCGCTGTTGCTGGACGGTGGTGGTTGTAGGCGGAGGTGGAGTGGTGGGTGGGGGAGTAGCAGTAGCTTGAGCTGTTGTCTCGTTGTCGGGCATTGTCGAGAGCTCTGAGATGCTCGACGGCAGCGGCGGGAATGGTTAAGCTCGGGCACGTGTTCGGGCTCGGCGGGTTGGGATGGGGGTCATAAGGGACTCATGTCGAGCAGGGAAACTGTGGCCAAACTCGAGGTCGCTGGTGACTTTGCGAAGATATTTCGGTCTGGATGGAGTCGAGGGGAGGAGGTGTCGGTCCCCCGGAGGTTGGAGTTTAGGTGTGTTGGTCCGGCGGGCACAACTGTGAATGCTGTTTCCTGCTCTGTCATCGACGTTGAATGATGACTCTGGGTTCCCCAAAATCACGTCACGTGTGGTCATCCCACACGGACTCATCCCACACGGACCCGCGGTCCCACTCAAGCTTCACGCTCATGCATTGCGCTCGCTGGGTCAAAATGGAAGCTTCAAATCTCAGTTCTTTCGCGACTAGTTCCCTCAGAACCATCTGATCCCAAACTAGCCGCAAAAGTGTGCTGCCGCAATTATTAACATATAAACTACGAGGTAGAGACGATGACAGACAACGGCATCGGCGGATCGCGAACTTCCTCCCCAACCTCGCCCGAACTACAAGCGATAACACCCATTGTAGCTACTTTTCGGGTTCCCACGGATGAGATGAGAGACCCTGATGCCCCCAAACGCCTAGCAGACGACCGATGAGCCGCCGCAACATTGAGGTTTATGACTCTCTCTAGGACCCTACATGCTCGGTTTATCAGGACGGCCGGGTTTGGATAAATGAGGAAAGACTAGAAGCTCCCAGGCTACGGATTGTGTTGAGGCTGACTACATACCACCAAACCTTACCTCAAAGTGGGCTTAAAGGAGCTCGGGGACAACATGCCCATTTAGACCTCCATATGGCCATGCGACGACCCCGGATTTCGGATCACGCAGAACTAGTGATGCTCTGGGCCGGAAAGACGAATGATACGCCGGTTTCTCATTGCGTCTAATCCGGAGACAACCCTGTTGCACAGCATCATACAACAAAGAAAACGAGACATATATCACTGCGTTCATCTAAAATAAGGAGCCGCACGTTGGATTTCGTTGCAATAAGCCTAGAGCTTGCGAATTTATAGTTAAAATGTGGTCACCTTACTTGTGCCCGGCATCCCGTAGAGGTCTAGACAGAGCCTGGACCATCGCGGCTGGTTGTGGACATGGAAGAAGCTGTCATTAGGGTCGGTCTCTTGCCTCCCTTCCCAGCGATGCCCAAGCCGGCCTGCCGCTCTCAGGAGTATTTTGTATCAATTGATGTCGATCAGTGATCCAAATTGACCCATGAGCTTGGCGGGATCACCGTAACTGGGAAGGGCGAAATAGGCGTCGATTTGCTGCAATCCTCATAAATTGAAGTTGAAATGGTGATAGTTTTGTCGTATCGTCGCCAATGTTGAGGAGAGCTTGAGCTGTTGCCACCTAATTGGAAGTTATCAATCTTTGAAATTGGGGAAATCAATGCCAGTCCTAGACGGGCCTTGGTTGGTCTTGGTGGCCATTTCCAGTGGGCGGTGCGGGGTAACTGACTTCTGGAATGCCCGAGCCGCGAGCTGCGAGATCAATTGATTGATGCCGCCAACAGGGTGCCACTGCCCCTCTACCTGTCTGGCAGCCTTGCATACACATAACGTAGTTTGGGCCCCAGTGACATTGAACGAGGGAACCGAGGAAACATTAATCAACTGTTCGACGGAAGACGGCTTGGGAGCAATTGAAGCATTGGTGATCGGCTTTCCAGTAGCATCGATATACAAGCTACACAGGCGTCCACTACCGGAGTCGAGCCTCTCTCAAGTTTAAACACTAGCCTCGCCTTTCTCATCCCTTCCCCAACGAGCTCTCTTGGACAAATCTTGCCCGCCTCTCGTCAAACGGACAGCATCCCCACGCGGCTGACTCGAGAGAACAAGCTCCGTGAAGCTTTGCCCAGATTATCTCCAACCTCGTCACTCACCCAATCTTCAAAAGTTCCAGTTTAAGCGCCAGTCACTCTTCACGTCAACAGCTCACCCTTTCAGACGCCATTCAAACACCCACCCTCCCCCAACCTTCAAACCCGCTTCTTTCCCACGATGTCATCCAACAACAACTCCAGCTCGGGCAAGGCCGACGTAAGTGCACACACCCGCCGCCGCCGCTATCAACACATTCACAGTCTCACCGACATCTCTCCTCGTCCTCCATTCCACCGCCTACCCCGTTACTCACCACTAGCACCCTCGACCAGAAACGACCGACATAAGCGGTCTTAAAACTACAAGTTAAAAAGAAACAGTTTCATTAACTCATCCCAATGTAGACCGCCGAGGACTCCCGCGCCGACCTCAACGCCGCAGTCGAGGACCTCCTGAACTCGCTGTCTAACAAGTTTGCCGGCGTATCTAGTGAGATTTTCGCAAAGAGTAAGTTTTCATCAACTTTGGGGTTTCAACTTCTCCCACTTGCCCGGCTTATTCTATTCTTACAATCAGTGGCGGCTATGCATGCTTATCTATATACTTATGTCGTTGCTTGTCATTAGTGGACGAAATGTCTCGTCGCCTCGATAGTCTTGAAGCTGAGCTTCGCGCTGCTAAGGAGAAAGACTCGGGTTCCTCGTCTTCTGCAAAGTAGTGAACGGAACCACAGGTTAAAACCTCATCTGATTCTCCACCCGGCAAGAGAGAATTGGGAAGCGAAGGGCCAGGAGGGTTAAAAAGAAAATTAAAGACGAAGACGGTGTCGGAGTGCTCAATCTGTGTGACGTCGAAATGGAAAGTTATCTGAAGGCTTTTTCCGGGATGATGAATCCGGCGATATGGTAGAGCCTCATCTCGGGAATCACAATGTGTAGATATTCTATCGGTTTGTTTTTCACGTTTGTTCCTAAACTTTGTTTTAATGCGAAGAGTCGCACAGAGATGCGGGTGTGACACTTCATAACCTCGAGGCGACTCTAGCCTTCATGTGCAACGTCCGTCGCGTGTCTACGCTTATCACCTACAGTAGGCCCACATTGATGACCAAGAGCACGACTACACCACGAAGAGCTGTAAGAGACGACCGATTCTAACCTGGAATCCTGCAGTATTGCTTGCATTGATCATGCCATTCTCGAAAGTCGACGAAAATCCAATCAAAGTATCGATCATGCATATAATACATTCATCAGCCCCAACCCCCACCCCTTCACTCATTTACAACTCATCCTTAACATCCTTCTTCTCCTCCTCCGCCTCCTCAACCTTCTTAAACCTTCCAAGAATATTCAGCTTCGTCTTGAGCTCGTCCCGCTTCTGATCCGCCAACCCGCCCTTCTTCAACAAATTCGCCAGCCTCGCCGACTCCTTCTCGACGTACTCCTGGCTCTTCTCAAGCTTCTCCAACACCCGGACGTAGTACGCCGCCGACTTGGCCTTGACGTCCTCCCTCAGCTTCTCGGCCTCCTTCTTCGCCTCGGCCGCGAGCTCCGTCAGCTTCGCCTTGCCCTCCTTGATGTACCGGGCGGCGATGGCATCCAAGGACTCGACGGTGCCGGCGGAGTCGTCGAGGGCGCCGCCCGCGAGACGGTGGGTGCCCGCCTGCTTGTTGATGTACTTGGCGAGGTCCTTCTCGGCGCGGCCGCCGTTGTAGACGACGGATTCGGTCGAGCCCTTGGAGAACCACTTGATCGTGGGGAAGCCGGTCACGCCTTCTTGGGCGCAGGCTTCGCGGGAGCCGTCGGAGTCGCAGTCGACCTTGGCGATGAGGATTTCGGTTTCGGGTTCGAAGGAGACGGCGAGAGCTTCCCAGGTAGGAGCGAGGTTCTTGCAGTCTAGGCACGCAGTTAGCTAGAGTTCAAAAGGACGAGAAGTGGGCCAAAAATGAAACTTACGACCACACCAAGGCGCAGTAAACGCAACGAACACATGCTTATCCTTGCCCACAGCCTCATTAAAGCTCTGATCATGCAACATCTGCACCTTCGAAGGCGGCGTCCACTTCTTCTTAGGCTTCAGCCCCGTCTTCTCCGTAATGAACCCTGCGAGGCTGTCAAGGTCGCGTCCGCCATTATACTCCTCCGGCTCGGCGCTCTTGCCGTCGAACCACTTGAGCGTCGGGAACCCCTGCACGCCGTACTTCTTTCCCAGGGACTTCTCCGCGTCGGCGTCGACCTTGGCGATCTGCACCTTGTCGCTGGCGTGCTCGAAGGCGATCGCCAGCTCCTCATATACGGGCGCAAGGTTCTTGCAGTGGCCGCACCACGGCGCGAAGAATTCGACGAGGGTGGGCTTGCCGCTCTTGTGGACTACTTGGTCGAAGTTTTTGGGGATGAGGTCGAGGACGGCGGATTTGGCGGCTGCGATGGCGACGAGGCCGCTGAGCAGCAGGGTCTTGAGCAGCACCATGGTGTGGTGGGTGTGTCGATGTCAGAGGGTGACGTCGAGCTTCAAATTAACCGGGGAAAGAAGGAAAACAATTGAGTTGAGCGGGTCGGATTCTAATGGAGGAGATGGTGGGTTGGGTGGTGTCCGCAAAGCTCAACTCTGCAGACGAGTAAATTGAGGTCTGTATAGAGCTGTCAATGGGAGCTCGGGTGATGTCTCCTGGAGCAAGGACTTGGTTGAGCTTAGGAATGAAGCGAAGTGTCCTTTCCAGCGCTTACCCCTGAGACAGCGTAGGATTTTGGCAGCTGGTGCCAGGTGTTTAAGGCAACTCGTTGAGCTTCAAAAATTACAAACTAAATTCACGTGGAGATCAATCTGGTGGTCCAAGCTCCCCCGAATATCGGCACCATCAAGAAGAGGAAGACCTGGCCTGGGGCTAGGCAACCCCGCTTCGCCTCTTTGCCTCAAATGTTGGCAACATCGGTTGGGAGATGATCAGTGAATACAAGTCAATGAAAGGGTCCAGCTCGATGTCCACTGTGGCAATGCAACAGGAGATCTCAATTCACTTCTCGGGAGGTGTACGGCTCAACAAGATTGGCGATGCAATGCAGATCCTGGTTAATGAGCGGCGATGATATCTCAGAACAATATCCCACCAAGAATTCGTGTGCCCCATCAAGCAGCATCCATCCTCCTCGGATCATAGAAATGTGCGAAGTAGCAAAATACATTCCTCAGTTGCAATCCGTGAACCAGCTAGTCGACAAATATCATGCAGGCTTCACATGAGGATTCTAGGACCCCAAATGCTTAAAACCTAGCGCCGCAGAATCCTCGATCCGGACATCCTCGGTCCTTCGCCTTTGCACGCCAGGAGGTTGAAACTGGATCGTTAGTAAATTCTAGCCCAAAGAATAATTCAAGAATCAGTAATCCTCAGAGTATAGCAGTAATGGAAGCAAAAACCTTTTGAGCATATCCAAGGACAGTTCAATAAGCCAGCACAGGCGAACACACATCTTAATGTTCAACCGTAGGAGAGCGTAATTGTCCGATGTCGTCCAATTGCAGGCTTCGGTATGGATCTTCTGCGACTGTCATTAGAAATCGTCGGGTCCGGATTCGTTCAAATGGCTACATAAAACATTTTTAGACCCATCACTTTTCTTCGAGAGATCTGGCCAGAGTGCGCAGCTGCCGGGACTTGGCCCCGTTCTGCGCTCTCTTTTTTAACCCCACTTGTGGTGCCCCAGATCCCCAAGACTCGAACCATGCGTCCTCCGCCGGTGTCTCATAAATGACAGGCACAGAGCCTAAACAATCTGACTCTGACTCGGTTCGTATATATCATGAAGTGTATCAAGTCGATTCTTCGTCGCAGATGCAGCAGGACAGCGATGTCACGAACGATGACGAAAGTGTCAAGATGGCTGGGAGTAAGAAGGGTCGAGAGTTAGCATAGCGTAGGATCGGTGAAGGGCCATTAACACTTGGCAGTCCTAATGGCAACCCGCTCCGTTCAGCCATTCCTTGCTAATTTCGAAATGGGTTCCAGCAGTCCCCACCCTTTTTTCCTTGGCCAAGTGTTGCCTAGCAGGACTCGCCGCAGCAAAGAATTTCTCAAGAAAGATCTGCAGCCTCGGTGCGCGATGCACCTCGAAATGAGAAAAGCAAAGACGTTGGGGATGGTCTCGATGAGGATCACAACTTCAGCTTGAGGCGAAGGGTGCTTTCCATACCAACGACTCGACAGCCAGCCGCTTTTTTGCCTGCGCTGTTATTGCTGGAAAGAAGAAGAAAAAGAAGGAAAAAAAAATTGTCTGAGCTTCGGCGCGATGCCCGGCAACGCTTTTGGATGCAACATACCCAGCCAACCCACCATGGCAGATAATAGTGGCCTCGGCGGAACAGCCAGCCGTAGATGCCCCATTCATGCCTAATGAGAACGGCCTGGTCATCGCCCCCGTCAGTACTCCCTGCCGCGTCGTGCTTATTGTCAATGTAATATCCATTTTCCGGTTTGCATCTGCCCATGGCTCATTTATGTTCTATCTTCGTCGAGCCAGTTTCGTTCCGCTCCGTTCGAGGCAATAGACCTTGCCTTGAGATAAGACTCGTACGAAGGAAAAGGGGGTAGGTAAGACGTTAGATGGAAGGGGGTGGTGTCCTTCGTCCGTCGTGGCGTCGACCATTCCAAACCTTAGGACTAATTAAAAATGCTAATGGTTGATGTTGGCAAGAGCCCAAGAATACCCCAGCTTTGAAGTGGTCTCAGAATCAGCCTCGACGACGGGGATGCAGGTCGTGCATCAGTAAGATGATCCCCGAATTCCACCTCGTACTCGTAGTAATAAGTTTGTATAAACCGAGATTCATCCTTTATCATCGCATCGCGGTACGAAGTAATAGATTTTCGTTTCTTCTCGGGTGTAATGGTCCGTAGGGGGGGTGTGCGATTCGAATGAGCTCGCGGTTGCTAGCTGAGAGAGGGTCAGAGGTGGCTCGATGTCCGGTGGTCGGACATTTCCCAAGTCCCCGCAATTCCCCCCTTCGGAGTAGCTCGGATGAAAGTTCTTTGTGGGTGGGCAACACGTCGGCAGAGTGGTGCTCTCTCGATCCTTATCTTGTCCTTCATTTCAGGCGGCGGCGGCAGGGAAGGAAAAAAGAATAGAGTGTAGCGTTAAATGTGTTTCGGCCGGGGAGGTTCCTTTTTTCATCCAGCCATTTTGCGACGATTTTGTCGATTTGTCGATTTGACTAATTCGGTTTACAAACCCCAACCGCTGTGGTGCAGTCGACTCCACATCCGACCCCGGACAGCAAGCGCCTTTCAATATTCAGATTCCCTTCATGCGACGTAGATTCTATTGTAATGTCGGATTTCGCATGGGAGAAACTAAGAAAGTGCGCACTTTGATAGTAAGCGATCTATTCTAGCCTCACAAGATGGGGGAGAACTTACCATCAAATTATCCATGCCACGTACTTCGTACGTCCCCTTGTCACCCCGGCGCGTTCCCGCCCTCATATTGCAGATGAGCGCATTTGAAGCATTTCCCAGGATTATATCGTTTGTATCCGGGAATCGCTAAAGATACAATTCGCGAGGGTTCGGTTGAGGATATCGAGATCGCACAGTAAACAGGCTGGAAGCTGTTGGACCACCGAAGACGGAAACTACTTTCTAAACTGCCAGCACATTCCCCGCCTTCATGGGATCCTCCAGACTATTATATAGCCATCTATGCCCAGAAATCCTTCTCTCTTCCCTTATCTGTTATCTACATATAGCCTGGAGCGTCGCGTATTCTCGGCATAAGTGGACGTGTGTGGTATTGATGGGTGTACTTATACGAATGGGGACTGCTGCCATGTGAGGGCAACCGACGTCAATCAAGTCTGTGCTAACTAACCACATGCTAAAAAAATTTGACGATAGATAATACCCCTAACACCCTTGAAGCGCATTCAGTAGAAGGAGCGATGAAGTCACGATGTAAATAGAATTACTCTTTTCGTCGCCCCAGCAGGAAGGTTGGGCTGGGGAATTTGGGGCAACACCATCCATCATCGTCCGCCCTTCCGCCCGTCGGTGGTTCGCCAAATCTTTTTAGTTTTCCTTAATTCTTATTGGCGAATTCCTTATCTCTGGAATTATCGATCCCACCCGGTCCAACTTCCCTTGTCCCTTCCCTGCATGAGCCGCAGCAACTTTGTGGGGTCCCCCCTACAGGCGTGTAAATATCTAGACTAACCCCCCTCCCGATCTACGGGGGGGCGTGGTAGTGGGAAGAAAATGTGGGAAAAACCCGAGAGGAAGGAAGCCCAAAGGCCCACTATAACCTTCCAGATGTAAAGCAGGGGCTCTGATTCGACGAAGCGTACGAAAGAAGTAAAATCGCTCAGAGAACTGGGACATGCGATTCCGACTTTTTCCTAACCCACCCAAAAGAGTCCACGAAAAAGAATCGGAAGCCAAGCTGGCCCTCTTTGAAGACCCCACCATTGTCCCGGATCATCACACCGAAGGTCGGCAAGGGGTTCTCCAATCGAGAAAGGACTCGTACTACCCGATTTTGGGGCTCGGTGGTTGGTGGGCTGGTATTGTTTGAAGTCGAAATTAGTCAATTATATCTGCCAAGCGCTCGCTTTTTCCTGCCATAGGCCACCAAATCAATCTTTTTGTTGGCCCAAACCTGCATAACAAAATGGCGGAGATGGGGCTCTCTTTTGCCGTCCGACATTTCGATGCGACTCCGCTAGCTTCATGTCAGTCCTTGATGGAGCCATGAGTTCTTATTACAGCAAACTACCGACAACGGCTACCCCTTGCCCATCTCGTCGCAGAAGTGGATGCTAGCAAAAGCCTTGGACGAATTGTTATGAATTGGTTCGTAAATACGAAGGGTGGTGTTTTTGCTTGCTCCTCATACGCATACAGGGGCGGTAATTTGGATACGTGGACTGAAGGCGTGTGCGAAGGAAGAGAATGACTGAAGAGATGATGATTCTGAGGTTGGGCATCCATATCAAATCAATCATCGATGAGAGCACACTTACACAGCCAGAGTTTGGGCTCTCCCACGCGTCTCCTTTCCTATTTGGAAACTCTTGTCACGAAATGTTTGCTTTTCTCTGCTCACCAGTTTTATCCAAGTGCTTCAGCATATTGTCATCAAAGTTAGTCAAGCCCACAGCGCAGGACAGAGTGTGTCAGGGCCTGCACGTTGTACAGGATGCATGCACTCCGGATAGCTGGGCTTGCCAGAGAGCACTCTAACGCTGTAAGAGGGGGCTGTGGTGCTACACTCCCATGCTACGAAGAGTAATAGAGCGCACCAATCCCACCGATAGCGGGGGGTGTAGTGTACACATCTCTAAATAAAAAGAGACAGCCGAACAGCCTCCATTTGGCCCTGGCAGTTGATGTACCGATGACGTACGTGCACATGCGAACCACTGCCCAGTTAGGAAAGATATCGGAAGACGGGGAGTGCGCGAAAAGTGGTTATATTAGCTGTATTACCTGAAAGTATAAAGTGGCTCTATAGAACTAGCAGAAGTAGTAATGCTCATGGGCAAAGTGAGCCAGAGTGGGTAAAAAGGGCAGCAACAATAGATGGACGAAAGCGAGACGAGGGGAGTGAGTCAGTGACAATGGGGCGTGGCTGCAGCAAAGTGATCCTCCCCCAGGCTTCCCTAGCCAAGCCCGGAAAAGTTCAATGTTACAGGGAGCACACGCTACGCAGCGCAAGCAGCGACTATCATCTGCAGGGAATCAACCCATCCAAAAGGCAAAGCTCCGATTTTATCTCCGCATTGCCGCAGCCTGGAAACGGACATGAGGACCGCCAGCGAGTAGAAAGAAGGGCTTTTAAAAGCCTTGTACTAATAACTTGCTGTCATGATGCTTGCTATCCTCAGACCCTTGGCCTTGGACGAATGAAATCGCTCCTTTTCTATTTTTGATTTTTTTTCCCTCGTCTCCGTCCCAGCCCAATCTGCATCGCTTCTTGTCTCGCTCCAGATTACTTTTTTGTCTGCCCTCGGAGGAAACAGCCCACGTCGCCGTCGCTTCAAAACACGACACAGGCACACCACCCCGCCAAACACTCAAACACTCCTGCTCGACAAAGGAACGGGGCTGACGGAAAACTGCTAATCATCCACGGCACTTCCCTGCAGAGCAACACCACGATCGGCCCATTGACAGGTGCATTTTCCGGCTTGTTCATAATATTTACTAGTCACAGCTTTTTTCTTGATATCGAAAGGACATTGAAGCTGCGTCCTTTTCTTCAAGTTTCCTGATGGGAAAACTAATTGATCCAATCAATATCGTTGTAGTATAATGACCCCCCTGCTCTTCGAGCCTTCTTTTTTCTCAGTTCGCCTGGCCGACATTGGACTAGGTCCTTTTTAGTGGGGGTTTAATAAATTTTTGTCCCCCAAAAACAAGGTCGCTTTTTTGGACAGTCGCAAACCCATCATGGCGGGGCCGAAGACCTCAGGTTTTCTGATTCGCCTCCGCGTTAGCATTTCCAAAGAGGAGGACCAGACGCCGCCCCAGACAGATACACTCACACACTTCGCACACACAATTCATTCTGGTAATAATTTCTTCACTCTGAGAGACCGACGTTTGCGCCGATGTGGATTTTTAGTTTTTTCGCCCCTCCCGCCCACACCCCCTCCCTGTCTCATCCACCCCTCCCCTACCAGGAGCTTATCTCCAGCCCACTATGAAAGTAAACGGCCTAGTGTAGTCCCTTGCTCCTCCGTAGACGGCGCGCCGTGTTGCCCTCCCGCGGCATGGGCGTGGGTAGGAGAGAACAAGTCTTTAGTCCCTGTTTCGTAGTTCGATTCAGTCTGGAGAGTCCATCATGAGGTATAAAGAGATCTTCTCCCCTCCCATCTCCTCCTCCTCTTCGCCTCTTCCGCTTCACTTCTTCCTCATCCACAAAAGTCTTCTGCTCTTTTCTCGATTTGATACCCACCCCACATCCTCTACTTTCGGAGACCAAAAGAAGCTTTCTTGGCAGAAGCGAAAACATCTTCCTTCCAAGCCTCCCTCCACCAGCTATTAATACATCCTGATTCGAGCCTCTCGACTCTTCCCCTCTAACAACCAAACCGTATTCAATATGTGTGTGCCCACTTCTGCATATGAGCCCGCGGCCGTGCCCGCCATTCCTGCCGAGCCCGAGTTCCAGCAGGCTTACAATGGTATGGCATTCTCCCCTCTCGCCTGGTCCCGAGTTTCACCTAGAAGTAGAAGGAAGGGGGCAATATAAGGAGATCAGGGAATTAACAATTTGGCTTTCCTAAATATAGAGCTCGCGAGCACCCTCGAGAACTCCACCCTCTTCGAACAGCACCCCGAGTACCGTGTCGCGCTAAAGGTCGCCTCCATCCCCGAGCGTGTCATCCAGTTCCGTGTCGTCTGGGAGGACGATAACGGCGTTCTCCAGGTCAACCGCGGCTACCGTGTTCAGTTCAACTCTGCCCTTGGTCCTTACAAGGGTGGTCTCCGATTCCATCCCACCGTCAACTTGTCCATGTGAGTTGCCATCGAAGACTCCCGATACCTCACAGACTTAGAGTTTCGCTGGCTGACCGTGTTTTTATGTAACAGTCTCAAGTTCCTTGGTTTTGAGCAGATCTTCAAGAATGCCCTCACTGGCTGTAAGTGTCAACCTGCAATCGACTGTTTTTGAATACATGGGTTTTTGGCGAGAAAAATTATTTTCTGTGAAATCTCATGACTTGGAGACATGAGGCTAATGGTGGCGATCCAACAGTGAACATGGGTGGTGGTAAGGGTGGTGCCGATTTCGACCCCAAGGGCAAGAGCGACAGCGAGATCCGACGATTCTGCGTTGCCTTCATGCACGAGCTCAGCAAGCACATTGGTGCTGATACCGACGTTCCCGCTGGTGATATTGGTGTTGGTGGCCGAGAAATTGGCTACCTCTTCGGCTGCTACCGCAGGGAGCGCAACCGATTCGAAGGTGTCCTCACCGGCAAGGGTCTTACCTGGGGTGGTTCTCTGATCCGACCTGGTAAGTTGTCAAAAGAAAATCCATGTGAAATCCAGTCAACTAACAATTTTTCTCTCTACAGAGGCTACTGGCTACGGTCTCGTCTACTACGTCGACCTCATGCTCGAGCACCTTGGTAAGGGCTCCATGGCCGGCAAGCGCGTCGCCATCTCCGGCTCCGGTAACGTCGCCCAGTACGCCGCCCTCAAGTGCCTCGAGCTCGGCGCCACCGTCCTCTCCCTCTCCGACTCCAAGGGTACCGTCATCATCGACGGCGAGGGATCCTTCACCGAGGAAGATATCCACACCATCATCGCGCTCAAGGCGGATCGCCGCCCCATCGTCGAGTTCGAGTCCAACGGCAGGACCAAGTACATCGCTGGCGTCCGCCCCTGGACCCACGTCGGCAAGGTCGACATCGCCCTCCCCTGCGCCACCCAGAACGAGGTCAGCAAGGAGGAGGCCGTCCACTTGATCGAGAACGGCTGCTACATCCTCGCCGAGGGCTCCAACATGGGATCCACCCAGGAGGCCATCGACGTTTTCGAGGCTCACCGTGCCGAGAACGGGCCCAACGCCCTCTGGTACGCCCCCGGAAAGGCCGCTAACTGCGGTGGTGTCGCCGTTTCTGGTCTCGAGATGGCCCAGAACAGCCGCCGTCTCGCCTGGTCTGCCCAGGAGGTCGACGACAAGCTCAAGACTATCATGAAGAATGCCTTCGATAACGGTGTTGCTACCGCTCAGAAGTACGTCGCCTCCAAGGAGGGCGAGCTCCCCTCGCTCGTCGCCGGTTCCAACATTGCTGGCTTCATCAAGGTCGCTCAGGCCATGCACGACCAGGGTGACTGGTGGGCCAAGAGCGTCCAGTAAATGTATTTCCCCACGATCAAAAAGCTGGGGGCGTGTGGGGAGGATGGCAAGACCCGAGTTAAAATCGGGCCTCGCCAGTTAATGTGACAAGGAAGCAATGTAGGGTTCACGATCAAAACCCTCGCTGCCTGGAGCAGAATGTCGGGTCATCTTCTTGACGATGCAAAGATCATGAAAGTTCCATGACCCATTTTTTTCCTTTTCTTTTCTCTCTGTTTTAACGAATTTGTCATTGGCTTGGGATTCTCATCTTTCCGCTGGATACGCATTTGCTTGGGTTACTTTTCTTTTTGGATGCCTGGTTTTTTCTTTACAAGTGGGTATCTATCTTGTTGTACATAACCTTTGGGAACCGGAGCGGAGTACACTTCATTGGCGGATACCTTAGCGAACATAGAATATTGATTTTATTATTTCAATGATCCCTCTTCTCGTGCAATCTATATTTTGGACAACTAGAAACGTATCACACTTGCGAGGTGTGTAGTGCAGGGTGTTGGCGAAGGCTATATGAGCTCACGAAGTGGGAATTGTCCGCTCGACTTCGCTTAACACACAGATACGAGGGAGGCGTTTGAAAAACAAGGATGAGGTTATATTTCGTGGAATATGGGAGACAAGGCCCTTTCCCGAAAATGTTATCCTGCTGGGGTGAGGAATTTCTTGATCGATGTAATACAAGCCATTATCGTGAGATGCCATTTTTTGATGGCATTGCTGGCTTTCGGCTAGTTCCGAAGGATGACGTACGGGGGTGGGCTTGAGCAGGCAGGGGCCGTCCCGAAGTGGGTTCAGGGACAACTGGAAAAAAGGAGAGGGTTCAACGAAATCAGCGGGTTGATGCGACGGCAGGGCGAAGATCAGATGATGCATGAGCTGAAGTCATGTCCTGGCACGCTTTCGGATCAGGGTCTAAAGGGGCCCTCCAGTGCAGCTTGGTCATTGACGTAGCTCAGGGTATGGGAGCTTATGGGTTCGAGATAAACGATAACGTAGTTTATAAAGTGCGCTGTCTTTATAAAACACACCAAACGTTAATAATTACGCGCCAAAAGTTGACGAGCTGGAAAGGACGGGAGATTTTTATTTACGTCCATGAGACGACAAGCGCTCGTCTCAGACGCCTGGAAGCATGCATCCGCTGGGTTTGCTGTACACTGGCGAGAAACACTGGCGAGAAAGACCGCAAGTCGATCGCAAGCAGACCTTGTAGGTGTACTCCGTAGACGACGCAGTAGCCTGAATTTTCCATATGAAGCATTGGATTGTAGTCGCACCTTTGAAATGATACTGATGATATGGGTCTGATGGGGAAATCAAGGCAGGAGCGTGGGGATCCCACTACCCCGCGTCCTGACGCTATCTAATCTAGGGATTGACTCGGTCAAAACGTAACATGGCCATTTTGTGGGGAGACATGTGGGGATATTGAACGGAGTTTGAGGGCAACGACTTCAAATGATAATCTTCAAGTTCGCCAGTGACTTCATCTTGGTGCGGAAGTCGCCTGGTCCAAGTCTTCAGATCAAGGCAGTAATTTGGGCAGGAGCATTCCACTCGCTATGGCTGTGGGGTGACATTTGTCCTTTAGTCCTCACGCTGTTGCCTCCTGGATTCTACTCCGTAGTTTCATAGGAACTGCGGAGTATGGAGTATGTAAATGAGGAGATTCGTCCAGGAATGAGCCACGACGACAGTCTCGAATCGCTGATTCGGCGTGCGATTAGAGCGGACTTCCCCTCCTCCATCCCCCACGGTGGGGGTGATTTCCTAATGGATGGCAGTAGCACTTTCTATAACTGGTTAACTGGTTAACTGGTTAATATGTATCAAATAAATGCCTGCGATCCGTTCACCGCGAGGAAGGCGGGATGCTCAACGACGCTTGTAACCCGGTACTTCATCAGCCACTCCGAAGCCGTCGTATTTACCCATCCACCTTGATATTTATAAAGAAGAGCCCTTTAATAACTGCTGATCCTTACAAACCAGGGCAATTTTATGCTTCATTGTAGGTCCAACGTGTCTTGGTATCACCCTCGGAACGCCTTCGGAGCGACTGCTGTCTCGTGGTGCTCAAGTCTTGGATAGGGTATGGCTGACAGAGCTCTGATTTGACGATGAGAAGGCCTGACGTGGCCAAAGACGATTTCTCTTCTCTTCCCATTCCCTTCCTTTCCCCATCGGAGATTAGTTCAGCCGTCTCGCTTCCTAGATTAGAATATTCCATAAATAATGTTGGGTGGCACGCAGCGCTCCTCCGTGCAACCAAGGACGATCACTTTCACCTGACAAAGAAGGATTCGAGGCGGTGGCTGGTGGGCCTGCAGGACTCCGCTCCAATGGCCATCATTCCGCCATAGCACACCGCACGGCGACCGGCATGCGGCTCGGCGTGGATAGGGGAGCGAGGTTTGCAATCTATCCCCACGTTTTCCTGCAAGGGATTAAATGTCGTCCTTGGCGGGTCGCCGCTAACCTTCTGCGAGGCAATGCCACTCGGTCTTCGAGGTCTTATGCTTGTGCCGTGTTCTATTCCGCCGCGGTACTGCTCCGCACTCTAGAGCGTGGCGAGACGGCAACGGTGCTACTGCCCGGACGTTTGGTAATTCTTCATCCTATTTTATCAAGGAACTGTAGTCGGGTCGGGCCCCTGCAGGACTCCATTTCCCCAGCCTTATAGTAGGCAAGTGTGACGGGGTATGGATTGATCTTGTTTTCACTGTTTCGGACTCTCCAACTCTCACCCTATGGTCGCACCAATTCTGTCGATCAATCCTATTTTTACTTGATTTTTTTCCTCCATCCATCCATCCTCGGCGTCATGGAGATGTGATCCTAGGAGGCAAAGATGGCGTGGTCGGCGGGCACCAATTCTCAAATTAGTGCAATCCTCCTCATTACTTACCGTCCATCCTCTCAGGCCGCATTGAGTAAACCGACTTCGACGTCTGGTTTTCGCTAACCCTTGTCTCTCGTAGATCTTTCTCGCGCTCTGGATAGGACGAGACTGGCCGATTATCGGAATACTAGACATTGATAAACCTGCATGATGCCCTTGGCAAATCTCTCAAATGGCCAAAAACCCCGGTTGGTATCCCAGCACTGCCAGCCATCAAGGCATCATTAGCGTGGTATGGTCTGCAGTTTGAAGGAGGGAAGGGTTATTACTCGTCGTTCGGACTTGGAACGTCCAGTGGACGTGGGTTGTGAGAAGCTCGTGCCTTCTGCGATTATCGTTAGGTTACATCGGCTGAGTTTCGCTGTTAAGTGCTTCCTTGCATTTTCCTTGGGGGCCCTTGCTACCGCCACAGATGTGGCTTCTTCTTTGCCAAGAATAGAACCTGGGTCCCTCCAGACCGTTGCGCTGCGGGCCAATCATACGTTGGTGTCGAGCCTCGAAACCAAACCTGATATCTTAGCATTCAGCTCGACTCCGGTTGTGCCGAGTCATCCCGTTTTCAGACCAATAACAGGGCCGGCGTCCTGCATAAGCTTCCCTCCAGGAACAGGTGCCCCCCAATCAAGACTTGGACCGGCTGCCTACCGCAATCCCCCCCGATTGACAACTCGCGATACCCGGGTACTGAAAAATCAAGGACTTCCCCTCCCTCAACTGAACTGGATTAAGGTAGAAGGAGGACACTGATGCGGCCTTACCGAGATTGAGACTACTCTCCTCCTGCACCTACGGTTGTATTATTGATGCAGAGCAACACCAGCCCAAAGTCACAACAGCAATTGTACTTGTTCTGTGGAGTTCGTGCAGCATCAAGTGGTTCCTTTTTCAGAAACTTCCTGAAAAAAGAAAATGGATGGTTTAACACGAGCCGTCTCATCCCGTTCCGATGAACCTACTCCACTATGCACAGCCAGCATGAGGCTTCTTCTGCCCCAATTCTCACTCCAATTTCTGCCATCCGCTCCGAGGAAGCTAAAGTTGCGCAACAATTCTTACTCCGTTTGCGTTTCCACAGCCACCCGGAACTAGCGATTCTGAGATACCCGCCCCCCCATGTCAGCAAGCCGAGCGCATCCATCCTTCGTTGGGAAACCCGGCGGCGTAAGCAGCGCCCGTAAGATGAGAGTCATCGGCTGACTGGTAACCAAGAAAATGCCCTCCAAGGCGTCCAACCAACGACCAAGGATGGGCGATATGATATTTCTGCTTCTGATCGATGACCTGTTTCTCCTGTTTCCGTTCGTACTCTCACGGGCCGGTCTCTCCTTTGAGAAAATGAGCCGAGTTTTCGACCGATCAGAGACTTCATGTTTTCTCCAGGAATGACCAACGCCGCACCAGATACAACGATAAGGCACTCGCCTGGAATCTATTTGGGGGGTGAGGGCTTTTCTCAAGCCGACACGCTGGCTGCCTGAAATCCGAAATACGGCGTACATGTGTCGACACTTACACGAGTGTGGCCGTTCAATGGGCGTGGAGGATGTTAAGACCAGGGGCAAGGAGCGGCCTGACCCCCTTTATTCCGCATTCCCTCATCCCCTGGGTTACTTCGTAGCTTCAGCCCTCTTCCTTCCCGCTTAGCCGAACTGTGCCACTACGAAGGAAGTGGTAGAGTATCAAGCGAGAGTAACCGCCACGGTGCCATTCTCCCCCCACCACGAAATGGCACCCCTGCCCGAGTCCCTGGTCTTGTTTTCTCGCTTCTCCCCGAAAGCCATGTTGGGTTTGGGATGCAGGGAGAAGGAATGGAACTTCGTGTTTTCCTGCTGTTAAAATCCGTTCTTAGTCTGGTACGCTACGCTACCCCGATGAGACTGGAAGAAACCATGAGCTCATGGATGCATGTAAGTGTGGAAAGAGAGCGCCAAGCGGCACTGATCGGAGCTGGTGTCCCGTCGTGTTGGCGCGCTGACCACTCAGTGCCGCTCTTTACCTTGTCCTCGACCGGGATGAGGCTGCGATGCTGAGCTGTTTTTCTTGAGACCACCTCCCGATCTCGGATTCGAAGAGTCCTATCGTCCAGCCCTCTTGGGCAAAGGTGGTGGGGGCTGCCAAGGATGGCCCCCTCTCTTTTGTAGTTCCATGTTCTGCATGCGTGGCTGCAGTGTCGTCTTAAAGAAAGGAAAAGAGGATGGTCAACCCGATACTTTCGCCCTGTGCCTGTCTGCAATATATGCGGAAGTACACCATTCAAAATGGTTCCTTGTCTCATGCATCCTGCTGTAATCTATTGGTGCACCCGCTCCCCCCCTGCCGCCGGGTCAGCCACTCGCACTGCCTTCCGCGGCCCCCAAGCTTATTCTTTATTCTGTTTTGGTCTGTATAAGACTTTTGGCGAAAGAGAGAATAGAGTGGAGGGAGGTCTTCTAGCCATTACTCCAGTTGGCTATCTGCTTATTTATGTTACGACTCTTTCCCTTTGTTTTTGTGAAAACGTTTTACGTTATTTCCTCGCTTGCACTGGTGCCCCGTGTTTTATATTGTCTTTACTGCTCTTATAGACCTTACACATCTTTTAGAAAGTAGACATAAGACCTGAAGGCACTGGAGTGGGTTCGTAGCTAGCATCGACCCTGACAGAATGTCGATCTCCCTTCCACCCTGCCCCATGGCGAGCCCTCCTCTCTGCACCGATGTAGATCAAAGCTTCTTTCCCTTGGGCTATGGGGCCAGTGCCCCGAAACCGAACGGATACCGCTCCCGATCCTCTGGCCTGCAGACCCCCGAAGAGCGGCCCCAGTCTCTGGCAGGTTCCAAGGACTGCACGGCACAAGTCCTCGATGAACTAGACGAAGAATTTGAAGAGTTCGAGGAGTTACTTCACCCCGGAGAGAAGACTTTCGAACAAGAGGCCAGCGAGCCACGGCACCCACGCACAAGGCAGCATATACACAGCTATACCGACTCCGGCGATGAAATATACCCGAGGATCTCTAGGCCCGTGGAGCTCATGCGGAATAGCTACGACTACGTCATCATCGGATCCGGATACGGCGGTGCCGTTGCGGCATCGAGACTTGCACGGTCTGTGGGGCCCGACGGCCGAGCGTCCGTTTGCGTGCTGGAGCGGGGAAAGGAGAGGTGGCCCGGTGAGTATCCGGCTGGACCGATTGACGGGCTCAAGAATTTGCACGTTTCCGGGGAGTTTTCGCCCGAGAACGCGCCGGGGGTTCCTGTGGATAGAGGGGACCCAACGGGGATGTATCATCTTATTATGGGGAAGGGAATCAATGCAGTAGTTGGAAATGGTAAGTTTTAGAGCCCAAAAACTCGCATTTAAGCTAGCCGGCGTGTGTGTTGAATGGCATGTTCTTTTTTAAAAATAGGTCTTGGCGGTACGAGTTTGATGAATGCCAATGTGTTCCTTAGAACGGATCACGAAACGCTGCGCTCTCCACCTTGGCCTGAAGAGATTAGAAAGAATCCAGAGTCTCTAGATCAATGTAAGTTCTTCTAGACTTCCTCCCTAACATGCTCGAACATGTTCTAACTTCTGGCGCGTTCCCTCTAGACTACGAGAAGGTCGAGCAGGTCCTCGAACCGACAACCTACCCTGACGATTGGCCTGAACTCTCCAAGGTTAAGCTCTTCGAGCGCCAAGCCGAAGCCATAGGCATGAAGGACAAGTTTCGGCTCGTCCCGCAGACGACTCGCTTCCACAACGGCCCCAACAGCTGCGGTGTCGAAATGAACCCCTCGGCGCTAACGGGCCAAGATGCCACGGGCCTCAACGACGGATCGAAGACGACGACGCTGGTGACGTACCTCGCCGATGCGTGGAACTGGGGAGCCGAGATGTTTTGCGAGTGCGAGGTGCGATACGTCCAGGAGTGCACGGGACCCGAGGGCGGGTACATTGTCTTTTTCGCCTGGCATGGGCGGAAGAGGGATGTGTTTAAGAAGCACTTTCACGGGGATCTGATGTGGGTGCATGCGAAGAAGTGCGTGTTTTTCGGGGCGGGGAGCATTGGGACGACAGAGATTTTGTTGAGGAGCAGGCAGATGGGATTAGAGCTGAGTGAGAGGGTTGGGCAAGGGATGAGCGGGAATGGGGACATGTTAGCTTTTGGGTAAGTGGGCCAAGGCTGAATAGGAACTGGAAGATATCAATGAAATACTAACTGGAATCTAGATACAACACCAACTACGAGGCCAATGCCATTGGCAAGGACTACCCCGATCCATATAATCCCATCGGCCCGACCATCAATTCTATAATCGACAATCGGCATGGCCACTCCAATCCCCTCGATGGCTATGTCATTGAGGAGGGCGCCATTCCAAGTGCCTTGGCGCCTTTCTTGCAGGCGATGCTCGAAACGCAGTCTCATCAGTCTGTGCTCATGGGAGGAGGCGGTCTCCTCGATCAGGTAAAGTCGGGAGCGGCGATACTAGGAAGTTTCGTGTTCGGACAGAGGAGAGCACTGGAGAATACGCAAGTTTACCTTGTCATGTCTCACGACAGTAAGTCCTTTATTCTTGCTCTGTGGTTTTTGACTTCCATGGATAAGCTTACACTATTCTTCACTTTGTAGGCAGTCGAGCGAAATTGACTCTGAAGGACGACAAACCGATCCTGGACTTCCATGGGATTAGCCGCAGAGATCAAGTGAAGAAGATTAACAGGATCCTCGAGAAGGCCACATCGAAAGTCGGGGGTACGTTTGTGCAGAACCCATTTTATGCGCTTATGGGCAAGCAGCAGATTACAGTCCATCCGATCGGGTAAGCCTAGCGGTCTCGTCTATTAGTTCTCGAAGTGCGATTTCTTTTTTGCTGACAAGGGTAGTGGCGCTTGCATGGCTCGCGATGGTACGGGCCTGACTGGTGCTACGAACCACAAGGGCGAGCTCTTCAAGGGCACCGGAAGCGAGACGCACTCGGGCCTTATTGTCATGGATGGCGCCATCATTCCTGCTTCGCTCGGAGTAAACCCGTTGGCCACTATTACAGCACTCGCGGAGCGAAACGTTGATCTCTACGCCGAGAAGCACGGCCTCGTGATACAGGACGACCGAAACGGTATTCTCGACCTCCTAGGAGAACCGGCGCACCCGTTCACCGACACAAAATCAGAACAAGACGAACTTATTGAGCGGCAGGAGATAAAGCAGGTGGCCTCCGTTATTTCGATTGCCAAGGCGATGAGGGCTCCGGGACTGGGCTTCACAGAGGTCATGTCCGGGTTTATACACAGGAACCGACAGGGCACACTTACATCCAACAAGAGGGAGACGTATGAGAGAGCGTACAAAACAGCGAAATCAATGTGTGAGAGCGCGCGCTTCTTCCTCAGTGTGCAGTCCTTTGACACGAAAAGTCTCGTCAGCAGACCGGACCACCCAGCCATGCTCACCGGCACGTTTGTCTGCCCTGTTCTCGAAGGGTCGCCTTTCATGGTGCAGCGTGGAGGGTTTAACCTTCTCGTCGTGGACCAGAAATCATCCTGCACGAGGAACTTGACGTACGACTTTGACATGCGCGGCACGGATCGGCGTCTCCTCCATTTCCACGGGTACAAGGTTGTCGATTCGTCGGTTGGTCTCTCGGTGAAGGAGTTTTGGAAGGCGACGAGCACCCTCTACGTCACCATCACGCGCTGGCCCGAGGGTGCTGCTGCCGATGATCCTCGAGGTTGGCGGAGGGGAGACGTTATTGCCAAAGGTATTCTGAACATTGAACCCGAGGACTTCAGACAACAGCTGCGGACCCTGGCTCCGACGGGAGATACTTTCCTCAAGAAAGCTTGGAGCGTTGGCAGTTTCGTGCACTACTTCAGCCGAACGAGTTTACAGCACTTCCTAGGGCCATTTGCGCCGCTACAATATCCCCTGGCCACATATGACGGCTATATAAACGACACGCCGCCGGATAGGTCGTACGTCATCGTCGCCGACGACCAGGTGAAGACTCGCATGCACATGTGGGAGTCTACGAATCCGGACATACCTACGCGCAACGTCTTCCTCGTCCCAGGAGCGGCCGTCGACCACCAGATCTACGCCTTGCCGACGATCCCGTACAACATGGTCAACTACCTCACTCGAGCGGGCTACCGAGTCTTCGTCTCGGTTCACCGCATCGGGCAGCTTATAGTGGCGCAGAATGATCACACGACGTACGACTGCCGTCTCGACCTGCGCGCATGCATCGATTACATCCGCACCAACCACCCCGAGCCGGCCTCGATCAACCCCGGTAATAAAGTCTACATCCTCGCACACTGCATGGGTAGCGTGGCGCTGTCGGCGGGCATGCTCGAGGGCGACATACCCGCGGAGTGGATCTCGGGCGTGACGTGCTCGCAGGTGTTCATGAACCCGGTCTGGGGGCCGGCGAACATGGCTAAGGCGACGGCCGGGCCCATCCCGCTTGATCGGCTGTACAAGAAGGTTGCAGGGAACTGGTACAACATTACGACCGGGACCGGTGATGCTGTCGTGCAGCGGGTTGCGAACCAGCTTTTGAGATTCTACCCCGATCCCATGAAGGAGGTTTGCAATAATGCAAGCTGCCATCGTAGCTCTCTTGTCTTTGGGCGGTAAGAAACCACCCTCCCGTCCATTGTATTCCTCTTCCTTTTTTTTTTTTTCTTTTTTATTTTGATCCGGCTAACATGCCCGCAGCTGCTGGAACCACCGCAACCTCAACGAAGCAACCCACAGGCAAATCGACCGCTTCTTCGGCGGCGTCAACATGACGCTCATGAACCTCCTCATGCGCCAGGGCCGAGAAGGCCACGTCATGAACCAAGGCTACGAGCACCTCGACACCGCCAAGAACGTCGCCCGGCTGCGCGGCGTGCCGTTTTTGTTCTTCGTCGGCGCGGATAATGCGGTGCTTTCGCAGGCGGCGACGGAGAGGACGTATTCGATCTTGTGTGAGACGTTTGGGATGGACGGGTCTGTGGGAGGAGATGGGGAGGATGGTGCTTCAGTGATGGGGAACAAGGGAGAGGCAAGAGAGGATGCGGACTCTGAGGTCATGTATAGGAGGGTGGTCGTCCCTGGATACGGCCATCTTGATGGATTCATGGGCAAGGATGCGTGGAGGGATGTGTATCCCATGTTGAGGGAGGAGATGGATCGGGTGGTGAGGGGGAGGGAGTATAAGTTCGTTGAGCCGAAGGATAAGTTTTCGAAGATGGTATTTAATGGGGAGTTGTTGTACTAGCTGTTTCGAGGGTTGTCTATGAAGGAAGGAGGGAAGTCTATAGATGATTCTGCTAGATTGATACCACATTCGAAGGGTTCAGATAGACGATGAAAGAATTTCCCTACCTAACAGGCAGTATTCGCAAGGCTGTCTCCGATGTTTGGAATGTGTTTTTTTTTTGGGGGGGGGGGGGGGGGGGGGGGGGGAAGAAAGGAAAAAAAAAAAAAAAAATTAGCAAAACGAGGGTAGTTTGTGTCGAACACGCGCATCCTACGAAAACAGTCCGGGGCGGTTTTCTAGCTTTGTGAGCGCTTGGGTTGGCTAGACCACATCGCATTGGCAAGTGCTTGAGCTGCTCGGCTGGTCGTTTGTCGCCCTAACCTCATATATATAGTATAAATGAGCTAGATTTCTCGGAGGGAGGGAGCCGGGAAGGAGCGAGAGGAGAGGGGGGGTTCAGGTTCCTTCCTCCTCTGTGAGGAGGGAATCTCAACGCTGCGCAAGATCATGGAACACGGGGGCAAAACGGAGTGTTGGGCCCTTGGGTGTATAGAACCCTTTAATCTTGTCCTCGTGCTCAACTAGGCGCCAAGTGGGATTTGATGTCGACAGGTGTGCTTCCTTTCTATAATGCAAAGATCTGTACAGAGGACCACACTGGGTCCGGGCTCTATTCGTACACACCCTCCAAGTCTAATGCTCTACAATATGTTCATGTTCCCTTCGGCTGGTGGTCACACCCTCAAAATCCTCCTCTCAGCATCCAACCCACCGCGAAAATGCTCCAAAATCACATTCCCCCCTTTCACCGTCTCCCTCACGATTCCCTCCACATTCTCCGGTCCTACCCTCCCATACCACACCCCGCACCCAGCAAGCGGATGTTTCCTCCTTGAGCCCACAACCTCGTCTTCGATCGTCGCACCGGGGGGGACGTAGACGATGACGTTTCCGGCGAACTTGTGGCCTCCGATGTGAGAGATTAGGCCTACCCTCGCCGTCATGCGCGCACTATCCCCCTTTGCCGCCTCTGCCGGTTCAGAAGGGGGATGATCATCTTCCACGAGAGAAATGCCGTCCTCGCGGGAGAGCACCCGCCGGAATTCCTCACGAAGGAGAGGCCCCATAACGCCGCAGCGTAGATCGCGTGAGCCGTGACCGCAGATGAGAATCATGACATCGCTAACGGGGACAGAAGGGACCGTGCCTCCAAGGGAAGGGTCGCGCGTTAGATGGGCGCGAGACTCGGGAGGGAGGGAGGCGTGGATTGGGTGGAGGGTTTCGGGGAGGAGGAGGGATTTGGAGAGGTGTGTGAGAGAAGTTGGAGAGGGGGCGATGGAGGGGATGTAAGTGAAGGAAGGGAGGAGGTAAGCTGATGGATTAGGGCCGGGGGATGAGGGGAATGAGGAGGCTAGGAAGGTGATGTTGTGGTAGGGCTGGTAAGGGGGGGGCCATCGGTACGATTTGGTTAGCCTGGGATTCTGCACGGTTCGTTTTTAATGTAACTTGAAGGGGGGGTTTGAAAAAGAAGAGAGTTTATTACATCTGCGAATTTCCCTCCTCGACCAAAGAGCCTCTTAAATCCCCGTAGAACCTCTCCCCCTCGATCCGCCCCTTCATCCTCCTCCACACGACTCGCCCAATCATCTCTCCCCGTACATACGAGGACCTGCTCAACGTAAGGGACAAAAACCCCCGCCAGCTTACTCTTGCGGTCGATTTCTAGATCTGGCGCGGGCGAGCACTCACACGTCGGGGCGGGACATTCTTCTACGGTGGGAAACGTCCGGGTCGAGGATGAGGAGGGTGGTTGCCGTGGTTGGCTACGATGCGTCGTTGTGTGGAAGGAGGCGTATGTAGATGGTTGGAGGAGGCTGCGAGACCGCGGGGAGGGTCTGAGGCGGATGAGAGGCCGTGGGTTCATGATTGGACTTGTTTGAGACGAGATGTCACTTATGAAAAATGACCTGAGATGAAAGAAGTTTGATGAAGACGTTGAAATTTGTCAAGTCTCTTACTAAGCATCCTTTTTTACAGATTTAAACTCGCCTCCAAAATTAACATCGCGACTTCAATTTCCAGCTTCGCCATGCCCACAAGAAAGTTAAGAAAGCGAATTATATGAAACGAAGCGGAGAGAAAATTAATGAAAAAAAAAAGAAAAAAAAAACAATTCAAAAAGAATGGCATGACGTAGACCTGTCATATATTCCATAGCTTCGTTAAGCAGTATACCTAAGGAAACATCAACTGCTACACGACCAGCAATGCCCCTTTCCCGGGGACTTGCAGCCCCTTTTCAAGACCGTCTTCTGAGGATAGGGGCACAATATGCGATCATGAACAACGCCTTCCGTATCCTGGACCTTGACAGGTGTTTGCTCTAGCGCAGTCCCGTTCTCGACCCACGCTCGAAGCTGGTTGAATAGACTGGTCGGCTCTCCGCTTGGTCCTCCAGCACAGTGACCCATTCCAGGGACTTCAAAGTGGCGATAGAAGTCACGCACGTCCGGAGAGAGCGCCGAGACTTTGTTGTAGTACATAGCAGTGCCCTTCGGGGGAAGAAGTTGATCGATCTATCTCGGCGTTAGAGACTTCTCCTCGCATGGTAAAACTGGGGTGTATGACTTGGGGGGACGGGGGGGGGAGGGGAGAATAATCAGTTACTTACAAGACCGTGGGCGGTGACGAGCTTGCCACCAGCTTTCCGAAATGCAGACAAGTCAGGATCATCAGTCCCGATAATGGATCTATACTTCTGGCCACTCTGATGCGCCAGCCGGTCAAACTCAGCATGCGTCAAACCGCCCAAGTCCACCTCCGGACCCCGCGAAACGAACAGCGACAGCCACTCCACGGCAATCGGGAGAGGTACGCCCACGCAGGTCTCCGTGGTACAGTTCGTGATCGCGACGGCGGCTGTTAGGTCCGTACCTGGATTCAGGCCCGGCCAGGTCTGCACGCCCTGCGCGTTCCGCATCCCGCGCCAGGTTGCGTTAACCACGGCAGCCGCGGTTGAGCTAACCTCGAGTGTTCGATTCTCTTGCGAACATTGAATCGTCGAACCAACCAGCTCAAAAGGGTCAAAGCCATCCAGGCAAGCATCAACCTCGCCAATAACACCATCAACAATCCCATCGAGATCGTCACAAAACGAAACGGCAGCATTCGTGATGGCTTCCAGCTCGCAGGCATGAGGATATTCGCCCAACATGTTCATAAACTGCTGCGGCCAGTACATGCTGGGGAAGAAATCCGTCCACTGGATTCCGGGAGCAACGGCCGCGATCCCGTCGTAGGCCGTGGGATACCGCTGAGCTAGCATGAGTCCTTGCCGGCCGCCTTGCGAGCAGCCGTTCCAGTAGGAGAAGTCTGGGCCACGACCATAGTAGGACTTGATAAGGAGCTTGCCGAGAATGGCCTGTGACTTGAATGAGAAAAAACATATTTTCGACCTAAAGAACGAAGAACTTACCTCGTCTTCGAGAGACACTGACGCAAGATTCTGCAGATTATACAGATTCACATTCCCAGGACTCACCAACGCCCAAGGACCCGCATCCTCAGCGCCCCCGAGCCCCGCATCCGTCGTGATCGTCGCGTACCCATCACCTACGGCTCCGCTCATAGCGCTGTACGACGGATCATACCGGCCCGCGACCCAGCCGCCGCCGCCCACGGCCTGAAACCGGCCGTTCCACGCGTCTACGGGGAGCCAAGTTTCAACGATGATGTTGTCGCCCTGCCCGGGGTGGGTATACGAGACGGTGATGTTGCAGAAAGTAGCATTCTGTACTTCGATGGATGGCTGGGTGAACCGCACTGCTGAGGGAACGGAGGCGCTGTGGTTTGTGACGAGGGTCGCTTCGAGAGTGAGTATCTCGGCTCCGAAGAGGGTGAGGTTGCTAAAGGTTGCTGGGATGCAAGCTGCTTCCAACTGTGTCGCCATGGTTTAAGTTGATTACCAGAGCTCTAGAAACAATGTTCATCGGTGAGAAGCTAGCTTTGCGGACTAGGGATGAGACGTGGTATATCCAGGGGATTTAAGTAGTTTCCAGCCGTCCAACTTCTTCCAGCTTAGAGGCGCTGACATCGTGCTCATCTTGCACGCTCCTGGCTATTGTCGTGGGACACTACATGGTAGACGGCATGGACGGACAATACGCTACTACCATGGTGGAGGAGAAGTGCTCGCAACCCTCAAGCTCCTCTTTTAGCCCGGCCGGAGAGCGACTTTGAGGTAGTTCTAATTGGCTCCTGCCCATGCCGTAGGATCCGTGAATCCTTCGGCCGGATCCTCGCCAATATTTACCAAGGGGTGTAGTTCTCGGGCGGAGCTGACACTTACACCAATCATCATCATTTCTGTCACTATCACTATCGTTCTCAACTTCAACTCAAGGTTCAAGATGTTCTCTTTCCTTTCCCCCCGTCTTACTCTAATGATGCCCACAACCAGGATGCGAAATGCTAGATACAAGGTTGCCCGATGCCCGGCCAAGCAAAGAAAGAAAAGAAAAAAAAAAAAAAAAAAAAAAAAAAAAGAAAAGAAAAGAAACCCAAGATCCAGCGTAAGAAAATAACATACACAACGACAGGGGAAGGGAAAAGAAACCGTGGTCTAAAAGAAAAAAGAAAAAAAAAAAAAGGAAATGGCCTTTCTCGACCATGTCAAGTCCCCTCTGGCGACGGGACAGGGAATTCCCAAAACCGTCCAAAATCTCCCAAAAACCCAACACCCATTCTCTAAGTCTCGGCTCTAAGAAGCATTCGTCCGATCAAGTCTATCCACTCTGAATCCATTTCTCCCCATTCTATCTCCCATCACAGTATCCCGGAAGTGTAGGACCAGACGGCGCCCTGGCCCAGCTGATAACTGTCAAGGTAGTCGCGTACACCATAGCCACGAGACCAAACACGCCGAGTACGATGTCCGAGATCTTCCACGCCCGACTCTTCGCTACGGCTCTATAATGCAGCATAGGCTGTGAAAACGTTAGGGCCCCGTTCTGATAGTAAGGGGAGAGAAAAAAGAAAATTGAAAAGGGCACAGTTTTTAACTTACCGGGTAGATGTAAACCAGCGGGATGCACGCAAAGTTCCCCACCAACGCCACAAACTTATCCAAATCATCCGCACCACCCCACGCAATCAACGTACACGCCGTAACAAGGAAGAACCGAAAGATATTCTTCTGCCACTTGATGTAAGGGTTATACTTCCCGCTCTTGGTAAAGAGGGCATTTTCCGAAATCTTGATGGCGGGGAACAGCTGCAGCGGCGTCGAAAGCAGGATGGCGACCGAGTATAAAAACTGCGTGGCGTTGACAAGCTTGCTATCCTGCGGCAGGTTGAGCAGCACGACAGTCTCGGTCTTGGAGCCGTAGGCGGCGTAGGAGACGGCGCCCATGGTCACGAAGAGGGTGGTGATGATGATCATGACGGCGAACATGACGCGGGGGAATTTCTGCGGGTGCTTCATGGATTCCTGGATGGGGATGATGAGGCCGATACCCTCAAAGGTGAAGATGGCCGTGCCGATGAAGAGCGTCCAGTCGTTCTGGTTGAACTGGATAATGTCGGCCACGCCGTTGGCGTTGAGCGTCAGGATGTCGTAGTAGAGGAGGTAGGCGAGCCCGACGAGGATGAAGGCGTCGGCGACGAGGGCGGTGAAGCCGAGCTTGCCGATGTCGCGGAGGAGCGAGAAGGGGAGGAAGATGATCATCTGCAGGATGATGAGCCACGTTATGGGTACGTGGTTCTTGCAGTCCGACACGGCCAAGATGACGGCGCGCAGGTTCTCCGACGTGAAGACGATGTAGGCCGATACGAATCCAATCTGGCTGATAACGATCGAGAATAGAATCAGCTTCCGGAACCACCCGCCGAAGAGAATACCGCCGAGATCACCGAAAGAGCCGTCAATCTTGAGCCGGACAGACACGAGCAGCACGAAGCAGTAGTAGCTCAGGGCTGCAACAAAGAGAAGGACGAGGTTGCTAAAAAGCATGCCGCCGTTGAGGTAGGCCCTGGGGAGGAAGAGCACGCCGGTTCCGACAAACGACTTGAGCAATAATAACGCCGCTCCCATGGGTGAGTTTTTCCCGCTGCCTCCTCTCTCCTTTCTCCTTCTCTTGCGACGCGACGGCGTCAGCAGAGCGCTATCCTCCATCGGTTCCCGATCGGACTCGCTTTCCTCGTCCCCAAAGTAACCGCCATCCTCAGCACCCGAAGAGAAGTACTCCCCGGGGAGCAAAACCTCGTCATCCTCCTCAAGCTCTTCACCGGCAAAGTGACCATACAGCGTCAAAAATTCCAGGAAGCTCGTCGTAAACAGCCTCGGTGGCTGACCACTCGCCTCGCCCGCTTCCTCGCGACCCAACGCGCCCTGCTGATCCTCGGCCGTTCTCCGGATGTAATCGCGCCGGAAGCCTCCGGGGACCTTCATGTTCTTAATATCCAGCACCTCGCTCTCGGGCAACGGCCGTGGTTGCACGAAACTCTGGCTCCTCTGCACTTTACTCCGCGTCTCGGCATCTTGGGTCCACTTGTAGATGCCTCTCGTAATGTCGCCACCTTGTAACCGTAAGCTCGAAAACTCTTCGTCGTCGGCCGAGGCGTCCGCGGCACTATCAGCAGGCTGCTTGCCCTTGGTAGCATGTTGTCCCGAAGATGTATCGGAGGCCGCGTCGGTGGGCTGAACCAGATGTCGCTTGACTACCTCGTGGTCCTCGTAAGCTACGGGACGAGACCTGTTGTCGAACGACCCGTAGTTCGTGGGCGTCGCGGACGGCGGGATGTTGCTGGGAGCGGGGGAGTTCGCTCGTAATGTCGGGTCACCCTGCGCAGCGCGGCTGGATGGTGTACCGAACCTCGGGGGTGACGTTCCAACGGAGTTGGATAACGCCGCCGCGAGGGCCGATACTCCAGGTCCGGACATGCTCGTGCCGGCACCTGCTAAGGGCGCAGGGCCACCTGTTTGCTGTCCGTTTGTATTCGTACCACCATTGTTGCTACCCCGAGGTACGGAGCTATGCGATAACGCAGGAGATGTTCCGAGCGCTGGGACGGGAGACGCTAATCGAGCGATCGAGGAAGCACGAGGGACGGATGACGCTACGCTGGGTGCCAGACCTCTATTAGAAGCAGGAGACGCCGATAAGGGGAAATCCGGCGGTTGTCGGGGTGTGGAAGACATTGCGTCGCGTCACCCGTAGCAAGAGGGCGAGTGTCGAGAAGGAGGAGCGGGGGCGGTTAAAAGAGGTTGAAGAAAAAAAGAAAGCCAGAGCAAGAAGTGAGGCGAAGGAGGGGATAGGATTAAAAAGTCAACACCGGACAAACGAATCACAGGAGAGTTTTGGGAGGGAGGGAGTTGAAAGGCGGTGCAGGTTTGGGGGAATGAAGAACAATTGGAAAGGTCAGAAAGTTAATCGGTTTCGCTGCCTCGCAAAGGGGCGCTAAGAGGGGCGGGTTTTAGTTTTGAGGAGAGATGGTAACTTGGGGGACCTGGACTTAAGCGATCGGCTCTTCCGACCGCAAGCGTAAGAAGTATTATTTTGGAGATAAGGAACCGGGTGGCTAAACTTGAAGGCCTAGCGCAATTGTTGTGTGCGTAGTGGCAGTTGATGAATTAGGTCCGAAATATTAAGACTCCGCCGATCGGCGGGCGGGATTGGCCTCCGAAGACGGCAGAGATCTAGAGTTTAGATGAAAAAAGCACGAGACAATTCAATTGAAGGACAAAGAGTCATGTCGGGCACAAAAAAAGAGAGAGAACGAAGATGACGGATTTCGTTGAGAAACTTGAGGATACCTTCTCTTTAAGATCGGGCATCGTTACCTTAAAGATCTAAGTCAGCACGAGTACTTTCAATGTTCACTTCTGCCTTGTCCGTGCTTCTTGCTAGGGCAGGGAACCGGACTGGGAAGGTCTCGCTGAGGCTGGCTGGGAACATGAATCGGCACTGAACCTTGGCTTTACCGTGGGGGGCGAGAGCCGCGAGAGGCAGGCACAGGGGAGACCAGAGTGTGAGCTGCGATCGACGAACGAATCAGGGCCCTATCTTTGGTACAAACCTGGTCCAAGTCCCCGCTGATGGTGTTCCGGGTCTGCTGACCAAATCAGTTGCCTCAAATGTCTGCCATACGGAGTACAGGAACCTCATAAAGTAGATTACACTGGTGAGGCTGTAATACCCCGAAGCGCTCGGTACGAAGTACTTCATTCAGGTCTCGGGTCCTTCTCAATTTATACTGCTCCGTGCACTATGACATTATTTCCAGCACAGCAGCACACTGAAATATCTCAGCCAGAATAAGAGCTCGTGCTGCAAATACAGTTTAAGTCTGAGACATTGCATCACACTTTCCGCTGACGAGATGTGTGGATTCGAAGATGGCGAGCATCGACCAAAGTATCCAACCACTTGTAACTACTTGATACAAATACAAGTCTATATTCGGACTAAGTCTGACATCTCTAACAAGAAGTGGCGTCACGCTCCCCTACTTCATCCCTTCTTTTCGTTTTTTTTGTACAGCAAAATGTATAATAATGATACACTGTTTTCAACCCCCTTCGGAATATTCCAAGAACACGGAAAAATTCTCGGCGGGCCGCGTCTTTAATTCGGCAGCCGCTTGAGCAGCTTCTCCTGTATAACCCTAGATGCTACCTCGGCGCCGTGCTGCAATTGTATAGCTCCGATGACGGCATGGATGGCTCCGCTGAGAACGACCTGCACGCCTGATCCGGGAAGATTCTCGGGCTGCAGCAGAAGAGTAAGAAGGTTAGCAGTCGTGATTTGTAGAATGTGACAGTAGCCGATATATATAAGTTCCTCTTGGAAACGGAGAGGAGTGCCGAGAAGAAAGGGGGATCGCCAACTCACCAGTCTGGGCTTCCACCGTAACACCTTGAGCAGCCCAACCTCCATTCCAAGCTTGTGTAGGGCCTCCCGTGATATAACGTCATGAGGCTGCTTCACGGCAAAGTTCTCCAGGCCCGCCAGAGACGGGTGCTCGAACGGCTGGCGTCCAAACGAATCGGCGGGCGCCTGTGGCGGCTGCGACGAGATGATGTTCTTTGTAACCTCGAGAACAATGGCTTGCTTGCCTAATCGAGGGAGAAAAAGAAATAAGGCGTTAGCGAAATGGATCCCTCTCTCACATTCATGATGACCTTTCAAAGGCTCCCCAAACCAGACGAGAGTGCAGAGAAGGAGAGATTCCCTTACCAATATACGCCAAGCGATCATTAAACCCTCTCCTCCCCTGATCAAAACTCTTATGCGTAACCGCCAACCACTTCAACTCATCCGGCAACATCCCCGGCCCCTGCGGTCCCAAAAACCTCTCGTAGAACTGATCCAGCACCTCCGGATCCTCGTTCGTCTTCCACACAGACCTCTTTGGGTTCTTCGGCCGCTGCATCGAGACGGGCGCCTTCATCGCCGGCGGCGTGTACGACCACCTCGGCTTTCCCTCCACGTTGTTAGCTGAGGGGGGAGGAGCGGTGGCCGCGTCGGCTGCCTTCTCCGCCTGGGCCGCGAACTCGTCGAACTTGGTCGTTTGGTTCAGCTGGGCGGGCGTCGAGGATAGCCATCGCGTCGTGGAGGGTCGGAGGATGCGGGTGGGTAGGGTGGCGCTGGGGGCTAGGCCGAGTCGTCGTGCGGCGCGACAGACCGTTCGCGCGCCTCCTGACGCCATTTCGGTGCAAGCGGAATGCTTTCTGATGGATGGGTTCGCGGATTAGTGAAGGGCCTCCAGGGATCGCTAAGGTCTGTTTTCGCGCAAGTCGTGTGATCCCTGGCTTTTGGTGAAGAAACTTGAAGGAAGTTGAATTGAAGCTTAGAGCAACTTTTTAGGTGGGTCCGTAAAATGTGAATGGCGGCCTCTGATTTGCTAAATGGCCCGGGAGACATGAGACCATGAACGCCGTGTCGAATTATCGCATTATACAGTATATGCATTTATTACGATGATACCGAATAGCTTCGTCAAGGACAAGATCAACCTCCAGAAGATATTGGTTTGAGGAAGACCTCCTCGTCTAGGCAAAGAGAAGGGCATCTCACCAAGCTAGTTGTCTTCTCTTCAGTAATACTTGTACAGGTTAAATTAAACTCCTACGCCAGATCCAGAGATACAAACCAAATCGTCCAAATCCCTATGTATAATCCTACATTTTGTAAATCCCCATACTCCAATCATCCGCTAGGTCATCCGTCTAGAGGACAAAGAAACGAAAAATCAAGAATCCTGTTTTTTTGGCTTCTTCCTTACAAGGCCCCCACCCAGCACATTCACCTTCCCCTCCTCACTCCCCACCTCCCTCTTCCTCTTCACCAACCCCGCCAAATTATTCACCACTGCCGTCCCACCACCAGCCCCTTGCCTCGCAGCGACGACAACCTCCTTCTCGCCGGTGACATCGACGCCCCAGCTCGAACCCATACCGACCTCGCCGACCCACCGCCTCGTGCTCCCAACCGCGAGTTCGAGCGTCGAAAAGTCGAGGTGCAGCAGCAGCTCGATGACGCGCTTGTAGCCCTTCTCGTCAAAAAGCCGCTCGCCTCGGCCTTCGGGTGGCCAGTAGTAGTAGGCGCTGGCGATGGGGGTACGCTCGGAGAGGTGGTTGCGCTGGTGGGTCTTTATGCGCGGTGGGCGGGTGGTGATGGGGCCTCGTAGATGCTTCGACTTTTTCTTCGTCTTCTTCTTGGACTCGGTGTTTTTCCTAGGGTTCTTATCATCGGCGGTAGAGGTAGTAGTAGAGGTAATCTTCGTGGGCGAGCTGATATCGTTCTCCCGCTTGGTGGGCGAGAGGGCGACCTTCCGAGGCGTGGAGAACGGTGTCGCCAGCTGCTTTCCCTCCTGAGGAGGCGTAGAAGGACGCCCGCTCTGCTGCGACGCATCTTGAGCGCCAGCAGCCACGGTGCCCGCGGGAGCCTTATAATCCACAGCATCAAACACAATCCACAAGAAGCCCGTCATCCTACCGCTCGAGCATTCCTGCCGAAAGGCCATGGTCTCCCAAAACTGGTCCAGGCTCTTCACGCTCTTCCACGACCCTCCGACCTGGAGGATCGCCGACTTTGACGCCTCCTCGTCCAGCTCGTCTCTGAACCGCGCCTTGGGATCGTCGGGGAATCCCGGTATCAGACACCGAGGCGGCACGTAGTCATATTCACGGCAGTAGTGGGAGATGAGCTCCAGCGGATGTCCCAGCTCCCAATTCTCCGCCACAGAGTGCAAACCACGCGGCAGGAGCGCTTTTGTCTCGTACTTATCTAGACCCGGCACGACAAGGTAGGCTTTGACGCGTTTCCACGGGGCATTGTTGTTTCCGCCGGACGGTGGCTTCTCGACTAGAGGATTCATTGTGCGACACCACCATCGAACGAGACCGCGATCGTCCAGCACGTGCTTGCCTTTGTTGTCGACGCTACCGGGAAATAGATATTGCGACTGAGCGCGGGCGAACAGGCTAACGACGCATTGTAAGTCCTTGCGACGGCGGTTCTCGACGAGGTAGGAGACAAAAGTCGTAGATACATCTCGGATCAGGGACGGCGCGCCCTTGGGGAGGTCGAGTAGGTGCAGGTATCCCGTCGAATCGGCCTTGGAGACGAAAAACGTGCTCGAGTGGGCGGTGGTGAAGATGAATATTTCGAGAGCAAAGACTAGCACCTTTTGCGTTTCCAACTTGGTGCCATTGGCGGGCTCGGAGTTTGGAGTGTGAGGCTTGGTCCGGGGCTTGGCGACGTCGATGGAGAGGGCGAGGAAATGGTTCTCGACGAAGGTCTTGTCGGCGCGGTCTTTGGGAGGGGCGTGGCAGAGGGGATCGGTCTTTGTGGGGGGAGTGGAGAGGTGGTAGATGCCGAAGTTGTAGCCTTTGGGGAGGACTTCGGCGAGGCGGTCGGGGAGAGAGCTCTGGGGAGGATCAGCTATAGCAGAGCTTCGGACTGGTAGTGGGGTCAACATGGTTTGGATTTCGTCTCGGATTGCGGACGGTCGGAGGAGGTGGTTTATTTGGATACGATCGAGGGAGCTGGAGGAGTCATGGGTGAGTGTGGGCCATTTAATTGTTTCGTGTCTCTTCTTTTTCGTCTGTGTCAATGGAAGGGGGAAGGTTTGGAATCTGCAGGATGCAGGCGTGAGACACGAGGTGAGGCGGGATGGATTTCATTGTTGCATTGATCGCATTGATGAAATTTATGTCACCCGCTCGATTCGAGGGGGCTACTGCAGGTTGGGGCGTAAGTTAGGGGCTAAGGTGCTGCAAACTTAGTGGTTTCCCCGTGCTGAGGGCCCAATTGATGCCGATCAGATCAGCATTTCAGCCCCAAGGGTATATGACATCACTCCATCAATACTAAGTGAATATGGGTGAATATCATAGAACCAGTTTCCGTTTCCCACTTGTTTTGCTATCGAGTCCACATCTTAGAAGCCCATTCCGGAATACCGCCGTCGTCTAAGAGACTAGATTTCTAACCCGTCTGCGCCCAAACCCTCTCTCTATCAGACCATCGTCATCTCAGGACCGGTCCAGGTAAGGACTCATCCCATCCATCTTATCTAGAAGAGACCAATTTCCCAACCCCGTGAAACCGCAAGAAAGGACGCGTCCAACCGGACAGGTAGAAGAGACCACTTCTTTCTCGTCCTTCCCCCCTTTCCCAGAAGCCCTAAACCGATTGCCGTAAAGCCCAGCCCCTACTTCCTCACAACATACTGCATATTCACCGGAGTAATAGCCTCGCCTCCTGCCAAAACAGCCATGATATTCCTCATACTCAACTCCTCAAACCCCCTATGCGTATCCACCGTGCCCCCAGCATTATGACAAGTCAGCATGGCCCTATCCCCCGCAAACTTGAGCAACCTCGGGTGCACATGCGGCTCCTCAGCATGAACATCCAGCGCAACAGTGCTCACCGTCCCGTCCTCAAGGGCGTCGGCCAACGCTTCCTCATCAACCAAGCTCCCCCTCGCAACGTTAACGAACCTAGCGCCCTTTTTGAACCAAGCCAAGCTCTCCCTCGTAATGACCTTAGGACCCGAAGGCGTACAGAGCACGATGCAGTCAGACGCGCGAACAAGCGACTCCAGAGTCTCATGGAAGGTAGCGTCAAAAGTCCGTTCGAGAGAGACCGGTTTCCGCACGACGTCGTGGTAGTGGATCTCCATGCCGAAGCCGTGGCGCAGGCGCGATGCCAGCTGCTGGCCGATGTTTCCGAGCCCGATGATGCCGAGGACGTGGCCGCGGAGGTTTCTAGAGATGGCGGTGGCGCGGATGTGGCAGTCTTTGAAGGCTAGGCCGGAGGAGGAGGTTGCGGCGGTCATGCACCAGGGGAGATGGCGGAAGGTGGAGATGATCATGGCGACGCCAAAGTCGGCGACTGCTTCGGCGGCGGCGAGGCCAGAGTTGCAGTATATGATGCCTTTTCAGTTGAGTGTTTTGTTAATAAAGATAGAATATAACGAGTGAAAATAATAATAAAAATAAATAAGTGCCAACGCCAAGGGAATGGACATCTTTTTACCTCTGCTACCCAGAAGCTTTGTATCAGCCCAATCGAACCCCGCCCCAGCACTCGCAAACACCTTCACACTCTCCGGAAGCAACCCGATAAGCTCGGCATCCCACTGTCCCATCTCGCCGCCGGTGCCCCAAAACGGACGAAAGATGGCATCGAAGCGTCCCCACCTCTCCTCCTTGAGGGCCTTGACGAACTCGGGTCTCGCGCGCTCGGGGGTCGAGGGGCGGACGATGTCGCAAGCGGTCGAAAAGGAGGCGTAGGTCTCGAAGTTGTACTTGACGGGGTCGCCGATGTGTAGGACGCGGGGCTTCGCGAGGGGAGCGGAGGAGTGGGAGTATGAGGTGAGGCCGTTGGCAGCGAGGTCGGGGAGGGGAGGGGCTGGAGAGGTGGATCGGGGGGTTCCGGATGGGATTGGGGTGCTTGGGGGCATTGGGGTGTTTGTGGGATCTGCCATGGTGAGAGAAGTGGAAGTAAAAGAAGAAGATAATGAAGAAGCTGAAGGTGAAGATGAAGGTGAGGGCGACGTTGGTCCAATTGAAGCCGTGATGAGGAAGATATGAAGCTGGTGAAGGGATTGAGACAAGAAAGAACGACGTCAGAGGCCGATGCTGAATGTGGCTGGGGAAAAGTGAGAGAAAGAGGAAAGGATCAGTCAGTACGAAGTATCGTGAGATTCAACCTGGAGGGTTCTGCGGCTTCAAAAGTTGAGTTTGTTCAATTGTTGTTTTGTTCCTTTTGCTCTTTTGTTCAATTCTTCCTCGATGTAACTCGGATTTTGGCTCATTCGCAAACGGGGAAGGAGTGCTTCGGCCCGTGGTTTTGGTTCTGGTTCTAGTTCTGGTTCTCGTCTTCGTCGCGGTCTTGGCTGTCGTCTTTATCTTGTTGATCTGTCACAATGGCCGTGGTTTCATCCAGATTTTTTTTTATAAGCTCAAGATTTAAATTCTAGAGAGGGGATGCTTCAATCCCAGCCCAAGCTTAAGTTTTGCATCCAACGACAAACAACATCCTGTCTCGTCTCGTCCAGTCTGTCTCCTCAGTCCTCACCGACTGTTGACGAGATTTCTTGACAATGTGACGCACTGTTTCCGATATAGGCCTCTCCTCTGTTTCCCAATCGACCCGGAGAATAAAACACTTTTGTTGTTCTTGTCTCTTTCACAGCCGGGCATTGACGATGCATGGGTTTTGCTGCCTTCCGGCGTGGACGATGGGATATATTCAATATTATTGAAGGTTCATGCCCAATCTGCCATGCCGAGCGGCATAGGATTGGTTGACTCAAGTTCTCAACCTCTTGAATGACTCAATTCCGTGGGGGCACAATGGGAAGGGATGGGAGGGATGAGAAAGGAGACGAGCGGGAAGCGGAACATGGATTGGATCCGGCATTGAGTGCGCTCGTTCCCGCCTATGGGATTGGGATTTGAGATTTGGGATTTGGGATTTGGGATTGACGCCGGGGCTCAAAAATCTGGTCTTTGGATGGGCAATCGCATCAATATTATCGATTTTTTACCTATGTTATTGGCGGAGGTTCTTGGCTCTCGTTAGATCTTTACCCTTTTTTTTTCTCTTCTTTTCTTTATTCTTCCCATTTCATCTTTCTCAAACCAATTTTCTTATCTTGGTAGGGACTGAGATGGAACCCCTCGAATGACCAGTCCCAACCTGCCGATGTCGCCCATTCTTGGTTGGTTGTTGGTTGGCCCGGCCCTATTTCCGTCTCACCGGCCGGATAAGGAATGGCCGCATTCATCGGCATCATGGATGGGCTACATACGTCCATCTGGCAAACGGCTGCCGGCATGAACCTGAGCTGTTCTCACCGACAATATCGAAACTTTGGAACGGGGAAATAGCAGAACAAACACCGAGAATGAGCATTGAGCATTGACCCTGCTGGTCAGGTCACACGCCCAACTTGACGGGCGCAAGGAGAGGTCTGGGCCTGGACCGGATAAGAACGTGAAGAGCATGAAGGGCATGAAGGACACTTGCAATCCGGTGCGGGATCAGTCTATCCGGGTGCTATTATCACTTGGAATCATGACCCCGTTGTTATTCGTCACGGCCGATTCAAACACACCAAATTCGCCATGCATCTTCCAACATCACCGACGTCGAAAACTTAACAAGTTCAACAGACGCACAATCTCAAAACGAACGGACGCTCTCAATTCCCCAGAGCTACTCACTCAACCATCAAAACGATCGACATTCTCTCTTATCAGCCTTTCTTAATCTTCCCTCTCATCACATAGATCCCACCACAACTCTCCTCCCTCATCCCTCTCAAAAACTAACCGCGACTTCAACAACCGCACATCTACTCAAATAAAAGAAGATGAAGATGAAGAAGAAGAAAAAAATCACTTCTTCAAAACCTCACCAAACTTCCCCTTAAGCACCTTGGCAATGATAACCGGATCCGGCCCCGTCGCCCCAGCCTCCCTCACCTCCTCCCTCGTCGCCTGCACCAGGCCCGTTCCGGGAGCCACCTTGTTCACGAGCTCCGTCACCTTGCCGACGTCCTCGGGCGAGATGGCACCCGCGAAGAAGACGATGACGGGGACCTTGCGCTCGGCGGCGGGGCGGTCGACATTGCTTCCGAGCTTGGACGAGGGTGTGATGGTCTTGACGCCTTGGAGGAGGGGGAGGAGCTCTGCTTCGGCGGCGGCGAGGTTGAAGACGGTGTGGACCACTGGAAAATGATTAGAAAGGGAAAGGGAAAGGGAATAAAGTCGTTTTCAGTCCGAAATGGAAAGATAGAGGAGGGGGAAGGGGATGCTCACCGTCATACTCGGGCAAGAGGGCCGCCTGGATCTTCTGCGAGAGCTCGACCTGGAGCCCGAAGAAGGCGACGGGAATGGGGCTGACAGCGGAGGTGGCGGTGGACATTTTTTGAAGTTGGAAGAGGTTGACTTAAGGTTGTTCGGGTAAGTTTTTCTTTATTTTCTTCTGGAGATTTGAAGTGAAGACTGTCTGCTTTGTTTGGAGTTGGAATATTTCAAGCGAGGTAAGAAGGGGGTTGATTCAGACCTTTATATATGTCTCGGTTCCATCACTTTGAGAAGGTCGGCATCGTTGAGTCCCCGAGTCTTCCTACACGACGGCGGGCTTTCCCCAACGCACTTCCCTCGATGACGCGACCCAATCATCCGCATACTGCATGAAACATACAACCAAAAAAAAAAAAAAAAAAAAAAAAAAAAAAAGGAAAACAGGCAAGGACACACGACATTTCACAGAGATGGGCGCTGGCTGGAGTGTGGTCTGTACCCATTTTCCTCCTTTGGTTGTATCATCGCCGGGCTATTTGTGGGATCTTTTGCTGTCCTGCTGTGCAGGTGGATGACATCCTGCGTCAGCTCGAGACAGCAAAGCTGTTTCCCTGTGAGAGGTGTTTGAAACGATTTCGGTGAGCTGAAGAGTGAACCCCAAACTCCCTGTGTAGAACTCGAGAGTTGCTGCACTTCGCTAATAAGTGAGGCTGACGATGAGCAACTCCCATCTCACAAAAATAAAAATAAAATAAAAAAAAAGTCGGTCAGAATCCATGGCCCTCTTCAGGACGTTCTAGCCCACCATGCTGTCCTCACTTTCCCCTCCTGCCTGTACTCCCATTGCACGATTCGTCAACAAGCCAACGTCATCAGTCGGAGGTTCATGAGTTACCGGGTCAGAAACGAAGGCTATATGGCTGCGCATTGTGCTTGTAAAACCTTTCCAACCCCTGAGGGTTTGACCGGCGTAAGTCACCCGAGGCCGAGCTTTAAGAAATCCTTGGATCTTTTGATTTCCTCCCCTTCGCGTCCTTGCTGAGGAGACACGATGATGGGTCGGACGTAGAGCGGCGGTTCTTCTTTGTGGATTATGTCGTACCGGAGTTTGTTGTGTTGTTCCTGCTCGTGCTCGTGTCCGCCTATTGCTCATCTTTGCGATGTCGGTGACAGCCTCATTTTAACTCGCCTCGTCCAGCTTTCCCTGATCCACCCGCAAGGGCAAACTCCCAAAATAAAGCAAAGTCGTAGATAATCCATGTGTCCTGTAAAGCACGCCATGGGTATCACAGAAAGGGGTTCGGCCTGCAAGGGAAAAAAAAGCCAACAAGGCAGTGGAACATCTCTCTGCCTCACCTCTCTGACGTGTCCCTTCTTATCCCCACTCGTTCTTCTGTTGCGCGCCCGGAGTAAAGATGATTCTGGACGTGATGCAGATCCTGATATTACTTTGTGTGAGATGTAAAATGCATAGCATGCTGAAATACCAAACAAAATGCCTCCTTGCCATCATCGTGTATAACGTTCCCCTCCAAAACAGCCTCATGATCATTAGGAGCAACCATTCCCATTCCTTTGCTCATCCCACCATTCCATTCCTCCTCTGATTCCCAAACACCGAAAAACGTAACATAAACGTACTCGTAGAAACTCTCTGCCCCTCAACTCAACAACGGCGTCTGTTCACCCACCGCACCAAGCTCCCCCTCTCCCCGTTGCTCACTTCCCCTCCTACTACTGCTCCTACTACCACGCTCGCTTCCCAATCCCCGTCCAAACAACTCATGCCAGTATCCCTCCCTATACACCCACCCAGCACAAATCCCCGCCCCAGGCCCCAACAAAGCCGAAACCCCCAACATCACAACAACGACCCTCCACCCCGTCTCGACAAGAAGCCAGTACAACACCGTCAGCCCCGTAAACACGACGTCGATAACAATGAACCCCAACGTCTTCCGCGTCATCATCAGCCGGTCATCCTTCCGCGCAGCAACGTGCCACAGAAGTAGTCCGTGCGAAAGAGCAGAGCAAATCACCGGTGCAGCGTAGACGAGCGCCAAAGACACGCGGTGAGACTCTAGATGGAGAGATTGTACCTCGCGCGTAGACGACGTCTCTTCCAAGACGCGCTTGAAGCGGGGCACGAGGGCCCTCACGGCTCTCCGTATAAGCGTAACGTAAACGGGTGAAAAGAACCAAATCGCCACGGCCACGGGCGAAGCCGTCGTAATCATCAAAATTGACGGCAGGATGAACCCCAGCGCCACGCCCACAGGAATAGCAACAGCCTCCGAATCATCCCTCAAATGCCTCGAATCCTTGCCCAAATCCGGATCCAGCGGACTCACATCGTGCTCCCCATCGCCATGCCGTCTCGCCTCAGCCCTCGCCTTCAGAATCGTCCTCGCGCGGTGGAAAAACGCCGGGATGATAAGCAGCTGCCAAATGAACGCGCCGCCGATAAGGTTAAAAATGAGCATGGGCCCCGTGGGGTAGGCGATGAGCACGTTGGGGAGGTTACAGATGCGCGCGCCCTCGACGATGTACACGGTGAGCAGGCCGGCGACGAAGCTGAGGACCTCGGCCATGACGGCGAAGGCGCGGGCGGAGTCGACGGCGGATTTGAAGAAGCTGACGAGGTAGCAGGCGGGGGGGCCGATGACGGGGAGGCGGCTGAGGGAGGGGAGGCGCGCGTGCGCGTGGCATTGGGAGTAGAGGGCTACGAGGTTGTAGTCGGAGTGGTTGAAGAGGGTTATGGCTGTTGCGATGGCGAGGAGGATGGGAACTATTATTAGGAGGCGGAAGGAGTGTTTTTCGACGGAGGGGCGCCAGCGCCAACGCAAGGGTGTCGTGTCCATGGTTGTGAAGGGGGGTATTTTGTGTATGTGTAGAGAGAACTATTCAATAAAGAATGATTTGTTTGCTCGGTCTACTCTCATAGGTATGGTGAATCTATGAGACTTGAGAGACCGTCGTTGTGGAATATCGTGGCGGATGAGGGGAGTTTGAGTGAAGAGCTGAGGTTGATCTTGAGCATCTTCCTGTCTCGTGAGGTGGAGTGGAGCAGGTCGCTAATTTGGCTGACCAGGTGACCAACTTTTAGCATTTGGCATTTGGACTGGACATTGGACATGCTGCTTCTCGCTGAACCGAGACAAGCATTAACGACAGCTCGCCTGGTCACGAAGTATATTTAAAACAGGCCGCTTTCTCGACTTGTAGATTATCTTCTTTTCTTGCAATCTCCAACGCTGAGATGGACCTGGAGAAAATATCTAATCTTGCAGAATCTCCAAAAATGTCCAGAGCTCCTCACATTTGCACAAGCTGTATGATCGATTATTGGTCCACGCTTCTGCTCTCTCTTCGCTGATTGGAGCAAACTTGCCGATTCGATCTGTGCTTGATAGATTTTGGCTGCCTTCACTGTGGGCGGGCCAGGTATGACGTAGTGTAATAACAGTGGTATCATATCAAGAATATTCCGTTTCCTCTAACGCCCCACGGTTTCCTCACAAAGAACAATGAATGCCCATGGTATCTCCCAACAAAAATCAAACCCAATCCAACGAGAGTAAAACGAAGGGGAACAGCGGAAGAAGGGCGGTTAGTTGCCTTCCCAAAGAAAGACAAAAGAAGACCCATTCATTGTTGTGAACCCCAATGCCAATTCCAGTCCCAGTTTCAAATCCCTGCAAAGAATCCATCCATACCCAGCCATAGGCCTTATCATATTCCTGAGCGCCAACAAGATCGAGTCCGATTATAGCCTGACCCGTCACAAATTATCCAGAGCATCACCAAATCATACCATCATACCATTGTCCCTGCACCCACTCTCACAGCGTCAACGTTATAGTTTGATGTCAGCCACGTCGAGAGAGGCCCCTTCTTCGGCTTTCCATCCCAGTAGGGCTTCCGACATACGGGACAGTCGTAACGATCAATCAGGAACCAAGACGACAGACAGCGAGCGTGGAACCAATGTCCGCAGCTTTTCAGCTTTAAAATCTCGACGTCGCGATCGGGAGCTATTTTGCACTTCTTTTGCAGGCTCCGTGGGAGCCATCTCGTAATCCATAGCATTATGGGCGAGCATCCTCCCTCCTTGGTCGATGTTGGTGGGGTTTGGGTTTCCGCGGCGCTTCCATCTCCTCCGCCTCTTCGAGTTTCGGCCGTTGAGCTCGTTGGCGCGGCCATTATCTCCTTGCTGCTCCCGGATCCATCTGCATCCTGGGTATTGTTTTGGGTGCTACTCCCGGCGACGGGCGGCGCTGGCTCAGTCGTAGCCTCCGTTGTGGCCTCCGCTGTGGCCTCCGTTGCGTCTTCCGTTGTAGCCTTTTCCGTGGAGATATTCTCCGCGGAACTTCCGTTGGCCTCTGCAGTTAGCGGGCCGATGCATATAGGACTAGCAAACGTTTATTAGTAAAGTTCTGGCCCAGAACATTGGGCTTGACAGTGAATCGGTCTCAGAGAGGCCTAAAGTATAATGGACACCGAGTCGTACGCATATCCTCCGGCGGGCGGATGGAGAATGCGGGGAATGAGGGTGGCTTAGTGGGGTTCGGTGATCGAGGAATAACCTTTAGGAAAAGGTCCGGGAATCCTTCGCACGCAGCTCACATGGAAGGGAACGTGGCGAGTGGGAGTTTGGCATGATGTATAACTCAAACTTACCAGTTGCCGGTCCACTCAGAATCGCCTCCACCAAGGTGCCTTTCGGTGTCCTTCCTACACTCGGCAACCGTCGCCAGCTTTCGCCGCGCCTTTCGGAATGCGTTCGGCGATGGGTGGTATTTCCTGTGTTCTCGCCTACGAGCCCAGACAATACAACCTCTAAAAAGTGAAAAATTAGTTAGAATATTGCATCTTTATTTCCCAGGCCCCCTCTCACGAGAGAGTTGGGGGAGGGAGGAAGCTCTCTCGACACATACGCAGGCGCAATGACTGCGAAGAAGATAAAGATGCCCAGGATAATGACACCTATGTGTTCCTTGACCACGCGCGACATGGCGGTCGACCATTCAGGTCGCGCATCGCAACCAAAAACACACTTCCAATAGACCAACTGTTTTTTTCTCTTTCGCTCTCTTATCTGTCTGTTGAGGCCCGTGTTTTACTCCCCACTCGGGACGTTGTGGAGCTCGTTCGGGGGTTTAATGACTCGGTGGTGCGTGCTCAGCGTTCTCGTCGGGGACCCGCCTTCGTCAATGTCACCGCCGGCGCTTGATTACAGTGGAGAGGGGGGTTTGTCGGGTATTTTCTGTAGGAATCTAAAGTGATTCACAACTCGTAGGATCGACAATGCGAAATGAACCGTCGGAGGACGAGGTAAACTTCAAAAAAACAAATGAAGAAAGGTTGCCTATGCTTTCCTGCTTGTGTGTGTGCTCTTGTCAAGGACAAAGAGAAAACCACCTCGATTATTCCAGTGACACCATGTCTTGTCTTTGCAGGGACTCTAGAAGGGTCGGGAATAGGGATTCATGGTAAATTGCGTGGGGAACAATGCGGAGAAAATAAAATGCAACCAAGCGAGGCTGGGGATGGAGAAAGAGAAGAGAGAGGGTGAGGGATCAATAGGGTTGGGCAGGGGACTAGATTTGTCAATGCCACTCACTTGACCTCAATGCATCTTTGCGTACAACTTTACGGCTACATCATGAATCATGAGAAGTGTTCGAGCCACTGACGGGATTGGACAGATGGTGGCGTGGAGGGTGTGAAGGGCGCCTTCCCATGGATTATCATCACGCCATGCATCACAAGCTACCCTCCAATTCGCCTGGCGCCCGCTACCAGTAAACTAAACCACATAGGCAAGGTGCGACCGCAGCCCCAGAAGGAAAGGGTCGAACCTTCCGTCGCCGGCCTTTATCAGGGTTGAAATGCCAAGTTGAGTTTACTTCGTTACTAGCCATGCTGAGAAGGTTCAGTCGGGGGCACGAGGGCCACATGCGTCCTGCATAGACTTTGACCGTTGAGATAATGGACCCTGCTTAAGATCGAACATTGATCAAATCAGAGTTTCCTCGTGAGAACCCCGAGACCCCTATCGCAACGTGGAAACAGGCCTTTTGAATCCCCTAATAATTAAGATATGCTCGACCGGAAAAGAGTTCATCGATTTGGGATGAAACTATGAAACTCATCTGTCGAACCAATCGCCAAGGGATACTAACCCCGTACAACTGTGTTAGCAAAGCGTGGAGGGTTCATGCAACATCACTGTATTCGTGGACTAACAGAATTGCATGGTAAATATCGTTATCCTACAATTGTAATGTGCAACATGTGGGTTAAACGAGATGCAACCTGCAATCGGCAGAGTTAATCCCGCGGACTTGTCATTTTCTTCTTATTCTTACTCTTTTCTTTTCATATTGAAAACTAATACACACAGGAAACTGGGGCTTTAAGTGTCGTGTGCATGTCCGGAAATTTAGACGATGTCGCTCGCCTTCGAGAACCTCATCAATGACGTCAGCAGATGTCGAAGCGGGGGAAACAACGACAACGACAATTTGATGGGTGAGATTGTAATGACGATCGGATGTTGCTTCGTACAGAGAAAGGCACGGTTGTATGAACTAGTTGCGAAAGGATATTGTAAGTCCAATTGTGTAAGGATTGATATTTATCAAATGCTAGCCAACCCTTTTCCCCTTTTTGCGCAGTTATCCGGCTCCTTCGTTAGTAGTTCTTGAGCATTGTCCATATCTGAGAAGGGGCGGCTCCCTTGTTTACGCTAGGGCTGGTTAACAAGATACCATAATATTACCAGAGGTCAGAGCCAAGGGTTGCGCTTTTATAAATCCTCTCTGGTCCATAGGATGAGATCGACACTTGGTCGTTAGGAGATTAGCCACGGTCAATGACGAAGCAACATCACACATCGTTGTACGAATAGTCGTGGCCGTCGACATGGTTACCTTTCCATTTGTGTTGGGAATAAGAGTTCTCATTCGCTTCAAGTTTCTCAAAACAGGGATCCCCTGGGCACGAGATGCCTTCTCGTCTAAACTAGGACCCGTTCAGGTGGTGATATTGGGAGTTCTAGGGGCTCTGTGCTCTCTATCAGCATGGGGTTTGGCGGTAGCGAACTCCATAATACATTCATCGCTGAGCTGATCTTGATGCATCATGAAGTCTGGATTTGGTCTGATAGGGGCAACGCGGCGCGGGGTCTTGTAGAGACATGGGAGAAACTATTAGTAGTCAAAGAAACGGGGGAAACTATCGGCCTTGTCTGAAGTCGTCGTTAATGGCGAACCATCCCCTAATTCCCCTGGTTGGGTGCCGGCGTCACTATAATAAGGGGAAGATTGTCATGTTCATTCCAACTTGGGGACGGAGACGGAACCTGTGCACAGGTATCACATCTGCCCTGATCCTCAACTTTTGCAGGTATAGCGTGAGCAACATAGTTCACGCAGGTCGCCGATCCCGTCTGATTCGCCGCGGGATGCGCTTTGCTCCAGTCATTACAGGCCGAAAGGCTGGTCACAGAGTGGCCGCACCCTCGAAACACCGTCCAGAATTCCTCGCACATGACGCTCGGCTTGGGGGATTCCCTGGCCAGCTACGGTGATATGGTTTTTGTAGAGATGCCGTGTTCTAACTGCAGAATGGTCTACAAGACGTGTCAGCGAACAGGGAGACGACGGTGCGACAGCGTAGACGCCGGGTGAGGGAAGGATTGGCGAAGTTACCAGTTAGGGATATGTTTTCCTCGTGAACGGCGAAGAGTTCGTTTGGGCATCTACTTTCTCAAGTCTACATCGAGCAGTGAACTGCGATTTATACCAACAGAAACGCAGCATCCAGCAAAAAGAATACGATATTCGCGGCCCTGCGTTGATTGAACTATCGATTCACTCTCCTCTATGTGTTTCTCTCGGACTATCTGGGAAGAATGCGTCAATTGTACGGTGTGATGAAGCATAGGTCAAAAGGTGAATTGGAGTAACCCCTAGGAGCTGCCTCTGCGTTGGTGCAGGGTCCAGACAAGGTCAGATCTGTGGCATCACCTCTACTGAATACCTCAATTAGGGCGCGCTTCGGCGGTCTAGTGGCATTGATAAGTGCCATTGAGAAAGCTAGCTGACTTCGGGCTGCCTCACCAGAGGATGCGGGACTCCCAACAATTCAAGATGTAGATTCAATCGAGTTTCATTATTGACAAGACTAATATATATTTCGATCAATCTCGATCGATGTTGGCAGTCACTTTATTCTGCGTTTGTTAGGAATGCGGCTTATCACAATTCAGACGTAAAACTTCAAGGAACCCATGAGTACTGGCATCCTGGTTGGAAGTATCAAATAGCTCAGAGACAGGTAACCCAAGGCAGCGCAGGTCTCTCGGTAAAGTTGTGTAAGTCAAGCTGTCACAACATCAACCGCCAATTTCGACAGCAACTGCCTTGCAATGGATGTGGTTAAGTTCTGACAGCAGCGGTTCCCCATTGAGGCTAGTTCGGCTACCAATATACCGATATCTTCGCCGTGTCCGTGTGGTTTTCGCCGGCATTAGAGCCATCAATCATTCCATTCCAAGACGCTAATGTCACTCTCATATGGTCTGCTTTCAACTCCACAAGAGCGTTTCGCATGCGTCCGTCCTATTAGCTTATCTATCTCGCTCACGAGAGGACACTGCGATAAAAACGAGTCCGTGTCCGTCCCTCTAGTTCGTCGATTGCCTCAAGGCACCTCGTGCACGAACATGCACTAGTTCGCGGCGGCAAATCTAAATGCGCTCCCGAAGTCTCGATAGTGCCGAAGCTACGGCAGGCCCCTCGCTGAGTAACCTTAACACGCCCCCAGACGAAGCTAGTTTTATCGTTGACAAGATCTCTCCACGAGTGTTCTTTTCTTTGCAGTAATACTTTGGATCGATACTCGGGGTTTCCGACTTTTGCCAACGCTTAACCTTGTACCTTACCGAGGGGAATTTCTTGGCGTGCTGACTCGATCCCAAGTTCACCTGTCTTCTGGTAGACTTTGTGCTTGCGAACGCCTGCCGTGTGCGCCTCCCATGCCCCCCACCACCCCAAGATCGGGGCGCTTGGCATCTTGGCGATGATAGAATGGGGAAGGCGGTGTGGCGCAGTGGCGAAAGCAAATTATCACGTGAATATCCTTCTCACAAGGCGAATCCGAAGTTGCTTCCATGGAAGCTTTCAAACATCTGGAGACTCCTTTGCCTTTCTAAACTAATCTACTACCTTATCGGTCCACCTTGCCAAGCCTTCCGTTGCTTCACTGTTTCCCTTCCCTCGTGCCTTCGGTCCAATCGCTGTCGAATGACTCGGAATGGACGAGAGCACAGAGCCGCAGGTTTGTCAATGGCGTGCCCCGGCTTCTCTTGGCAGACCAGGAAAAGTGATGACGTACTCTGTATTCCACGGAAGTCTTGTTTCTTTCTACACTCACGCCGGTCACTCTTGGCGGTTCCTATCTCGAAATCCTTTTGAGGCCCCTGGCACCTGCTGAGTCTTCGGCTTGATGATCTAGTACTCCGTGTTGAAAGTCTGAAGAAGAGCCTCTTTGCGGACCGAACCAATGCTCTCGTGATTTGATGCCAATGCGAGTTTAAACTGGAATTGGACATATGTGCATCACTCCCATCAGGGTTCATTGACTGCGCCTGAGGAGACAAGGATCACCCTGGTGGAATCCGGCTATTTTGACTAGGGCATCCAGCTCTTGGACAATCGCCGTCAATGGGGCTCTTTGCTGCGGGAAACATGGTGGGTCAAGATTATCATCTCCAGCCTTGGCCCGGGGACCGCTTCCCCGATGTACCTTTCCCCCACGGAATGCCCGGAGAGGTACAGACTTTCGTTTGTGAACGCCGTCCCTTGAGATCGGCCCCTCCATCTCCATATACACTCCCATCCCCCTCCCTCGAGTGAATCATCCCGAGATACATTGGATATCTTGCGCCTTCCAAAAGTCTTGGCTCGGCTAAGACCGACGTAAGAGATGTAGAGTACAATCCGAGGATTCAAGTATAAACTTATCACATTCCCCCCTCCTCGTCCAATTCTTTGTGTTCTCTCGTAACTATTCCCATTGGTACACTACTTTGGCAAACTAGATTAGATATCAACCTTTTTCTTGAAGGAATCTAATTTTTTAGTATTCCATTCCGCCCCTTTGCCCACTTTACCCCAGATCAAAATAACACTTCGTACCAAAGTGCACCGAGCCCCCGTCCGATCCTCTCCGGCCTCGTCCGCTCCGCCTACCGGGCCAGACGCTTACAAGATGGCGAAGAAGCAGGACCCTGCGATCGCCGCCCACGTGTCGGGCCAGTCTAATAGGCCCATCTCTGCACCTCCCCATACCTTACCTGTTAGTCAGGTCATCCAAGAGCTCCATACCAACCCAAACGAAGGCCTTACTCCTGCGGAGGCTAAGCAGCGCCTCGAGGAGTATGGCAGGAATGAGTTTGGTGAGGAAAAGGGCGTTCAGCCCCTTAGGATTATAATGGGCCAGTTGGCCAACGCCATGACATTGGTATGTTCTTTTTCCCCTTCTTCTTTTAACTATGTTTTTTCTTCTCCTTTGACTTCGATTTCCCGCCTCCCACTTTTGAGCACGTAGAAGTTTTCGTATGCGCGTTGCCTCTTAGAAGACACACGAGTTAGAGATGTGATATCCTCCAAAGCTAGCTTGTATCATTTGCTTCAATGATGAACTATGGCGAGCCCTCGTTTTATTCTCTGCCATTCCCCTTGCAGTAGCTTACCATGCTCGCCCGCCACATAGGTCCTCATCCTCGCCATGGCCGCCTCCCTTGCTATCAAATCCTGGATTGAAGGTGGTGTTATCGCCGCCGTCATAGTCATCAACGTCACTGTAGGAGCCACCCAAGAGTTCAAAGCCGCCAAGACCATGGACTCCCTACGCTCCCTAAGTTCTCCCACAGCTAGTGCCGTCCGAGGCGGTCAAACTATCGTTGTACCCACTGTCGAGATCATACCTGGCGACATGGTTGATCTCAAGACCGGCGACACTGTCCCCGCCGACGTCCGTCTAATTGAGGCCATCAACTTCGAAACAGACGAGGCTCTCCTCACTGGCGAATCTCTTCCCGTTCGCAAGGACGCCGAGGCTACTTTTGAGGCCGATACGGGCCCCGGTGATCGCCTTAACGTCGCGTATAGTTCATCCACCGTTACGAAGGGCCGTGCCCGCGGTATCGTCTTCGCTACTGGCATGTATACCGAGATTGGCCAGATTGCTGCCGCTCTGCGAGGACACCAGTCGAGGCGCCGACCTGTCAAGAAGAAGGAAGATGGAACGGCTAATATTGGGCGTTATGGAATCGCTTATACCCTTACCGTGTACGATGCTCTTCTTCGCTTCCTTGGCGTCAGTGAGGGAACGCCGCTCCAGAAGAAGCTTTCCAAGTTTGCCATTCTGCTGTTCTTCGTCGCCATCATCTGTGCCATTATCGTGCTGGCTGCCAATAGCTTCTCGTCTAAGCAAGAAGTAGTTATTTACGCCGTCGCGACTGGTGTTTCCATGATTCCTGCGTCTCTCATTGTCGTGCTTACCATTACCATGGCCGCCGGTACTAAGCGGATGGTTGAGCGACATGTCATTGTTCGAAATTTGCGAAGTTTGGAGGCTCTTGGTGCCGTTACCAGTAAGTTTCTTCTCTTTCTCCGCACCCTCCCTTCAAAGATTCTTCAGTCACTAACAAAAGCCCTTTTTGTCTTTCGCAGACATTTGCTCCGATAAGACCGGAACCCTTACCCAAGGTAAAATGGTTGTCCGAAAGGCATGGCTTCCCGGAGTTGGTACCTTCTCCGTGGGCCACTCAAGCCATCCTTTCAACCCAACCGAGGGTGAAATCACCCTTGCCAAGAAGCCCCCCAGGGAAATCAGTATCGCCGAAAAGGAAGATATCATCGACCGGGAGACCGCCACCAAGGATAACGACACCCTTGTCCAATTTCTCAACATCGCCTCCCTCGCCAACACGGCAACGGTCCGCCGCGCTGAAGGCGACGACGACGTCTGGCACGCCCGAGGAGACCCCACCGAAATCGCCATTCAAGTCTTCGCCTCTCGATTCAACTGGAACCGACTGAACATCTCGGGCGAGGGTAACCAGTGGAAGCAAGTCGCCGAGTTCCCCTTCGACTCAGACGTTAAGAAGATGTCCGTCATCTTCAAGGATACAACCTCTAAGCAGCAATGGGTCTTCACCAAGGGCGCCGTCGAGCGCATCATCGACAGCTGTCCCACGATCCGCGTAGGTGACGAGAACCTCCCCATGACCGAGGAGATCAAGGCCGGCATCTTGGAAAACCTCGAGGCGCTGGCCCGTCTCGGGCTCCGCGTGCTTGCGCTCGCTAGTCGCACCGGCATCAGGAAGGTAGACTCCAAGGAGGAACTCGACCGCTCCGAGTTCGAGCATGATCTCATCTTCCGTGGCCTCGTTGGCATTTACGATCCTCCAAGGCCCGAATCCGCTCAGTCTGTGAAAATGTGCCATCAGGCGGGTATTGGCGTCCACATGCTTACGGGCGATCACCCCGAGACGGCCCGCGCCATTGCCAAGGAAGTCGGCATTTTGCCGAGCCGTATGCAGGAAATCTCTGCCGACGTCGCCAAGGCCATGGTCATGACGGCTCGCGAGTTCGACAGGCTCACCGATGACGAAATCGATAAGCTTCCTCTCCTGCCCCTCGTCGTGGCTCGCTGCGCCCCCAGCACCAAGGTCCGCATGATTAAAGCTCTCCATAGGCGCAAGCGGTTCGCTGCTATGACGGGTGATGGCGTCAACGACTCTCCTAGTCTGAAGCAGTCCGACGTCGGTATCGCCATGGGCCAGGCTGGTTCCGATGTTGCCAAGGAGGCCTCGGATATTGTGCTTATGGATGATAACTTTGCTTCGATCCTCAACGCTGTGGAGGAAGGGAGGCGCATGTTTGATAATATTCAAAAGTTTGTGTTACATGTGCTGGCGCAGAATATTGCACAGGCATGTACACTGCTTATTGCGCTGGCTTTTAAGGATCATACAAGGCTGTCGATCTTTCCTCTGTCTCCCGTGGAGATTATGTGGGTTGTAAGTTTATCCTGCTCCGAGCCGAAGCTTGGCCTATTCTTTCAGCTATGCTCTCGATAGGATGCTAACCTTAAGTGTATATAGATTCTCATTACGTCCGGATTTCCTGATATGGGTCTCGGTTTCCAGGGTGCCGCGCCGGATATCATGAGGCGACCGCCCCAGAACGTAAGTCTTCAGAATCGCTGCTGGTATTTTTCTCACCTCTCGTAATTACTGACTTTATTACCAGTTGAAACAAGGCATTTTCACTCCCGAGCTAATGCTCGACATGCTCGTCTACGGTCTCTGGATGGCAGCCCTCTGCCTCAGCAGCTTCGTCCTCGTCCTCTACGGCTTCGGCAATGGCGAAATCGGCGAAAACTGCAACAACCACCACTCTCCCGGCTGCGACCTGGTGTTCCGGGCCCGTGCCACCTGTTTCACGGCCATGGTGTGGTTCTCGCTCTTCCTCGCCATCGAGATGATGGACCTCCGGCGCAGCTTCTTCCGCATGAAGCCCAAGACGAAGCACCCTTTTACGCAGTGGGCGCGCGATCTCTGGCACAACCGGTTCCTGTTCTGGTCCATCGTCGCGGGGATCGTGTCCATTTTCCCTATCCTTTACATCCCCGGGCTTAATAGGGTCGTGTTTAGGCATGAGGGGATTTCGTGGGAGTGGGGCATTGTGTTCGTGGAGACGGCGGTGTTCTTCGCTGGTGTTGAGATGTGGAAGCTTGCGAAGAGGATACACTTTAGGAGGGTGGCTAAGAAGAAGACGGGTGGTGTGAAGGATCTTGAGTCGAGGGTCTTTGGAAGGTATTACAGCATTGGGAGGTCTGATTCGGACACGGATAATCCGTTCGTGAGGACCAAGATTAAGGATGAGAACCGGGAGGGTTAAGTTATTTTCTGGTAGGCGCGGCGGGCATATTTGTTTAATATCACTGCGCTTTTCTTTTGTTCATAGAAAGATGGGGAGGTTCAGAAGGAGGAGGCTTCGTCTTCCCTAACGATTCATGATACATGTACCTCGTTTAGATGCATTCAGAGCAATAGAGGCACTAGTGGTTTAGTGGTAAAATTGGTCGTTGCCATGTTTCACACACAAGTTTCGACTAGCCCCCGGTTCGATTCCGGGCTAGTGCAGTCTTCTATTTTTGGCTCCTTTTTTGCCCCCGCGTCGCCTGAGTCGTCCACACTGCATTCGTCGTCCCTCACTTTTTGGGACGTGTCTGTATCTGTACGACAGCACTGAGCGGACAGTTTTTGATGGAGAAAGCACGATAGTAATCTTAGCTGTTGATGAGAATTACAAAATCTACAAGTTATGATAACTGTAGGATCGATCAGCCTATTTTGGACTGCAAATAGGAGTGGCCTACCAACTGATACACTCGTTTTCGGCATGCTAAGTCTTGATTTCAAGCCCAAGGGACATACTACATAGTACACTTAATAGTGGAGCCGAGATATGTCGATGTCACTGGTGTGTATGAAGGCTGCAAGGAGTACTTACGCGAGTTACACTGACAACTTAAACCGCTGTGCCTTCCGAACGACTTTGCATGAAGACGTGCATGAGCTGAAATGTCTTGCTCTGGTTGAGGGAACAGACAAGATCAGTTCTAAGCTGTAATAAATTTGGGGCCCGAACGAAAGACTGTTAGTCCTTCTTGCCCGGATGACGTGAGGAGAGGAAGGGATGCATCTCTGCCCTCGGCACACTCGGAACGTAGATGACATCAATGTGCCCAGCTGGCAATTTCTGTATTTGTTACGCTGTGATAGTGTTAGCCCCTGGGTGGAGTGATGAGATTCGCTGGGACAATGACCAACGCAGCTCTGTCCCGTGGTGGTGCGTCCTACACGAAGGTGGGAGTTGAGTTGTTGGCGATACTGAGAGTGGTGGTACAAGTGACCACGTGCTTTGTACCAATGAAGTGTTTGTGGCGTCGGAAGTCTGCGACTTTGGACTTGGGTTGGGCTTGGGCAGATTCTCGGCGATATACCCGACTGCACCTGTGTCGCACTCTTCCATGAACTTCGTCGCAATCAAGTACCCCACTCCACCCCTCCCATTGTGGTACACCTATCGAGGGATTAGACTTGTTAGACTGGTACGACACCTGCAGATCTATTCCTTTTTAGGAAATTGTACCAGTACTTAATTTAAGTAACAATCTACATATAAAACTAAGTACCAATACGGTCCCCTCCAAGAAGAAGTACCCTGTTCAGTCGCATCACCATAGAGTGTGAAAGATGAAGCAGAAAGTCATGAGGCACAGCTTCCCAAGCTTGTTCAACCACAGCATGAAGCTCCTGCTGCCTAAGTGACTGTAGATCGCAGTGCATTTCAATCTAATCTTTCATCCAGAACTATACGTTTTCAATCGGGTTTAAATCCGGGCTATTTGCGGGCTATGGCATCAAGGGTATACCTATCTCCTATAGGGCCTCCTTCGTGGCATTTACTCGATGGGATGGTGCGTTATCTTGCTGGAAGGTTGTAAGATGTGGCTGGTTTTTGTTGAAGAAGTTTCTTACAAGTGGGAGGAAGTAGAAGATATATTTCTGGGCTGTAATCCCACCCCATTCCTTTTCCCAGAAGTGACTAGGCCTTTTCCGCGCCCCTGCAAACATACTAGCATACATCCAGCCTTGTGGGTTCCGCTGAAGAAGTGCCTACGTTTCTGAATCTTCATCTTCGTGGACTGTGATCTATTGTTTCCACATAGGGTCATTAGTTGCCCATGTTTTATCGGAGAATATCATAGTTTCCTAGTCCTCAGGATGTGGGCGTAGTCGGAGCTGTTCTTGTGCAAATGCTATCCTGTTTTCTTTATGTATAGCTGTGAGGTGGATATGGTGTGGCCGGACTTTTCGTTCAAAGCCAAGGAGCTTCATTGCTGTTCGGTATGCTGACTTGCGGAACCTGTTTAGTGGTGATGGGGCAACTAGATAGATCTCAGACCATGGAATACGTCGATGAGCAGTGGCCTCGCGTAGCCATGCTGCCAACTGCTGCCTTATTGGGGTTTTTATCCCTGGGCGTGTGACACGATTGCCTCTCTGAGGTGTCACTGGGTTCCCACATGCGTACTGCACTTGGCGATATGTATATCCAGTATGTGAAGCTATGCTTTCGTAGGTCCAGTTCGCATCAAAGCGGAGGACTCGAATTCGTATCCGATCATCGCGTGTGAGCTGTTTCGAGTATGTTCGTTTCGCAGTCGGGGGCTCCCTATCATCATCGATAACGATAATCGCATCTTGAGGGAATCCTACAGCTTCCGGAAGCTGTAGTCGTTCAGCCTGGCTTGCTGTATCCGCGAGAATGTGCAATAAGTCCATGATGATGATGATGTTTCGGCTTCGTTTTTCGAGTTTTTCAAGCTCTGGTGGGGTGAGAGGGGTTATGTCGACGCGACTTTGTTTGTTTTGATTTCATGTATGTATCTTCACATACAAATTACTATGAGGGAATACTTGACAGGGACCCCTGGTCATTGTGGCGTGTCGTTTCGAGCTAACAAGTCTGATCCCTGTGGGAGTTGTACTTGACCCCGCCAGCTCGACGCCCAGTCTGCCACCCAAAGACAAAGACAGAAGGCAGAGACAGTTGTCGCCAGCACCCAGAGCCCAGCGACGGTAGAAACAGCAGGCACGCCAGACAGTGTCTTGAGCCTCAACTATCGTGTCGTGCTCTGCTTCCCCCCCTTCACTCTCAGCCCAGCCAGCTGTCTCCTGCCTAAATGCCTAAACCGGCTTCCCCCAAAAGTCTTCCCACTCTTGCTGCAGGTTGCCAACTTTTTCTTCTCTCGGCTTCTTTTTAAACCTTCCAAAAAGACCATCCTTCCCATCTGACCCTCGGAGATCTCCAGCCTACCCTTCCAACTCCCAGTGTTCCCATACTACCACCTGACCCCTCCATCATCCTCTCTCTTACTCATAACTGCCAAGCCTCTTTTGATCTCGTCCGACACTCAATCAGACTACGCTAGATTAAGGACAAACCACTTCCGGGACTAAATTTCCCCCCTTGCAAGTCGTTTACTCTATCACCTGTTCCTGCGAGAGCGCGACCTAGGGAGACTAGTGGACCTCTATTGCTCCCTTTTTTCACCTGCGCAGTGCCGAGTGACTATTTTACTAGGGAACGTCGCTGTGCCTGCTGCTTGAACATTACCAAGTCTAGCCTGCCGAATCAAATCATTACCTCACACACATTCTACTCACCCGCATCACACACATTCCAAGCAAAGAACTTTTTTTTGCATGCGGAAAACACACGAAAACAAACACGAACTAGCTTAACCTCAATCTTTTTACTGCGGCTATATATCACCGAAACCATGGCGTCGACGAGTCCCGTCCTGCACTCGCCTGTGCACTCACCACCTAAGCAACCTAAGGGTACGCTACCCCGCCTCCACAATCTCCCATGATAGTCTCTCCCGAAAGTGGGAAAAGAAGACCTCGTAGATGAGACACTCTGCTAACTTTTCTGGGTTGCGTAGGCATCTTGAAGAACGCTTCTCATCATCATTCTCCTCCCGTCTCCCCCGTCTCTCCAGACCACCGAACCCTGAGCGCTAAAGAGCTCACCATCGTCAACACTCAATACAACGCCGGTCGCCGCCGGTCGTCCTCGGGCGCGCAGCTCCGCCGCCTCTCGAGCCGCACTCCCTCTCACCACGGCGACGACGCGGAAGAGTCAGCGCAGCGCCTCAAGTGGGACGAGGCCAACCTCTACCTAACGGAGCAGGAGCGCACCTCCACCATGAAGATCACAGAGCCCAAGACACCGTTTGCCCGAGGATACGACCCCCTCGAAGACCCCAGCGACGACGATGAGATCATGGGCGAGGGACTGGGCGAGCCGATCACTAGCGCAGCTTACTCTACGACTCGCCCGGCTCACCGCGAGCTCAGCCGCGAAGACAGCATTCCGAACCTGGACATCGGCGAGCCGGAAGAAGCGGTCCCGGCGCGCGAGTTTTCGCCGTCATCGGCGGACGGCGAGGCGCACCACCACCGCACTGTGCATGTTGATGATTCCGGCAGCGGTCGAGATGATGATGAGATGGTGGGCATGTCGCCAGAGGAGAGGGAGAAGCACCGTCGTTTTGAGGAGCTTCGGAAGAAGCACTACGAGATGAGAAATGTCGTGCAGCTTCTTGGGCACCCGGAGGATGTAGAGGATGATGATGACGATGACGATGACGATGACGCACCTCCGGCCATACCGCCGATGCCTCCGCTCCCAGCGAATTTCCGGACTTCCAATGGCCCTACGTCATAGTCCGTCCCGATATGCGAGCATTTGTTTTTCACTGGTATCGCACATCTTTTGTGTGTGCGTGTGTGTATTTTTCGTTTTCCCCTCCCTTCTCATGTTTGGCTTCCCCGTTATTCAATCGGTTGCCCGCCGAAGAAAGATGGGACCAAAGGTTGATGATGACACGAACTTGCCGACATGAATGAGCCCAAGCCTATAAGGTTTTGGAGTTTTATGTTTTCTTTTTTTCCCTTGTGTCATCCTCGAAGACTTTGCCATTAGTAGGAGTGGCGGCGTTACACCGGTGGCTATCTGATTTGGACGAGGTTCTTATTCCTCGCACATGTGGTTGTACAATTTTGATTATCGTCTTCCCCATCACTCTCATCATCATCACCATCATAGCTCGGCATATACTATTTGCATATCCCCCTTACCCCTACCACCTGTTTATGGTGGCTACATGAGGATGCCTGGATTGGGCAACGGTTGTATAGGAATCTTAGTTTAGAATATGCAACGACACCCTTTCAAGTATACAAGAATGCTTGTGTGCAGCCCTTGGTTGCTGTGGTATGTACTCGTGTTTTGTTTTGTAAATGGGACCCTATATACTGTTTCTAATACCCTTAACGCCGTAAGTCTTTGTGCATTTCTGTCGCTTTCCAAGTTTCTCTCGGAGCAGCATCCCTCCCTCCCATCCACTCATCAAGCCAAAGAAAAGTAGAGCCGGTATCACCGACAAAACAAGAACGCCGTAAGATCTTTCAATATAACGGCGCTTCGCCGCTCCCTTCTCCCGCGCCTTCTACCCCCCCCTCCTTAACCCTTATATCAATCCCTTCCGTGCAAGCTCGACCTTCCTCGCCGCCTCGCCGGGTTTAAATCCGCCCCTGGACACGCAAATCTTGGACCCTTCGCCCAGCTCGAATTTCTCCTGGTGATTCGGCCAGGGGCAGGGACAATGGTGTGGGAAGTGGACGCATGCTAGAAAAGTGAGCTTCATTAGCCCTTTCCTGTTTCTCTTCTTCTTTCATTCTTCTGGCTCCAGGGAGAAATATGTCGCGGGTCTCGAAACGGTCTTTACCTAAAGTGTCAGGACAGAGATACTTGTCGCAGTAAGCTGGTCCAAAATTAGCATGCTAAGCCCACAAGCGCAAGAAAGGCGACAAAAGCTGCCCCAGCTTTGTCTATGACGTAACCAGTATTTCGGAACAAGTAGGAAAGAAAAAAAAATATGGGAGGGTGGGAAAAGAACGCACATGACTTGTAGTTGTGTTGGTATACGGAGGAATCGCTGGGTACGTTTTGTTGGCGCTGTTGCTGGTGGTGGTGACCGTGACCGTCATGCCCGCCGAACATGTGGTCGAAGAAGCCGAATTGGGCGGATGCTGCGCCTGTGAGGGCGAGGAGGATGGGGACGACGGAGCGCATTGTATTTTCGGTGTGTATTTCGGGGAGGATGAAGGTCTACGGCTTTTATCGAGAGGGAGAGTGAACTTGGGAAATCGAGTTTTCGTTTTTAAGCCATGGATTCGGAATGGACTCGAGGAATGAAGTCGAGGTGTCTGGACAACTAACAATTGGAACGGTCTCACCGCCCACAGCCAAAGTTGCATTGCTGGCAATTCCATTGTGCTTGTCGATAAAGCCGATATTAACGATGACTCAGCATAGATGAGCTGAGAAGAAGAGGAAGAAATACCTTTGCATTTTGCCGAGGATTCTCCAAGCCAGCCAAGGTTTGCAGCAAAAATTCCCAGACGCCTCAAATTTGACCTTCAATCGAAAGATCACATTCCGAAGGGGGCCGCCAAAAACCAAATCCGGAGTGGCCACACCGCGAACGACGGGCAGGAAAACCAAAGACCATGTCACTCGCTCAATTGCAGCGGCCCCTTGGGGTCGCTGCTTCGGGATTGACCGCGAGGCTGCTGCTGACGACGAGCTGGATATCGCGTGGACCGGCGCTGGGAAACATGCTGGTGGAAGGTAGGAGAGGTGCCAAGGTTAAGTCGCAGGGACATTATAACCTCAAACCTAAGAGGACGATTCCGAAGAAGCTCGGTGCGAAGAGGACGGGAGGTATGTCATCTCTTTTCTTCTCAATTGGGGCCGTGGAGGGACCCGATTCTCAAGCCTCCCCAATCGCGTGACTCTTTTTTCTCTCTCTTGTGAAGAACTGCATAGCTAACACCCAATCTTACCCAGACCAATACGTTATCCCGGGAAACATCATCTACAGACAACACGGCACCCACTGGTGGCCCGGCGAAAACTGCATCATGGGCCGCGACTTCACCATCCACGCCATGGCATCAGGCTACGTCAAATACTACCGCGACCCAGCCCTCCACCCCGACCGCAAATACATCGGCGTCGTCTTCCGCAAAGAAGACACCCTGCCCTACCCGAAACACGCCGAGCGCAAGCGCCGCCTCGGCATGGTCGCGACGCCCATGCGAGGCGCCGCGCGCGAGCCCGAACTCAGCGACTCGGGCATCCCCAACGTGGTGAAGAAGGTCAACCCGGACAGGCCGCACGCCGAGCCGCAAGTTCTGCACCTCCGGAAGGACTACACGTACCGCGAGGATAACTGGCGGATTGGACGTCTTGTGAAGACGACGGGCTTGCAGATCAAGGGGTATAAGAGTAGGAGGGCGTATTTGCGGCATAGGAGGTGGGCGAGGGAGAGGAGCCTTGCGGGGATGAGGAAGGTGAGGGAGAAGTTGGCGGCGGATGATACGAATGAGGAGTGGGTGGAGGCGGCGAGGGAGAAGGCCGCGGAGTTGAGGATGAGTAAGAAGAAGAAGGGTCATGCGAAGAGTAAGAAGGGCAAGAATCCTAAGAAGAGGTAATAAGTGTTAGAATTAAAGTTGTTGGTAGGTGAGTTGGGTGTTGGGTGCTGGGGAAATGTATGATAGCTTCTGAGTGTACAATGGCCTGTTGTTCTTCTATGGGTTCATAGACTCTGATGTCATTATTATTTTTTTGATAAACCAATTGTATATTCAACTTGGAAAGAGAGAGATCCTGATGTGCTTATCCAGTTTATGATAAGATGCTGAGAAAGTACGCCTTGTCTCAACTATCTCTTGTTCTAGCTCTTCTTATCTCAATCAGCAACTGATGCTGGCTGTGCTACATCGGCGATGCATACTTGGGCAGAATTGAAAAGATCAATTGACTAATATGTGTTGGTTCAGTTCTCTTTTTTCTATTTATACGAGAAGGAGATAGCGTGCGTATTAGAACAAGAATAAAGACCACACTTATCATCGCAGCTGAGCCTATTATAATTATCTTCTCTAGAGATCCTGAAACGAGCAGCAAAGGCCACGACCCTTAACTTTCTTTAAAAAGGCTTCAATATATTTAATAAATTTAGATGGTCTATCTTCTAAAGATTTTATTTTCTTTTAATAACTACTTTTAATATTTTTAAAAGAGATATATCTCGACTCTCTATATTTTATCGACTTCGGCTCCTTTTATGCATCTAAACCCTTTAAGCCCCCTTCGCTGTGCTATTATTTAGCCTTCTAATAAGAAGTTAGCAAAATTCCAGCTCTATGACCCTTACCCTGTTACCCCCTCAACCCCCAGGACCGGCTTAGCGCCCAGCAAACGCGTCAAGCTCAAAAGGAGCGCGTTAGCTCTCCGCCATCGAAAGAGTGACAGTAATGAGTAGCGATTCAGACGACGACGAGTTTTCAGAATTTCGGGTTCAGAGCGACTTATTTCCCAGCCGCTCCCAGTCCCTGACCGGTAGCCCCGCGAAGCAGAAGCAGGCAGCAACTATGGCTGCTAAGCCTCAGCTAGCGAATCGCCAGGAGATTCAAGGGCTTCAGGCACAGTGGCAGAAGGATAATACCTTAGCCAATGGCAGTTTAGGGAACTCGCTATTCGCGTCGTCGTCGCCTCAATCGGGGACTAAACGACAGCGTCCAAATGAAGGCGGGGGCCAGGAGGGTTCGAGGAGTAGCTCCAAGCGAAGACGGGCCGCGGACGAGAACTTGGGTGGATCGTCGGATAGGCCCGACGCATCAGCCCTATATTCGTCCGCCGGGGTTCCATTTCCTTCCAGCGCGCCCCCGAGCGCATCGAGGCCTTCTGCGAGCAGTGGAGCTGGACTGAAAGGCTTCGTGCTGAGGGAATCAGCTGCGTCGTCGTCGTCGGCTACGTCCACGCCGACCGCCAGACGAACAGTCGTAGCGCCTACCGCGCCGGTGATTAGGGCTCCTCGAACGGCTGGCAACAACACTCCCTCAAAGATGAATTCAACCCCTACAGCTCGGCCTAAGCCCTTTAACAGCGGACTAGACCTGGCGGCCCCTGTTATTTCCTGTTCGAGCGGGTCGGAAGATGAGATACCTACCGTGCCAGCGGCCTTGCGGGAGAGAGTGACGACGCAATCCCGGGGAACCCCCGGGACTACGGAGGCCCAGCGTTCAGCGAAGAGCACGAGTGGTAAACCGGCTGCACCATCCTACCCGGTGCCCGCAACCATTACCCCCGTACCTATTCCGAGACCTTTCGGCGCCGCACCGCCGCGGACTCTGGCAGTGGCGAGCCCCACAACGAGCACCCCCGAGGCTAAGCCTACCAACCTCATCGCGACAAGATCTAAGAAGTTGTACGCGCTATGGATCAGTAAGTTGGATACGGCTCTCAAGACGTTTCCGTCTTTCTTTCTTTTGTTTCTCCTTTTTTTTTTTTTCTTCTTCTTTTCGTTTTTGATACCTTGACTAACTAGTTGGGTAATCGCAACTATTGGTTAGACGAGCAAGGACGCTCCGTCTCTACGAACGGCGCTCTCATCCCGGACCATTACAAAAAGCATCCGGATCCCAAAACTCCATGGGCCTGTCCCATTGTCGGCTGTCCGAAGCGGTTTGTTGACTTAAGAGCTCTCGGAGGGCACTTTTCGGTAAGTGGTGGATTTTTTTCCCCTCAAGCCAAGCACTCAACCCTTCTGTATGAATTATCTAATTCGAGTTAGGCTGGTCACCGAGGAATACAACTCAATGACAACTGTGACGGCACCTTCTCCATTATCGACAAAGTGGGACAGAGCGCGCCCATTGTTGTCTCGCAGATTCCCCGCGATCGTAGCGGAACTCCCGTGGGCGTCCGGGCGCCAACGGCGACGACCAAAGCTCCCGATTCGGCACCAAGATCTCGAAAGAATACGCCCACAACCACCAGAACAAACTCGACATCGTCGCGTGCAGCATCCGCCGCGCAGAGGACGGGTCAAGGATCAGCATCAGCCTCACTACCGGAAAAAACGAACTCGAGCATTCCCGATTATCTTAAACTGGTCCTACCTAATGGCTACAACATGCACATATTCACAGACCACAAGGAATGGAACGAGCTCAAGGGCCTTCAGCTAAGACGTTCCTGGTCAGCAGAGATCCTAAACTTTTGCTTGAAGCTGGCGATGGCTAACAACTACCCCGCCCTGGGGCTCATCCTTTACCTAACGGGTACTGAGGTGAAACGCTCATGCGAGGAGTGCGCTACTCGCAAGCAAACGTGCGTCGTGGCTGACGATTCTTTCCCCCGGAGTCTTATTGACTTGTTTGGGGATTGCTGTGCGTTGTGCCACTACCGAGCGAAGAAGTGGCACTGGCGGCATCGGTGCACCCTTGGCGACGGGCAGAAGAATCGGTCCGAGGATGGTGATAGCACGGACAGTGACGACGGCTCACCAGACGCCGTGGGCCCGGGGAGCGAGGCGACATCGGAGCGGAGCGCTACGCTTGGGGAGACGCAACAGCCTGTCCGGCGTATGGTGACTTTACGATCTGGTAGGATTGCTGAGCTTGGGGCCGGCCTGCAGAGACCCTCTAGTCCTACTCCTCCAACAAATACTACACGTAGTCCTACTTCTACCGAGCTATCACAAGGTGGGAATGGCCAGCCCGTAGTGTCGGCGGATTCTCTCGCGATGGAAGACTGGGAAGTTGGACCGGGCCGAATCAGCACGGCGGGTCCGGACGGGGAAAGTAAGTCGTTGCAAATAAATATCTATTTCGCCCCAGTTACCCTACGCGCTGTTTGCTAATTTATGTTTTATTACTTTTCTTTTTTGAATCTAGACGTGGTATTTTCAAACGCGTACCTAAGGCGCAACAAAACGGTCCCAATCGCAGACGGGATCGGATTCAATGTTATCTTTATCAAACCGGGTTCGCCCCACAATTGGCAGCCCGAGGCGGATAGTATAAGAATCTGCGTCGTTGCAGCTGGTAAGCTGGTGGTGAAGCTGGGCGACGGCGACGGCGCAATAGACGTTAACGTCGGACCGCACGGCATGTTCAAGATCCTACCGGGGATGGGGTGCGTGGTTAAGAATCGGCTCTATATCGACGCTGTGTTACATGTTACGACGATTGATATGGGTTAAACGATGGTGCTTGTGGTGGTCGATGCTAGACTCACTTTGGTTCCGGCGGTCGTGCGGTCTGGGGAGTAGAAGATGCGGTGAAGGTGTTGGAGTTGACCCTTTTTTTTTTCACACAGAGGGTAGTTTTGCAGGGGCAGGAGAGCGGAGGGCATGCTCGTGAAGCACTAGCCATCAACATGATACCCGATAGTCCTTGTGTGTTATGGATAGCAAATAGCCTGGTTAGATGTAGGATACTATGGGGATTGTTCGGAGTTCTGAAAATAATACCCTTGATTTGAGTAGCCTGACTGAGAACCTTCCCCACTGCTTGCCTAGACTTTCACCGATACTACTACGCAGCCGATATAGCGTAGATGGCTCCTGACTTCAAAGTCGAACTAAGACTTGACAGAACCTGGCGCGCTGAGCTCAGTGCTGGCGGGAGCTACTGGACTCTTCACCTCAGTATAGTGTAATACATATTAGCATACTGCCACTCCTTGAATTCACACAGTATTCTCTACCTTACATAGCTTTGTGCGCATGCCTGGATTCTCCAACCTGCTCCAAATTTGTAGACTAATCAGTGGCTTCGGTAGGTCGTGTCCAGTGTCCGCAATGTTGCGGTTCTTTAGTGTTTTGCTTCAGTGGTCTGCCCAGGAATTGAGGTACTGTATTATCCTCGAATGTTGCGTGCACTGCCTGAAACCTCACCCCCGAGCCCCTGTCTTTGCCCCACCATCAGCATTGCCTTCAGTGTCAAGACAGGGACGAGGCGGCACTTGCGGTTTTCACTAGCGTCCTCGAGGTTCTACTTCTGATAAAGTTTGAGAAAACTAAGTAAATGCTTAAAAGAGTATTAAACTTTTATCTTAAAATATTTACTATATATATCTTTAAAATACTATTTATTTTAAATATAAATCAGTTTTAAAAGTTTTATCAATATTAAAGAGAAATATTATATTCTCTACGTTATCTTATCAAATATAGTAATCGACTCGCACGGCTCACGTTTAAGCCAACTTCGATATTCTTTTCTCCTTTGCCGAGCTCGTTATGGCTTGGAAGTCAGAGGCGCACCTCAAGGCGCTTGCCAGTCGACAAAACCCAACAACCAACTGCATCTCGGCCACTCCGCATCCGCAAGGATCTCTTCATGCGAGCTCTCGTGGCCCTCGTCAGGGAAAATGCCAGATCCAACATAGAACCGCTCAAGAGTACCTTACCAGTCGTCAAATAGAGAAGAGGAAAAGACTCATCATCCATGAGGTCGTCTCTCCTCCTATCATCTTACTAGTTAGGAAGGAAGTAGCCAACGTGGTGGCGACGATAATCTACTAGAAAATTAAACATATTGCTTCCAGTTCGGTTGCATCGCACAATGCCTCCTCCCTCTTTAGTCAGGAAGACTACGCTTATTAAGGATGATATCGATTAAGGTAAGTTCAAATACTCGGTGTGGCCATGGCTGGTTCCCGGTTCGAGAACCACTATAGCTTATCTACTTTTGGACCTAGCTTTTGGAGCGCTTGACGCCGAAGTGGGCAAGTCAGAGCTCCTCACGAGTCTCGCCCCCGTCCGCTTGACGTGTGCCGGAGGCTGCGTGGCAGTCAAATACTTCCAACTCCGCAGCGCCACCAAGGACGTCGATTGCCTGCTCGACCCCAACATCGACGCGGTCGAAGACTACCGCAACGACTTTCTCGATGCCGTTCGCAAGGCGGCTGACAAATGCGGTTTAATGGGGGACTGGATGAATGACGAGGTGAAGCTCTTCATTAGCCGGCCGAAGCGGCTGGATCTGTTCTTGCAGTCGGTTGAGCAGCATATCGTCATATATGATGGCACGAACATCGTCGTGTACGTTGCTAACTTGGAGTGGATGCTGGAGCGGAAGCTCCGTCGTGTCGAAGGCGCTGGTAGAAATGCTCGCGAGCAAGACCTTTCTGACGCCGTGGCCATGGTCCGGGCATTGAAAAATGGCGGCCCACCTCTCGGTGTGGACTACTTGAGTCGCCTCAACTACAAATGGCTTTGAACCCATATTGAGCAAGGGGATCGAAATTGTCAAGGAGTACGAGAGGTTGTACGGTGAAGTTGGCATCGCCGAGATGATCTGGGATAAGGACGCCGGGAAGAACAGATACCTTGGCCTTGATAATAAGTGGCATTGGGTCTAGGCCATAGTGCGAGGGAGGTTGCCAGCAGGGCTGTACTGTACTAAAAGCGTCCCTTTCGCGTTCGGGGATCGTGTAATTTATTTGTTGTCCTTTCGATATTGGACCTCGGCTGAGTCTGTCCATGAGGATCCATTTCGCTACACCGTCGTAAGATAAGCAGTTCCGGCTTCGATATTTCGATTCAAATATGGATCCTGCAAGTCAAGGTCGAGCCGTATTTTGTGAAGAACCAGCCTCTCAGGCAACGGGGGCACGGTCGCCACCCAATCGGGGCAGCGCTCCGGGACGAACGGCGCCGGCGTCCCATCGTCGGCGCGGTCCACCGAAGGCGCCCCACGTCGAAGGCCCAGCGCGAGGCGCCAGTTGAATGCACCGACGACGTCTTCAAGGAACGAGGCCATCACGGCGTCTCGTTCCGGATCATCGTCGTTACCCTCGCGAGGGTCAGGAAGCAGGTGCAGTGCCCAGGCCGGGTCGGAGTACTTGAAGAAGTACTCGGTCTCATAGCCAAGGAGGACACCTTGATCGGCCACGAAATCCTCGTACATGCAGTAGAAGGATCGTTGCAGCGTGTCGCGCCACCGCCATAGCGGCATGAGCATCCAGCCGTAGGTCAAAGTCTCGCGCTCTTCAACCACTTCTGCGTTCTGCAGAAGGAAGCGCGGCGACTCCGGTTTGGGTGTCGCCATATACCATGGAATCGGCGGGAAAAGTTTTAGTAGGGAGAAGACTGGTGTAGGTGATATTTCACAAAGAACGCGGTATGTATGTAAGGCGAAGCTTGAGCGGCGACCGCAGCTCAAGCAACGTGGACCAGCGCCATCGCCGCCACCAGCCTCGTAATTTTACGAAGAGTCCCTGTTTTTTGGGAGGCATGTTTTGTCCTAGGACGTGCTTCGTTGCGGCCGCCGTGTTGTGTGTGTTCAATTACGGTGTACTGGATTATTTGGACGTGCCGAGGATGGTGGAAGTTTGCGGTTGATGGTCTCCAATCTCAGTCGGGTTTGGGCACGGAATATCGGTTAGCCCGAATTCCAGCACGAGCGACTTGTTGCTCGCCTGTGTCCTTCTCCTTTCTCCAGGCTTCCACTTTTCCCTCCTCAGTCCGGGACGGCTTCGGGTCCCGTGTACGCGACTTTTACAAATGCACGTAGAATCAAAAACTGAATTGGTGCGCTCAGGTGGGATTTTGTGCGACTGAATCTAGGTGATCACGACACCCTCCATTACAACAACGGTTGATTCTGAGACACGAGGCGGGTCTTTGCTCAGCTGGTACCGCTAAGCCTTTTCCATGAGTGGGGTTACTTCCCCTTGCGGGGCCCTCTGAAGTTGGTTTCTTTTCTTTGTTTTATCGTCACGCAGGTGTCCAGGGAGGGCCGGATGATGGAAGTATTTCGCGTGATGGGTGGGCGTGGTCTTAGGAGTGAATGGGTCTGGAGGCAGAAAATGTGGTTTATTTAGAGACAGTATATACGGAGAATGCTTGCTTAATTTTTTTTGGACGTATTGCTTCTTTTTTTCGTTCTTTTTGGCCTCCCAGCATTATTTATCAAGAATTAGAATATAGACTAGAATCGCGAAGCGAAGATGATGTTCGGTGCAAGGGCCGATTCGGAGCCGATTCTGCCGAGTGGGGACGGACCAGATCGGACCAAGACTTCGGCGCCGGCGAGCGCCCCGACAACGGAAAACGGAGAACACGCCAATGAGTCGCAGCAAACGACGCGTGAAAATTATTTGGTCGGAGAAGCTATCCCTTCTCGGGGTCGGTTTGTGCAGATCGATGGGTCGATAGGAGGGTCGGGATATGACGAAACGACCGTCGAGTTAGTTATTCGTTCTTCCTTTTCCGGCAACTGTCATTTTTATCCTACATCTATTTATTTGCATACCCGAGGCGAGGCGAAAAAAGAAATACTAACTTCATCTTTAAAGCGTCATCACAGTACCATGTCCGGGGGCCGATCCCGTAGAGACCTGGTCCCGCGACGCCCTTGTGGAAAACTACTTTGGCGCGCCCTCGATGCGGAGCTCCCAGCGAAGCTCGGACATGCGCGAGAGCCAGAGGAGCGGGAGGACGGGGAACAGCGGAAATAGCAGTGGTAATAGGACGGCACAGGCGGCTCCGAGCTGGGTGAGGCTTGGGGTGAGGAAGGAGGCGCATCATGCGAGAGTGTTGATGTACGCTCACGGTGAGATCGAGGAGGGGACGACATTGAGCAAGTTGGCGGACGATTTACTGAGGCAGGTGTTGGATCTGCGGGCCATGAATGTGAGTTATACACTTGGGAGAAGGGATGTAGTTTTGAGTGGGCACGGGGAGCTAACTTGGTACAGAACTCGTCGTCGAGACCTCTGTTCTTTATCTGCCACAGCATTGGTGGGTTGGTGGTCAAGATGGCACTGGCGAAAGCCAGGAGAAATTCGCTGTATGAAAGCATTCTGAACGACTGCTACGGCGCCGCATTCTTTGGTAAGAACAACCCTAGTTCTGGCTTCTTCCCTGCCTCCTTTACTGACAATAAGCTCGTATTGCTCCGCAGCAACACCACATCGAGGATCTACCTATCTCAGCATGCCAGACATCTCGTCAAGCATCCAAAGCCTCCTGCACCTATCCCAGCCCCTACCTAGATCCATCACCGATGAACTTCGACCAGGCCATCCTCTCCTGTTACACATCGACGAAGAGTTCAGCATCCTCGCCAGCGACCTACAAGTCTGGACCTTTTACGAGACCATCGAGTCGCGCATCTGCAGCCAGGCCGAGTCCCGTCCTGGAGAAGTTTCTTTTACGGCCCCCATCACATCGGTAAAGTCCGCCATCCTCGGGATTAGGCAAGAGACCATTTACCCCTTGCAGAGCGACCACGCGAATTGCGCCTCGTTCGGCAAGAACAACGCCCAGACGATGAAGTTATTCCTCAAGACGCTGGCTAGGTGCATCGCAAGGGCCGACGAAAACAGCGGCGGCAAGAGCCACACGCCTCTGAATCTCGAGCAAAGGGTTCCCATAGAGGTCCATGGGTTCTACGAGGATCCCGTCGCCATGACGAACATGGAGACGTTGACTACTATCCGAGCCTGGTCTACGAGGGTGGCTTTGAAAGATTTCCTCGACAAAGGCCCTGTCGAGTGTCTAAACGACAGGCTCAACGAGGTAAACGACGGAGAGGATCCGGGTCCGACGGAGGGCCAGTTCCTCGCGGCGCGGCGGAGGACGACAAGGTTGCGAGAATCCGACTTTCCTTCTCCGCCGACGACTCCTCCCGAGCCGGGCGAGAATTCGCTGGGTATCGGCCAGGTGTACCATGGCGACGAGCGCAGCGCTAATTCAGAAACTGCGCTATTGCTGTCAAAGGCGGCTGACATGCCCGAAGCCACACCGGGAAAGAATAGCCCCGATCCAGAAGCTTCCTCGAGTGAGCAGAGAGGTCGCGAAGTTAATCTTATCCCTGACTCAGTCGATGCCGTTCGGAGTCGATCCACTAGCGGGACGCGGGCCACTCGTTCGAAAGGCTCTGCCGTCGCCGTGGACTCGACCAGGTCTAGGAGGCGAGTGGCCCTCATGAGGCGGTTCACTGATCAGTTCAACGCCAAGTGGAGCGGGCCTCTTGAGAGGTCGTTTTTTCATGGATCGCCTTTTGCTCCGAATCCTGAGATTCCTGCGTCGGATCCTTTGATTCCGGTGTTTGCGAAGCCGGATGAGAAGAATAGGAGGTTTATATGGACTCATTTGCCGTTTACGAATCCGGCCTGGGTCAAGGTAACTCCCTTTATCCCTCACGTTTTCACAAGCAACACTGGAGCTAACTTATCGGACACAGAAAGTATTCGAGACTCTGCAAGTCAAAGATGGCAGGGATTTTACCGAACTGGGTAATCATGGGCAGTGGTATTCCAAGCATACTCGCGGGCGACATTCCCAGCACTATGCGTTTTTTGTTCGCCCAGCCTGTAGCCTAATTCCACCCATACCGAGTAAGAAATGCCCCCGGCCTTCGCCTCAAACATCCCAGTTAGCTAACGCTTTCCCTCGGGGCAGTGTCACCTCTTTCAAACCGCAGCTCCATCGTGACGATGAACGAACCCACCGTCTACCTCTTCATCCCCTTCCTCCACTTCGACTCCTACAAAAACCTGCTCCGCCGCAGAAACCTCATCCAGCGCCGCCTCCGCCAAGGGCGTGCGCGACCGGTGCCCCAGAGCGTGGCCAAGCTAGACTCGATAGAGCTCCAGGTCATATGGGAGTATCTAGGGTACGATCCGCCCGTCAACTGCAGACGTACACTGGACCAGTACGGATACCCTTCGCTGCACGACACTCGGCCGAGAGATGATGACCAGATGCTGTACAAAATGACCAAGGAGAGAATCGCGCTGTCGGATCAGGTGGGGCCGGATACGTATGAAAATCCTGGGGGCGGGGATGGCAAGTCGGCGAGAGGAACGGGGCGAGAGACGAGTTCGTTGAATAACGCGAATGGAAGTGCTGCTGCGAATACGAACGCTCACGGTCACGAGGATGACTGCGAGTGTAGCGATGAGGAAACGTCCGCGCCGGAGGAGGACGTGTTGAATGGGAATGTTCTCATGGTGGATCAATTGTGGATGTGGGTTATCGGGCCAAGTACGTCAAGGCGTTTCTCATGCCTTTCGGTGCTCCGTTTTGAAGGGTGCTTTAAGCTGATGGTGATTTTCTCATAGACACTCTGTTGACCTTCTTCTCGAGACGCGAGAGTGATCCAACCGAGGGTCCGCTCTACCAACAGGCAGACCTCCGTGATAGCATCTTTAACGATGTCAACTCCGACGTCACACGGCAATGCGAATCAGCGCTCGACATGGCTGCTCTCATTGCGCTTCATGCCGTGACTGTTCTTCTCGATCGGGCCTCTCATCCAGATCTCGAAGTATTCCGCATCTTTGAAGAAGCCATAAGTATCTTGGTGGGAAATACCCCTCCCTTCCGCCAAAGAAGAGAAAAAAAAAGGGGGGTTCAGGAACTAACTCTAAACCTCTCCAACAGACCGAAAAAATGACCTCCTCCCTCAAAGACTTCCGCACCCAAGGCCTCCGCGACGTATCTCACGCCACCGACACCGACACCGACCCCAAACCCCTCTCCACCCGCGACCAAAGCGACCGCGTCCTCCACGAGAACCGCGACTCCACCTCCGCCCTCCTCGAGCTCCGTGACATCGAAGACGAGCTCTCCACCTTGCACTCCCTCTTCGACAAGCAAGAAAAGATGATCGGCATTATGCGCAACGTCTACCTCCGCGCCGACGCTTCGCCCACGGGCATCTCTTTCCTCACGGAGGCGCTGGGCCGATTGGCGGAGTATAAGCAGCGCACGGGCGAGATGATCAAGCGTGTGAGGAGCACGCGCGATGACTACGATAAGCTGCTGCAGATGGTCCAGCGTCAGGCGCAGGTTGATGAGGTGCGGCTGCAGAGGTTGCAGGCTGACGTCGCTAGCTCGCAGAGCCGGAGCGTCATGATCTTTACCGTCTTCACTGTCATTTTCCTGCCGCTCAGCTTCTTCACCTCGCTGTTCGGGATGAACACGCAGGAATGGGGGGGCGAGAACTTCCCCTCGCTGCGCACCATCTGCGTCGTCGCCATCCCATCCTCAGCATTCCTCATCGGCCTCGCCCTCGTCACGGCCTGGAGTACCCGCGTACGCCGGTTCTTCGTCTTCCTGGCTACTTGCTACTCCGTTGCGCAGGCGGCGGTCGCGGAGGCCATGGACGCCAGCGTGCTTTTGGCGCCGTTTAGGAGGTGGGAGGATGCGAGGCGCAAGGCGATGCGCGAGGAGGCGGCGCGCAGGAAGAAGAAGGCGGCGGCTGTTTCGAAGAGGAGGCGGAGGTTCGCTAAGGAGATGAGTGCGGATTCGCAGGACTTTTGGGAGAGGCATCGGTTGGAGAGGGAGCATGCTTATCGGATTCCTGTGGCGAATCGGAAGAGTGTTACGAGGGAGAGGGCGTTGGCGAGGGCCAAGGCGGAGAAGAAGGGCGTGGTCGGTGCGAGAGGATGAGGGAGTGTTTCTCTGTTTGTTCTTCTGGTGGGTTGGTGTATGAGATTCTTTGGGTAGTTCGTTATGAACGGACGTTAATGTTTCGATTTGACCTTTTGTATATATTAACTCTTTGGTAGCTGTATAGCAAGTAGGCTAACTGTTTGCCTCTCGAGGTATCTATGCTACCAATGCCTGCTTAGGCATAATGCGTGAAACTCGATGAATTAGAAAGAAAATAGTAGCAAGACACCTGTGCCCCTGTATGCTAATGCTTGGTGTATGACTTGACTCCTTGGATTTCCATGCCCTTACCATCCTTAAGAAAAACGTATCCGTAAACTGTGCCCGAAAAACTGACCTGACCTAACCGGATAAAACGAGAAAAGGACGAGAGAGGAAAAGAACAGGGAAAAAAGAAAAGAAAAGAAAAGAAGAGAGGAAAGAAAGCAAAAGAGAAGACGAAAGGGTGTAACTGCTCTGCGAAACCCCGCTCCCTACCTAAACACCCTCTTCGAATTCCTCGACGAAAACCGATCCACACCACTATTCTGCTGATGATGCCACAAGCCAGTCTGCCCCACCAAACCACCCTCACCCGCGGCCTTATACCGTCTCACGGCCTCCTGAAGATGTTCAGGTCTCAGCGGGGCGCGCCAGTCGTCACCAGGTACGATGGGACTGACGGGGCTGGCGGGGGGTGCCTCGCCGTTCTCGCCGTTCTCATCGTTGGAGGGAGGAGGCGTCGGGAGCTCGGTCTTGGGTTGGGGTTCTGTACCGGCCTCCATCCATTCTTCCTGGACGCGGCGGGCGAGCGTGATGATGTCGCCGATGTAGAGCTTAGCGATGAGCTTCGTGGTGAGAACGGCGTTTTGGGGGACGGACTGAGACACGGCAGCGTTGATGATCTAAGGACGGGTTAGTAAAAAAGAGAAGAAAACGTAAGCTTGTTTCTTCCCCTGCAGCTAAGGCTCACCCTTCGGACTCCTGCTTCGGCAATACGCGTGCCTCTCCAGGCCTCGAAGCGTTTATACTGCTCCCGATCAAGCGACTGAGCAAGCAGCGCCCTCAACCGATTCTCCTCGCGCCTCTGCTCCTCCGACGTAGTCGACTCCTGCAGCTTCATATCATTCGCATCATCATCCTCCTCTTCCTCCTTATCCTCGCCCGCCCCCGCACCAGCCTTTCCGCCCACGAGACTCGGCGTCGCTTCCTTCGAAGACGCGGCATCGGCGGCCGTCGCGTCCTTCTTCTTCCTGCCTCGCTTCTTCTTGGGCGCTCCGCTCGGCGCGCCGCTGACCACGCTGCCGCTTACTACGCTGACGGCGTCGACGGAAGGGGAACGACGCAGGGAGGCGGCCACGTCGTCGTAGGATTCGGGGGGGAAACTCGTTTGGCGGAGCGCGGATGGTGTCGTGACGGCGGAGGTGATGGAGAGGTTGGAGGCTTTGCGGCGCTTGAGGGATGGAGGGTTCGTCATGTCACTTCCTGAGCGCTTCTTGGCCATGCTTATGGAGGGGGCTTGATAGGGTGGCGAAGTCGCCGTGGGCGATTGGGTGTAGTTAGGAGGAGACGCCATCGTGATCGTCTGAAGTTCGGATCGAAAATGGATGGGTGAGAGGGTGAGGGTCGTGGCGGTGATTAGGTCGGCTGGGAGCTAATCGAGAAAAGGAATGCGACGAGAAAATTGAAAGGTTAAGGAGAAGAGCCCATCTGGGTAAGAGGTGGGTTTGAAAATTTTGACCTTTTCTCTGTCTGGAGGGCGATGATGGAAGGCGTGGAAGACACCCTGGTGAATCAATGAGGCTTTGAATAATAGCGTCAATCAGTTCGTGAAGTCGCGATGCTCTGGAATGGTGTTGGCACGTGATTTAAAGTGTATTGCTTACATAATAAGAGAAATTCCATGCCAAGAGGCTAATGATGGCGGAGGCAATTCAAGTGCTCAATCGAAGCAATATTACTGGATAAGACCATAAAATCCCCCCGTTACTGGTACCCCAGAATTTATAATTCATTCTTGATGTACCTTTGTACCTTTGTACCTTTACGCCCTTCAATGGTCCCGCTCTGGGACCCGCCGGGGACGCAGGGTCCGTTCGCGCAACTGCTTCCTTTTGACGTCAACTGCGACCGCTAGAAAAAAGTGAAAAAAAAAAAAGTTCGAAGAACAAAGTCCAGATACATCCGATAAAAGCCGGAATGTTCCTGCGGCCACCACATCTCTATGACGAACCTAGCAATTCGTACCGCCCCAGCCGGTCCAGAGCGCTAGAAGCCGTTCTTCGGCGGCTCGGCGGCGGGAAGTCGTCGAGAGAAGAGAAGAGGAAAAGAGGAAAAAAAAAAAAAAAATTAATTTACACTAAAATAGAACCTGGCTTGATTTCCCCAGGGGCCTGGATTTACTCCATAGATCTTTTTCTTCTTCCAATAAAAAAAATAAATCCATTAAATCCCTCCTCCATCAGCGGACGTCGTTTCCCGCTCCCACCGCCTCTTTCGTCTTACCTTGCTTTTATTAGATGGTGATACAAGCCCCTCCATCACTGTGACTCCCAGCTCCGATATAACCCCGCGGACCCTTTTGGAATTTTTTCTCTTCACTCTCTATTCTTTCCTCTCCGTCCTCCTGCTCTCAACGACGGCATTGGGAAACAGTGCCATCCGGTCTTTTGGAACAGTCGGGACGGAAATAAACCCATCTAGAAAAAAAAGTTCGGTCCCTAAAACGAGACCCCTCCACCCAATCATGGCGCCTTCCGAAATCGCCGTAGAGCCCATGAGCGGCATCTCCACACCAAAAATCCCCAGCACCAGGACGTCGAGCGACGGCGACGAGTCGACGAGCAACAGCACCAATGGCGAGAGGTCCAAGAGGCGGAGGAGGAACAGAAACCGCAGGAGATCGAGGAACCCGGCCGTCAATGGCACCACAACCACCACCGTCACCGTCGCGGAGAAGACGCAAAAGTCGTTGAAGAGGACGAATGGGACGACGCAGCATGAAGAAGAGGAGGAAGCGGCTGCTGTAGCAGCGGCGGCTAAGAGGCCGCGGATAGAAGAAGACAAGTCCAAGTCTCTTGTTCTTGCTGGTTCGTCGATAGCTTTCCCCCCTTTCCTCCCAACCCTTTTTTTTTTTTTTTTTTTTTTTCCTTGCGAAAACTAACCAAATTGAAATGTGACACAAGCCGGGAAGAAGACCACGCACGATCCCGCGGCTGACGCTGAGCGGCTCGAAAAGATGTGCGGTGCCGTCCGCACCATCCTGGAGTGTATCGGCGAAGATGCCGACCGCCCCGGCCTGCTGGACTCGCCGGCGCGGTACGCCAAGGCGCTGCTGTTCCTGACCAAGGGATATCAGCAGACGCCGCGAGAGATCATCAACAATGCCATCTGGGAGGACGAAGGGCATAATCACCACGGCATGGTCATCGTTCGGGATATTGAGATTTTCAGCCTATGCGAGCATCACCTTGTTCCCTTTAACGGAAAGGTAAAAGCGAGCCCAGTTCTTCCAAGCCTTCCCTTTTTTCCTCCTTTCTTTTCAGAGCTAACAGGACTTGAAATAGATGCATATCGGCTACATCCCCAACACCCGCGTCCTCGGCCTCTCCAAACTCGCCCGCATCGCCGAAGTCTACGCCCGCCGCCTCCAGATCCAGGAACGCCTCACCAAGGAGGTCGCCAACGCCATCATGGACGTCCTCAAGCCCCAGGGCGTCGCCGTCGTCATGGAGGCCAAGCACTTTTGCATGGTCATGCGCGGCGTCGAGAAGACGTGCGCCAGCACCGTCACGAGCTCTGTCCTTGGATGCTTCGAGAGAAGTTCCAAGACCAGGAATGAGTTCTTGAGTCTCCTTCGGTTGGACAGGCAGATATAAGAAAAGAGAAGGAAGGAAAGCCGAGGGTTCCCCGGTCTTCTTTCTTCCCCAACCTCCGCCCAGGGGTTGGAAGTTCTTGCTTTACGATGATAATAAACTCAGGGGGAAAATATTTTGGGAATGCCCTTTCTTTATGTTGACGACGCGAAAACCGAACCTCTTTAACTCCCATCTTCAACATGCTTGGGGTTAGAATCAAGACTCATATAAACAAATACATTCCAGGAGGAAAGAGGAGTGAGAGAGCCTCTAAGGAGAAACAGAACATGTCGGGCTTTATATTTTTTTTCTTCTTCTTCTATTCACGAAACTGGCTAGAGATGGTTTTATTTCTCATATGGGAGTTCTGTTTTATTCGCAGGGTATGATAGAGGTTTGGTTTTAGATTTACATGGTTGACTGGAGCTCAACGCTCCCACTTCATTTCACGATTCTTCATTTTGGGAGGGGAATAAATTTTGGGAATTACTGATTGGCATTGATTTTACCTGATTTCGTTGTAGTCGTGATGAGAATAGAGTCATAGCCAAGACTTTATATTCGAGTCCGGCCTGGATGCAGATGCCGTCCATGATGATTTAATCCGTCTCCCGCCGTGTCCATTTTCCCAGCGGGAGATTCCAGATGGAAAGGATGCAAAATGCTAAAGCAGAATCGGTCTCAGCAACGGCCGAGCGATCTGAGATGAATAGAAAAAGGAAGAAAAAACGTCCTCATGCAGCCACTTATAAAACAATCCTTCAGCCAGCCCCCCTCCTCCTCTTCAGTCGAGAATCATAAATACCGTTCCAATCACCACACCCAGACAAAAGGCAACCGTCACAAACGCCGCGGCAACCCTGTCCTTCGTTTCGATCGGCGCAAAATCATATTTGCTCTTCTTCGTCGTCCCCTCACTCTCATCAGCCCGGGACGTACCGCCCGAGTCCAGCGTGACTGGGGCAGCCGACGCGCCGCCCTGCGTGTAGATGACGGCAGCCAGAGCGTTCATCTGCTCCCCGACACCAGCGAACCCGTCGAACGTCTTCTTCGACCAGTCCTGCCCGCACGCGGTACCGGGGTGACCCCTGAAATCGACACCCGGGGAGCCGGAGCCATCGCATGAGAGGGCGGCTGCCTCGCCCGAGGCCTGGAGAAGAGGGCGGATGATGTCGGCGGTGTGGGAGGCGAGGTGAGCCGTCGAGGCCATCCAGCGGAGGAGGTATCCCTTGAAAGAACGCTGGTCGATGTTACATACCTGGAAGGGCTCGCAGGCTTGCTCGAAGATGATGCTATTGTTGAAGAAGACCTCGACGGTGGTGGCGAGGAGGCCATCGAGGCGCGCCTTCCACACCTCGCTTCCCGTGATGTTGTACATGACGGCGGCGCCGTGGAGGTGGATCCCCGCGTTGTAGCTCCATAGGAACTCGGTCTTCTGCGCGCACTGGTCCTCGACATGGGCGCCGTCCTCGACGGTGAACTGCGGCGTGATGAAGCCCACCTCTGTCTCCCAATCGTATACCTTCTCGGCCCACTCGGCGTAGGTCTGGTTGCCCGTGTACCGGGCCAGGCGGGCGGCGATGTTGAAGAAGCAGCCGTTGGAGATGGCGTTCTTGTAGTTGAAGCCCGGGTTGATGGCGAAGATTTGCCAGCGCAGGCCGCCGTTGCAGTCCTGGGGCTCCCATCGAGATACGTACAGGTCGAAGGTGGCCTGGGCGAGGGCGAGGTACTGGGGCTGGTCAGCGGGCGGGTTTGGGAAGTTGTTCTCGGCGGCTTGCATGACGGACATGGCCCAGAAGCCCTGGTCGTCGTTGCCTTCGGTGCTCGTTTGGTTCTTGGGCATGAGGTCGCGTAGGTCACCGGATTGGTGGACTATCGCTTGTATCGTTAGGTTGTTGTATGTTTCATCTCCGGTGATGTGCCAGTAGTCTATTAAGTGTCCGAACATGGCACCGGCCTCCCACCCTGTTTAGTGTTAGATTGATGATTTCGAAAGAGTGGGAAATGACTTACAGAAGTACGGATCGGGGAGGTTTCCCGGCACATCTCCTGTGTTATTTCCTGTATAGTACTTCATGAGGCCAAAGGCAATCGTCGACGCAGCCTCAAACACATCGGCTAGGAAATATGTGCGTTAGGATAACCTCTCAAAATAACTCACACTTTGGGGCCACATACTCTGATCCGCAAAGTTCACCTCCAGAGCAGCAGCCGTCTGTAGAAGCGCGCCGGCAGCAAGGCCAGCAAGCCGTAATAACCTCACCATTATGTTTGTATGTGATGTGTGTGTGTGTGGAGAGATGTATGCGAAAACCAAAACCAAGACCGGAAACCGTATATAAACACCCAATATTGGAAACAGTGGCTGGCTTCCTTTCGAATCGTGGACTGGAGATCGGAGACTTGACAGGAAAGTCCTGGCCGAAAACGATTCCTGTGGAGAATTCGCTCTTTGGTGTAAGTGAACCGCGACGCAGCAAATCCAACCCAGAAGAAATGTTCCTAAAACACAAGAAAAAAGGCAGAGAATCTCAGCCTGGAGAGAATGGAATTCTCTTGTGAGGAAGGAGAACTGAAAGATTGAAGAAGAAAATAATAACAGTCGTCCAAGCGAACCGCACGAAAAGAAAGAATGATGCACAACCAGGGCCAAAGAATCGAAGAAGAGAATGAAATGAGTCCCCAGGACTCGAACGAATGGAACTGCTTTACCAGGAAAGCATCACGAGAAAGAAGGAGGAGAAAAGAAAAAAAGGAATAGAAACAAGCACAGAAGAAGCCTGATTCCAAGACCTGCCCGTAAAAGAAGAAAAACAAGATAAAATGAAGAATGAAAGAAAGAGGTTGAAAAGGTGTGGAGAGAAGGAAATAGGTAAGCTAAAGCTCCTCCATGGCGTCCGTCCGCAGTCCGCAAGTCCCGAATCGGCACCTCTCCCAAGATCCGCTTGTAAGTCAAAGAGAGCGACGTGCGTATGCCGCAGACGGCAACCGTCCAATCCCAGAAAAACAAAAAGGGGGAACAGCCTATAGGAGCGACATGCTAAGCTCATCCCGATCTCCTCTGGGCCAAAATAAGCCTCCTCCTGGCATCGGACACATATAGGCTCAGCTTAAAACTAGGCAATAGGCGGTGCAGAAAAAGGCTACTGTCGTCCCTGGTTTCAAGCCCGACAATGGAGGCGAATGAAAGGGCCGGGTGTTTCTTTTGCGGGCTCCGGGTTGCATCTTTGGCGGGCTGGGGGGCTGTGTTGGGTGCATTCGCCAAGGTTGGTGGTTGAGGGCCTGAAACGGTTCGAGTTTCTAACCTTGTTGCCGGCCAGGGGGAGGACCCCACAGATGGCTAAAGAGGTTTTAAACTTAGACATGCAGATTTCCTTTGCCTCACTGAGAATGGTGTACGTCAAGTGTTTAAGAAATTGGACGAAGTCAATTCGACGTCCAATGGTGATGTTCGAGATTGTAGGTGAGAATTCCGAGTTGAGTCCCTCCTTCCTGACTTTGAGGCAGATGAGCCAGGGAAGTCGACAGGATGTCATTGAGGAAGGAACACTGCAACAAGGTACAAAGCTTTGTACTTCGTCTCAATCAATGCTAAAAGTAGAAAGAGACATGGGGTCGGGGTGGCACTGACAGCTTCAATGCTTGAGAGCCGCATCGAAGCAGCCACTGCACGACAAAGTGCGACCTGGCGACCACCAACACAACGTCAACGGACGAAGGGTCCGAGTATATTTCAACTCCATCCGATGCCACCCTGATGCCACCCCCTGAAGCATTCGTCGTATATAGCAAAATACGAAGCCACTCTCCCATGGCCTGGTTGATACAAACATTAATCAACCTTCTAGTCAATCTTATTTTCTCATCCTCACTGGACCCGATCTACACGCTCGCAGATCTCCAATCCTTCCCTCCCTCAGTAACCAGGCTGCAACCACCGATCCCTTTAAACCGCCCTTCCACTCCCGCAATCCAGGATTCCCCTAGGATCTTCCCGGCAATCTCCTCTCTTGATCTGCATAACACGCCGCTCCTCTCATCTACGGACGCACGTCAAAGCTTACTTTTTGGTTATGTGATGGCTTCTAACCCTCGGACTTACGCCGTCGGAAACGTTTATTTCCTCTCAGAGCAACACCTCCTTTGCGCTACCTTGGTAGATAACCAGCCTGATCCCGTAGACTCCTGGAGTCATACATTGATCAATGCTACTGTGCCTCATCATTACCCAACTCCGTTCCCAATGATGCTTTACCCTCCATTAAAATGCAAAGCCAATGTTGGACTGCGAAACGCCGAAAAACACCACCGCGGCAACAAAACAAGAGAACTCGAGTACGAAGCACGTACAAAAGGGAAGGGGAGGAAAAAAAAAAAAAAAAAAAAAAAAAAAAAAAAAAGTCTCTATAACCTCCCAAAAGAAGCGCCGACCTTCCTTTCTCCATGAAAGAACAGCCACCCACTCATCACACTTCTAGTTCAAAAACAAGCCCCTCAAACGACGAATAAACATTGATGCCCCCTCAAAGTTTCGCCAGTAAAATGTAGAAGAAACCCATCATTATTACCATATAGCATGTGCACAGCAGAGAAGAGGGATAAAAGAAGAAAAGAACATTAAATACCCCGGAATGCCAGCAGTCAGAGAAACGAAACGAAGGGGAAAATAGAAACAAAGGGAAAGGGCGGCTAAGAGGCGTGTGAATTTCATGTGTGTTTGTTCTTCTTTCCCCTTACTCGCGATGTCGGCTCGGGCTACGATGGAGTTTCCTCTCCGTCTTCTCCTTGATGAGCGCTCGGCTTGTACCTTCATCATACCCAATCACCCAAGTTAGATAGAAGAACCTGTCGGATCCATTTGTTAGTAAGCCAAAGGAAAATAACCAAAAAAAAAGAGAAATAAGAAGACAACCTACTTCTCATCATGATACACCCTCCGCCGCACCTCCTCAAACCTCTGCAAACAATCCGCCCAAACCTCCGCCCTCCTCACCCGATCCACCGCCTTAACAGTATAAATCAACCTGGCCGAAACAGGCCTATGATCCGAAACCCTCACCTCGTGCCTCCTATAATCGATCTGCCTGATCCTTCCGCCCCCGCGATGCAGCACACGATCGCACCACGCGGGAGAGCGCCTCTTCTCGCTCGTGTCATACGTGTCCGTCCCGACGTCGTACTTGTACGTGGGCGCGAACGAGATGGGCATCTCCTCGAAGGCGCGGAGGCGGAAGGCCGGGTTGCGCCGGCGGGCTACGAGGAGCTGGTCGCGCTCGAGGAGCTTGGCGAGGTTGTTGGCCTTGACGGCCATGACTACGGTGTCGCGCGACATAGTGTCGATGCGGTAGTTGAGGTCGCCGCTGAGGAGGCAGAGCTCGTGGTCGAGGATCATCGTGCCGTCGCCGCCACCGACGAAGCTGTCGAGGCAGGTGGTGGGGTCGCGTTCGGCGGGGAGGATGGCCGAGTCGAGGATCGCTGCGACGTCTGTGTGGCGGGCGTTGGCTTGCGACTGACCTGCTGCCAAGTGGCAGTTTACGAAGCAGAGGGACGTGTCGTCGATCATGAAGCGGATTATCACAGCGCCCTAGATTTGCCGTGTTAGCATCTGTGGTTGATCTTCTCGTCTTTCGCTGTTGAACCTAGAGAGTTTCGTTTGTCCTTACCTTGTTTCCATGTAAACCGCCCATTCCCCGCTTCACTTCGACATTCTTGAGGTTGCTTATCCTGTCTCGTACTGTTGACTTGATAAAAATGCACGTAAACAGGCCGACCATGTGTGCTGTCTGCAGTAAGTGGTAAAGCTCATCGGCTGGCATGTAGTCATCCAAGCTCTTGAGCAAGAAGTCACGCCAGTCGCGGTACTGGTGGCTCATTCGTTCTTGCACGGATCCTTCCTTCTTGTCCTTCTTCTTTGGCTTCAAAAATCGTTCTGGTGTTGGGCAATGTTAGCCATACATGCACCCATGTACAAAGCATCAATAAAGAAGAAAGGAAAAAGGAAAAATGAAAAAGAAGAAAAACAAAAGAGAAAAAAAAAGAAGAAGAAAAAAGGACTACTCTCAAAACTTACTTGCGGTGGCTGTCTTGTCTTCAAGATCCACCAACTCCTGGAATCCAAACACCAAAATATCCGGCCGATCCGCCTGATGCAGCAAGTTCTGTATAAAACTGGCATCCGACTCCGAATACCGAAGGCTGTGAGGCGTCGACGCCCCAGCATTCCACGTCATGAGCATCACTTTGAGGTCCTGGAAGCGGCAGTATTTGGTATCTAGCGACTTCATCTGGTCCTCGAGCCAATCCTCCTGAAGCAGCCCGTCCCACGCCCGGATCAAGTTATCCGCGCCGAAGGAGATGACCTGCAGCTTGTCCATGCGGTAGGCGCTAGCCGGGTCGGCGATGATCTTGATGACTGGGTTCTCGTGTGCGTGCCACTCCTTCTTGACGGCCCACGGCGTCTTGCTCGTGTCGTAGACGCATATCCGCCCATTGTTGTACCCGGCCCAGATGTATGTGCCCACGCACGCCATCGAGTTAATCTTGAACGAGCTCACGTTCATCACCTTGATGCACGAGTAATCCGTGCGCGAGTACACGCTGACCCGCCCGTCCGAGTGTCCGAAGAGCACTTTGTCCGGATCCGACCTCATGATTGTCCCGGCGGTGACGTCGCCGGCGGTGTCCTGGACCAAAGCCCGCATGAGAACCTGGAACTGGCCCTTGCCGCTCACCGACGGCGTGAACACCCTGATTTCCTTGCCTGTCGCGTACCAAAGCTGGTCGCCAACGACCATGGAGAAAGTGTGGCCCTTGGGCACCCTGTAGATCTGGCTCGGGTTACCGCCGAGGCTTGGTGCGCCGTTCTCTGTAGGTTCCCAGACGTGTAAAGCGCCCGTCTCGTCCAGCGTCCATAGCTCGTTGAAGTGCCGGTAAATCTTGATAATCTCGCTTCGGCCGTGCGCATTCGGCTTGATCGATATGATGCTCTGCGTCACGACGTCGACCTCCATGAGTTCTCCGACATTGTTTCCGATCCATAATCGCGCGCCTTCCTCATCCACATGGGCACCCGGCTTGAAGATCGCTGCCGTCGCTTTAGTTCCCTCTCCGTGTGCCAAGCTTAGGACCTGTTCGCCGTCCTGAAGGTTCCACGCTCTCGTCAATTGCCCTACGCTGCAGACATATTGGCCGCAGACATCGATGACCTTCGCGTCGTACTTGGTTGATATTTCGTGGGCCCCTTGCTTGATGAATGGTGGCCGCCTGTTGACATTAGACGCATCTGGATAAGAACCTGCTTGGCCGGGAGGCTCTGTCCGAGGTGCAGAGGCGGCGGGAGGCGCAGAGTTGTTGGTAATTACTTTCAGGTCAGAGGATTGGCGATCTGTAGCCTGCTGTTCAGCCGGCAGGGACCTTGTGTTAACGCGAGAGGGTGGCGGAGGTAGTCGATTAATCGCCGCCGACGGAGATACACGTCGCGTTGCGGACGCTGGGACGTGTGGGGTGTGGGGACCGTCAACGAACGTATGGTTTGTGGTGTTAATAGTGGGTCTAGGAGGTCGTGGAGGAGGTGGTTTCGTGGAGTTATTAATCGGTGGTGGACGAGGAGGCGGTTCCATAGACATACGGGGTCGGTTGGGTAGAGCAGGGCGGCGTTCGCCTGTACACTGGGGTGAAATGTAAGACTTGGAAAACTGGTGACTGTCTCGTTCCGGTCGCCTGCCAGCAAGAGATGGATGAACGGGCGGGGGCTCGAAATTGGTCCAGGTCTGGCTCCGCGGTTGAAAGTACTCTGACTGTGGCCGGGGCCTTCGTGGCACCGGAGGAGGTGCCTCATGATCACTACTATCCGGGCTACTCGGCGGGCTGCTGAAAGGAGAGGTCTCCTGAGCTAGATGGGGCGGAGGAGGAGGAGCCTTCGCTATGCCATTCTGAGGCTTCGGAGCAATAATCTGCGAGTTTCTCGATGGCATCACAGGCTTTTCGGCCCGATTTATAGGCGGAGGGGCTGGTTTGGTTTCCCGCTTGAACTCGCCAGATCGGCGCGGCGGCGGCGGCGACGGAGGGTTGGATCCGGTGATTCTCGAAAGCCGCCGCGGATCCGGGCCAGGGGAGTGGGTCCGGCTAGGTATCTTAAACGACCGCGGCGAGCTAGCAGGAGTCGTCGAAGAAACAAGGGAGTCGGGGTTGAGAAAAGCGGTATGCTCGCCGAGGTTCGGGTGCGTTGTTCTCTCCTTGGGTGGAGACAGGGGAGGCTGTATAAGGACCGAAGGCGGGCGCATGGGCTTCGTGGGTTTCGGACTGAGGGGAGGCGGGGGAGCGACGGGTCGAGCGGGCGACAGGGAGTGGGAGTCATCATTATTACTCGGTATCTTTAGACTATTAAAGGTCGGTCTATTCTTCGGCACGGGAGGGGGTGTGGGCGCGGCCTCTCGCTCTGGCTTCGCATCTCGCAGCGCAATCGGTTTCGGGGCAGGGGATATTGGGCGAAAAGGGGCCGCTGAGAGGGTGGGGTTCGCCTCTTTGATTTTGCTCATACTCTCGAAATGCGAGCGCAGAGAAGAAACGGGTTTCTAGAGCAGAATGTTAGGAGAAGATAGGATCAGTCGAGGGCCAGGAGCAGGGCGGCTCAGCGCGAAAGAGGACTAACGATGTGGGAGGCATCTTGCCCATCAGGCTTGTTGTTGTTGTCCATGGTTCGCTGGGTTATCCCATACTACCACCCAGTGGAGGCCTTGCGCGGGGGAAGAGATGACGGAAATCGTTCGTAGAGTTCGATGGAAACGGAATTAGAGACGCAACCCTTGCCTCTCCGTCATTAGCTCAGCTACCAGTAGCGGAGGTCAAAGACGGATTGGATTGTGGGTTTCGGGTCTGAGCACAAGACCTCCCGTTATTGGAGGGGCACGACGGCGACGTTGACGGGTAGGAGCGATAGTCGGTTGGGGTTGGTGATGGTGAAGGGTCTCTCGACAGGACGGGACATAATCGGTGCCCCTGGTGAGTCGGAGAGTTGAGATGAGACCAAAGGCGGGATCGCAGAGTGTCGAGGGACTCTGGGTAATTTCGATTTCATCCAAGGGCAGTCAGTGCTCAAGGAGAACCGGGGCGTTGGGCTGGATGCTTTGCCCCGGCGAAAAGTGGAACGCTCCGGCTCGGAAAGGGGACACGCGAGGTAACCCGGATACAGTAGGACTGCTACGAATATCGATCAGCCTCGGAGCTGCCTGTCGTCGGTGTCGTCGGCTGTGGTTGAGGTTTTGTTGAACCAGGGCGGGCCGACGGTGGAGGAGTTGGTGGGAAGGAGAGGAGCAGCAGTAGCCAGCAGCAAGGAGGTTCTGTGGCGGTTTCTAGAAGAAACAAGGGGGGGAGTACCGCACCACGGAAATACCGCCGGGATGATACGTTGGCATGGCAGTGCCGTTTGTACCTGTCGAAGATTTGTGGGCCGGTTTTGGGTGCGCAGGTACCACACTGCAGTGCCTGATTGATATTACAGGGACGTCGACACACTAAAACCTTTAAGCTGCTGGCTCTGGCACCAATCTAGTGGGCATCGACAGAACGGGTCCCGGTATAAGAATAGAGATTTGGATTGAGAAGAGTTCAACGTTGAAGGTCAAAGCTGATTACATACTCTAAAATACTGAGGTACATTGGTCGAAGACTACATGTACTTCGTAAAGTCAACGAAACAAGCGTGCGAGAGGTGTCCTCTTTCCCGAACAGTCTGGTCTGTATTATCCCTACAATAAGTACATGGAGCCTCACCACTGGTACCAGCAGCACTAAGACTAGCCTGGCCTGTCTCATGTGAAACTTCGACAAAATCCCCTATCGAATTAAAGCGCCAGCAGAAGGCAGACATTCGAAGTAGTGACATTAACTAGGATCGATATGTCGCCAGTACCCAGCCATGAGTCTCATTACCCATCTTCGTTTTGGTGTCCGTTGTGTTCCGCACTGCAAGGCTTCGAAAATCAATGTTCGCCTGGCCAAGTCTGGACTTTGATCTCGTGCAGAGCAGAGAGATACGAGATGCCCCACGCCCGAAATGTACCGACTGTTTTACGTGTGCCAAGATGCGAGGTCTGGACTACGAAGCACACTGTCGTTTAGATTCCATTCTTTGCACAACACGGAAGCTGGTGGCAAGTCCCAGGGTCTAAAAATGGAATAACTTCCCTGTGTACTTCATATCCTCAAAGTACTTCGTGTTTGTATAGCTTACAGCCCGAAGGTTAACCGACGCCGCCGTCAACGGACCAAGGTACGTCACTCCACTTCCTCAACCTCGTAAGGACAAAAGAGGCAGAGGCTAGGAGATACGTACCCATCGCCGAACTCTTTTCGGCGATTGCCCATCGTCACAGCTCCAGCCAAAAACTTCTCAGTGCGACAGTTTTCCGAATCCTCCCTCAGATCATCCTCGGCCATCAATCTTTAATTCTCTTTCCTACCAAAAACTTCTCGCACCCAACCCAACGACGCGCCCTTCCTTGATTTTCAAATCAAAGAACAACCATCTACTCCCTCGGCCCTTTTCAATCCGTCGCAAAAATGAATACTGTGAGTTACCGAAGAGTCCCTTTTTTTTTTTTTTCTCGTTTTCCACAGCCGCTAACAGAAACCCTGGACTTCTATAAGGCACGCTCCTTCTGGTCAGAACACCCGCAACACCCGCATTTTCCAGCGCAACTAACATCGTATCTAGGTTCGGATGGGGCTCTCTCTGCGTCGGTACGGTTACTAGCGCCTCATAACCCTCTTCCCACTCCCCAATTCCTCCCACCGAAGGTGTCCGTCCTGTCGTCGCTAACACCACTTCTACAGCTGGCGCCGGAGCCTACTTCTTCGCGAAGAAGTCCATCAACGCCGATCGCGCGGCCAACCTTGAGGAGCGGAGGCAAAGGAAGCTGAGGGACGCAGCCCTCGCTGAACAACAATACCTTGCCACCCAAAACGGTCAGAAAGAAGCACCCCGAACCGACGCCGTGGGCTCTCCCTCCCAAGAAGGCAGCCAAGACCCGGCTCCCACGCGCCACGCGCCCGAGAACGAGCACCAGAGAGTCTACGAGAAGAGTAAATACGAAAGCGACAAGCCCTTTGTGAGCCGCAAAGGCGACCGCTTCTCATAGGGGATGTGAGCCGAGGCTTTTCTACAAGGTCGCCGAGCCGGACGATCGGGGTCGTTGTGAGTTTTAAAACGGGAGAAGAACAGTACAGGGCAGTCTTTTACGCTGCAAACGAAAAGACGGAGAAAAACCTCGGGTGCTGTATACGACTAGGCGTTTGGGTCTGAGAATTCGAACTTGGGAACAGGAAAGGCTTATCACACCATTCGCTATCGGCCTCTGCCGAACTAAAATTGCCAACCCCGTCAAGAACTGCTTGGGCATGAGAGCAAGAGGTTTGGCTTCAAGCTGTTGCTTTCTATACCTCAAATTCAATTGTATTTTTTTTATTAAAAATAGTGTCATATTTCTACCATCAAAAGAGCATTTAACCTTTTAAGCTCATCAGGGTCTGTCTATCCGAGGCGTGGCCCCGGGGAAAGATGAAAAAGAAAGGTCATGGCCCATCTCCCATGTTGAATAAGCCAAATACGTCCACATCTGAACAAAATCACAGCTCGGATGTTCCAATTCCAGTCACAATGTTCTTCCCTTTGCAACCTCGCTTCTTTTCCCAGATACCCATTTCATGACGGGCGAGGAACCGGGTAGTATTGGCCTTGCGCCTGTACCATGACAGCCGCCGGCACGGAAATCTTCATGCCAGGGCATTTCGTCTCCTCGTTTTTCTAGGTCGAATTCGACAATAGTCCTCTAGTGTAAGTGGCAGCGTGAAGGTGAGGAGACCCCCTCCCTTTTCTGCTCTGCAGTCTCTGCTCCGTGATGATCGCTGCATGGAGGATGAAGAAACGAAATCCATCACAAGGGGATAGCTACTCAAACATGGCAGCTGGTGATACCTATTTGCCATTTGTTACTCTACAAGAAGACCGACGAGAACTGGGTCTAGTGGCTGAGTGGCTAGAATCGTAGAGACTATAAAGTCCATGAGATTACCTCCATGTCCCGAGGCATTCTCATCACAGGAGTAGTCGTGTTAGGTGGCCGGTCAAAGCATTTCAGCGATGTGATGAGGCGGAGCTCCTCTTTTTTTCGGCAAGTCGTGGGGAGCGCAGGTTGGAGTATCGATTAAACCAAAGGCACGATTTCTCTCTCTGACTATGAGAGAGAACCCTGATTCGATAATGGTGTCTAAAATATTCAATTCGAAACCAGCATAGTGGGGAATTGGAACACCTTTGATCTCGACCTTGAGCTTCATGCATGCCGACCAACAAGGAACGATGGGTGGCACCTAGACTCCGCCACGCCTCGCTCGGCACCAACACGATGCTTTGTGCAACCGTCTCCTTTGACCACCTGGGCTGGAAGTAGTAGCATTGAATTATTTTTTTGCTTCTGCCGTTTCAAAACCAGGGAATTTCCGCGGGACCGACTTCAGCTGCCATCGCTGGCCATCAACGCTCATCCATCTCTCACGGTAGCCACGCCGACAGATTTACGGCGCCCGGCGTCTTGCCTGCATCATGGATCCCCAAGCCCCGCCCTCCGATGTGCCGGATTCATACGAGCCGCCAACCCTGGACCCTACTCCTGCCGATCCCTCGACGTTCCCCGACCCTGAGGGGGCGGCTGCCATGAAGGCAATGTCCGACAAGGTCCAATCCATGTATGACAGCGGAGTGCCGCTCTTCACCAAAGATGCTCTTCGACATGCCGCAAACCAGCTGGCCCTGTACCGCGCAAGACCCCGAGACGACCGACAAGTCACTCTGATCGACATGACCGGCAAGAGTGTGGAGTATACCATCTGCCTGCCATTCTCCGACCACAGGTCTGACGACAAATCTGACATCGAGGTGATAGAGTACAGCATATATATATCTCCCAGTTCAATTGTTGTCTTTCAAACTGACATTCTTGTAGGAGCGTTCAGCTTGATTATTGGTCCCTGGAATCCCTTATGGGACGATTAAGTTCTGAACTGGATGGTATCACACCTTATATCACGACATTAATTGTCTATTGCAGTTGGGAACGAAGGAAAAGGTCCGGACCCCTACCGCCTCTCGGGTGTGTGGGAGACTTGCAGCAGATTTTTGAGGATGCCAGGGCAGAATGGGATTCCAGCACACAACACGATGAACTGCAGCAAATCCTGGCTGCCCTGAAACTCCCATTCGGGCTCAGCAAAGTGATTGCATTCGCATTGGGTTCTATGGGTGGCGACTTTAGAGCCTCTCGACAGTCCTCGATCCAGCATGCACTGCTCCTGAGTCTTCGACGTGGACTTTCCAATTCCACCCAGACGCCCGAGCTCGAATGCTTCTCACAGGAGCCTGGATACTCGGATCAGGACAAGCAGGTCCTCCAGGCATCGGGAGTCAAAATCCTGGAAGACCCCGTGGGCTTTTTAGAAGTGGACGAGACTAGCGTTATTTTATCGATTGCGCCTAACGTGCCAGTCAAGCAGATCATCACGGACCTCGGCCGACCCGCCATCATGATTTGGTGCAAGCCACCAGAATCAGACGATCGACCAATGTATCAAAACTGCACCAATTTCGCCCCTCTAAAGTATGTGGTTCTTCTAACGTACGTGGTAGGACGGATCCGGAATCGTCGAGGGTTCGGGAGATGCTGAAGAACGAATACTCCAAGACGGACTTTCCGCGCCACGAGGCTTACCCCCCTCTATCTCTCTATGTTAGAAAAGCTGTTATAGGACGGGTTTCCGAGTGAAGGGAAGTGGCCGCATACAAATTCGTGTATCGATCCCTGAGATTCACCATGCAAATTCGAGATTGACGCTGCCATCTTCATACCCGAATCGCAATCAAGAGGAGCGTAAGAGAAAGTCAGACAGGACAATAAGCTGCGTCCAATGGCCATAACCATTACAAGTCATGTTCATCGAGTTTACATTGCCAAATTGTTGGCAGGGAGCTGAAGTTTTTGATCAAAAGTTTGACGTTTAAGTGTTGACTTGGATAGAGCAGAGCACAACGGGTCTCGTGCTGGTAGGTTGGGACTCCAGCGCGGGTTTCCCATTCCCTCTCGATCTCGAGGTGTCTACGCCGCGCCAAGATTTTTGAACCTTGGTTTTCCTATCATTGTAGGGGGCAGCTTTCTACTTTTTCAGTGGATTCAATGAGATAGACCGCCAACTCTCTCTCTCTCCTTTTTCAGGTCTGTGAGTAATCGTTTGACGGGTCTATGAGCCCTATAACTAGAAGACATTCTATATATCCAACATCTTAGTAGGTATAAAGTGTGCTATCTTGTTAACAAATTACGAGGGATCAGGATTTTGTAAATGTGATGAGAATAGCCAATGCGTCAATATCAACTCGTACAACTTGCCGCGTAACTCCTTCTGTCTTCTCTCAGCTCTCCAGGCAGTTGATCCTGTTACAGAGTGTTACTATTAAAAAGGGAGAGCTATGGGTTTGGTGAGATGTATGAAGGTGAGAGAAATGTATCTTGGGCCCGGCGTATCTCCGTTGGGAGGACAGAATAGACCAGATGATATGAGTATCCACGGTATGAAAAGGGGAGCGTACTTGGTGCAATAGAGCATTGGATGAGGAAGTTAGCTCGCCGGAAGAGCAACTGGCGTCGACGCTAGGCCTTCCGAGCCAACCTGGCGAAGCTCTGGAAGAGCAGCGGGAACGATGGTCGCGTCTTCTTCCCTCTCGATGGTTGTTGGGCCTGCATCACATCCTGCCTGGCTACATACTCGCCCAACAACTCCGCAACGTCTTCCCAATACGTGCGCACCTTGGCATCGGCGTTGGAGATGCTTCTGAAAAAGTCCCTCTTCTGAACAACCTCGCCAAGGAGATCACTTACGTCGTCGTTTCCATGGCCGGAAGAGGATTTTTTCCTCTTCTTCTTCGTCCACTTATCGGCCACATCGCGAGTATCCAAAATTATGCGCACAACTTCAAGCCTGATAGCCGGGTCTATTAAGGGGCAATACCGCTCAACGATATCCAACACATCCGGTCGTGCAAAGTGGTCGAATCCAAGGACGGCGCACGATAAGACCGGTAGTTGCTGCGGGTCGCTTAGTTTAGGTTTCTTGGTGGTCGCGATAGCTGCCCGCACGTAGGGTAAAATGGCCCACTGGGCGGCCAAGCCGGCGAAGGTGCAGACCGGCTGCCCCGGGGACATTGTGTACTGTGTGTTCGACCAGTGGGGGAGGTCTGCTGCCGAGTCTGCCACGAGACTCGCGTTGGTGCGATCTCGGTATAGCGTGTATCCGGATCCGTCCACGAACGAGGTCGACAGGGCCCCAAGCTCGCGATCTAGTCGGTCCATGATCTTTACGAGCGCATCCACTCGGCCGGGTTCGTCGCGGACGCTGGCGGCGTGGAAGAGGCACATGGATGTCCGAGACCAAAATGCCTCGACGGGTAGGTGCAGGCTTGAGTTTTCCCAAATCTTCGGGTTGGCAACCTGCACCGAGAACGCTTGCAGGAGGGCGAGATGGGGATCGAAGTCGGGGTCGACCTTGGCGCAAATGTCTTGCCAGCTGGTTTCCGTCCAGTCCCTCACGCTTCGGTGAAGGTAGTCGACTTGGCCGTCTTTGGTCACTTCAAGGAGACCTCTGGTGCGGCTGTCGAGTCTCCTACTCATGGTCCGGATAATGTGGTCGCGCTTCTCGCCGGTGATTTCTGCCATCTGGTATCCAAGGGCCTCCTCCCACTCCATGTCTGCTAGGTGAAGTGTGGTGACGTCCAGAAGGGTTTTCGCGTTGATGCGTATTTGGAAGAGCTTCGCGGTCTGGGCGATGTACTGGGGCTTAATGCTCCGCCAAATTCTCTGGTACAGCTGCGACAAGTCTGTCGGCAGCATGTTGAGCAGCGCCTGTAGCTCACCCAGGTTATCGCCTTCCGTCAGACCTTCACAGAGCGCCCGAACAACGACGGACACCCAGAGAAAAACGCCCTGCGCCTTGTCGACGATCCCTTGCGTGAGCCGCTTCGCCTCCACGGGATACGCTTGCCGGAGCTCATGGAAGCCTTGGGTCTGGTTAAACTCGCCGTTGACAAAGGCCTCGACGTCCCTACTCGTGAATTCTTCCATCCTAAGGCTCGGGGTGGCGCTGAAAGCATCCTTGAACATGTTCCAAGGCCTACTACTAATAATAACCTTGGTACCCTGGCGACGATAAAAAAGCTTGACGAAGTCGATAAGCTTCTGATGATCGCCGGTGAATTCGTCAAGACCGTCGATGAACAGCGCCAACTTGAACCTGTTGTTCTTTGCGGAGAGCAGCAGCAGGGCCGAGAAACACTCGACCAACTCTCCCCACGACCATTGCGGCGCTTGGTTTACGTCGGTGGCACCGAATATCTTGAACCAGGCCCAACGGCGCGGGCAGATCTTCGGCGCTAGGCTCGGCATCTGCTCGATGCATTGGAGTAACAGGGTCCGCAGCAACCCCGTTTGGGATTTCTGCAGTTCTGAGCTGCCGGCATTCCAGAAGTAAAAAGAGGCGAGAATAAGCTGCTGGCCGCAGCTCCACTTGCGAAGATGCTCTATCGTCTTCGGATGCGTGGTGAGGAACTTCATCATCGTGCTCTTCCCTGCCCCGGCCTTTCCTGTGATCCAGTATACGTCGTCTACGGACTGTTCAAGCCACCGGGGTAATTCTGTCCAAGGACCACGAGGGCTTGACTGTGGGGGCCTCTCGAAGACCCACTGGAATGTCCTCGTATATGCTTCCGGGATGGCATCTTCCCGATGCTTCACGCCTTGAAAGCGAAGACTATCGACAATTGCCTTGACGTAGAATTCGGATTCAGTCTCCTGGCGGTTCAGCAATCGAGAGGCGTATCGGTCTGTCTGGTTTGGCGCCTGCAGAGCGGTATCCTGAGCTCCGTTCCAGTTCCCCACTTCGTCCGACGCGAGGTGAGCTCCAATGGTGGACAGCTGCAGGCGCGAAGAGATGCCCTCCGAAGACCAGATGGATTCGGCAATAGCTTGACGGCGATGGTCTAATTTGGACGGGTCCTCGTCAACGACATGGACGAGAGAGTATTTGAAACTGGAGACGTCGGCCGCCAACTTATTGAGAGTCCCTAGTATCTCGGCCTGGCGATGAGAAAGACGCTGTTGCTCGTGGACCACGGACGACGATTTCTCCCTTGAACAGCAAAAAAGCGACTTGATCAGAAGGCTAATCTCATGGAAAATGAACACGGTAGCTTTTCACGCCCATGGCTTTACTTACCACAACACAAGAGTCGTCATGGCCATCATCTGCTCCCTGAGACGGGCCAACTTCCTGTGCCATTCACTCGCATCAAACCGTACCGAGCGCAGAGCATCCATCAAGCTATTCACCGCTTTCCCACCCTGCTCACCAAAAAGGAACTTCATCCTGAAATGCTCAGGCCGAAATTTCCGAATCGCCGCGTCGAGATCCTGTGCGGCCACGGAGCACTCGCCGCATATATCGACGAGGAGGGCTTCGAAGCTCCCATCTTCGGGCTTGCCTTGTCCGAGGAGAGCCCGTCGCGACGTGATTTTCCGACCCAGCTCGGCCAGGTCGTTGGCGATCGTGGTGAGGTCTGCCTCGTCGGTCGTCAGGCCCGATGGGGATTTGTATAATTGGAAGGCCTGTGAACAGAGGCGCGTTCCGAAGTCGATGAACTGGGCTACTGCCGCAGAAATGGCGAGGATATCGAGTGGTTCCATAGCTGAATGTTAGCATCGCACCAGTCTTTCTGGTGAGATTTGTGTGTTCTCATTGGGTTGTCGAGATATAAGGCTCAGCCCAACCAAACTAACACCTTTCCGTGGCAAGAATACTGCTGCTTTAATGAGTATCGAGAGACCGCTGCTCCGTAGAAGTGGTCGAAAGCGAAGAGAAGAAGAGGTTTGGCCGTGGAGCGACCAGGCTGTGCAGATTTTGTTGCACTCAGCTACTCTAACACGGATTAATCTGCGAGCTGTCGCGCTGAACAGCGAACCCCCCCCTCATCATCGCCTGGCTTGTCGACGCCCATGCACCGAGGACTGCGCCACCTCGTCTTTATCGACTTGTCGAGTCATTAGACGGGATGCCACGGAGTACTTGTCCGACAAGGAACGGGGCCTTCTAATAGGTTGCAGGACTATTGATCTGTACGCCTTGGGTCGCCTCAAAACGCAATCCGCATCCCAATGTCAAACCAGAGAGCGAGGCCTCCACGCGTTCCCGCTCGGAGAGCCACTTATTCGTAGGGTTTCTCTTTTTAAAGCCCGGTTGCTCTCTGGGAGTAAGTCTCGTTGATAATTAAATACTTGCGTGTTAAAGATAAGACGGCTGGCCCCGATTCCGACTCGAAGCTTTTCGTACGACGGACGCGGTAACGAGGTTCGGTCTGTCTCGGTGAGGAGAGTCCAAGAGAACGTAAAACGGGATATTCTCAAGCATGTAGAGTTTTCTTTAGGTATCTATAAGGGAATAACCATAATCTCCTACCCGTACTACTCAGCGCCTTCTGCTTCGCCAATCTGGCAGCTCACGTCCTAGGATGCCGCATATTGGCCTTGATCCTCTCCAAAAGCTCCTCCCTCGTCGCTGAAGCCGCAGGCATCAAGTTCCTCTAACAAATCAAGGCATCATATTAGCTCTTCAAATAGCTCGAAGAAGACCACTTTCCGCATGTAAAACAAGAGCTCCCAGTGACCAGAAGGCCGGAAGTCTCGAGTGATTACTTACAGCACCAAGCCACCTCCTCATCTCCTGGAGCGTCCAGTCTTCGGGGTTCCCAGTCGGGTCGGGCTGGGCTGGGAACATGTCGCCTCCCCAGATGGACCATGCGGCGACTGCGGTGATGACGCCTCCAAAGGCTAGATGGAAGGTTAGCTATAGAACAAAATTGGTGTCTGGGATTTGAGTGCTTGGGACGACAGGGCACTTCATACTTAAGAGGAGGTTCTAGGCATCATCAATGGGCATGTTAGTTTCAGTCAAATGTCCTCACGGGATCCGGTGTAATCAACTGACCTTGGATTTCATCGCATTGTCAAGAGGTGTCATTTTTGGTGGTATTTTCTTCTTCTCTCTTTGGATGTACAAATATATCTATTTGATAAGAAATGGAAAGGTGGAAGAGATGTTGACTTTGTTTGAATGGATCCTTGTTTGGGTGGCGATTCTAGCTCCAAGTCAACACAACAACGTCGTCCTCTGTTCTTTGTTCTTTTGTTGCTGGACGCCTCATAATTACGTGGCAGCGCCCAAACCACCGTGTCCTCAACTTCACCATCGAATCCAACATGCTCAAATACCATACAGGGACATGTTTCATCTGTCATTGAATATTGAAGTGAAAAGAACGGAAGGAAAAAAAAAGAAAAAGAAAAAAAAAAAGGAGGAAAAAAGCCGACAAGTCTATTTTTCCAGAATGCCCAAAAACTCAACCCGTCTAAATGCCAGTGACGAAAAGAAAAAAAAAGAAAAGAAAAAACAGAAGCAGAATCGTCTAAGTGTTCTCCCTCCTCCATGCATCTCGAACAGCCCCCTTCGCCACCTCCCTCAGCAACTCATGAAACTGCTGCCCCAACGCATCCACAACAACCTTCCCATCGGGCCGTAGCCGTTCCTCCAGCTCAATCTCCTCCATCGCCCGCGTAACATCCACACTCCCGTCCCACGCCGTCTCGCCGCCAACCCCCGGCTTGCCCGGCGTGATTCTATTAATAACGTCCTTTCCCTTGCGCATATTTCCCTCGAAACCCGGCGAGACGAGAGATTCGTCCAGGAGAGATTGCCAGCTGGCGAGATACATGCCCGGTCCGCACGACGTGCTCGACTCGGCCTTGTCCAGGATGGTCTGTACGCGAGCGTGCGTGATTCCGTGCAGCGAATCGAGGTAGTCTGAGTGCTTGTCGAGGACGGGTCGTATGGCATCCTGCTTCTCCTTAGGGAGGGACGCAAACATGAGTTGGAGCCGGTGTTGTGTGAATGCGTCGCCGCGAGTGCCAGCCGATGGGCCCTCGGCGCGGAATACTTCGGCGGCTCCCTGGGCCCATTCCTTCACCATGTCCCTGACCTCGGGACACTTGTTGGAAACGTGGTGCAGCCACTTATACACCGATCCCTTGTGGCGATGGAGCAAATCCACGTAATCTTCCACCGTCGGTAATTCGTACGCTCCGTCGTCATCCCGGTGTCCGTGTCCGTTCTTCGCCGTTTCCCTTCCCTCTCCAGATACCTTCCTACTCGAGCTCACGGCGATTAGATCTTCTATGAACGCCTTCGCCGCGTCGAGGTGTTCCGCTAAATCAATATTGTCGTGTATATTCCGTATCATCGGCTCGTACACGCCCACCACGTCGCGGACGGCCTGCGTGAGGAGATCGGGCGTCTGTCGGCAGAACGTGTTGACGATGACGTCCCTGTCGCGCGTCGACAGGTGCGCCGCGTAGTACTGGAGGCATTCGTGGTGCTGCGTCTCCGTTAAGGTGCAGGATAGGTTGGGGTGAGCGTCGTCGAGGATTGAGAAGATTATGGATTTTGAAGACTGGATGCTGAGTTGCCGTATTTCGAGACGCTTTTCCCTGGGGCCTTGGGCGTGTTTTCGGATGGCTTTTAGGTGCTTTGAACTTGGCGCTGCTTTGGACTTCTCGATCTTGTCGGCTGTCTTTTTGAATTCGGAAGAATCCCAATACATCACTCCGGATATGATTCTAAGGAGCGCGGACATTCCCGAGTTAGATTCGTAGCCGTATAGACAATTCGGACAATGTAGCAATAGGCCACGCACCTCTGAAGTAGATTCATCCCCTCGTCCGCCTTCGACGTCAACCCAGCCCAGTTCGAGAACGACCCCAAGCTCAACTTTGCAAGAAGCAGTTTCAGCAGGGAATTCAACATGGTCGCGGCATTCCCAAACTTAAGAATCTGCCGAATCATCCCGTAGGGAATAAGCCGGTGCGAGTTCCGGAACAGGCTGAGGACGTACTGGCCCTCGGGCGTGACGGCGAACACATGGTGCAGCAAACTCGCCAAGCTGTCGAAAGAAACCAAAGTTAGAACTGGGATAGGGGGGAAAAAAGGGAAAAGGGCCGAGACAGTAGCAAAAGAATTCCATGGTGGACACACTCACTTTATAATAGAATAGTCCGCCGCCGCTTTGACGAGATCCGAATGCCCCTCCACATCCTCGCTCTCCTCCAGCCACTCACACAACGCCTCAATCATCTCCCCATGAATCAGCTCCTCTAAAAACTCCTCCCACGAATCCTCCAAGCTCTTCTCCACCTCCTCGCCCTTCCCTCCATTCCCGTTCACGTTCACGCTCACGTTCGCATCCTCGCTCCCGTCCCTCGCATCGGAGTACGTTTCCGAACACTGATACCCACCCAAACACCCCCTCGCCAACATCTCAATAAGCGCCGACGCCCCGGTAGCCAAAGTCTTCCTAGTACCAATGGCCCCCTTGTCGTAGCTCTCACTCAGGTCCTCCTCCGCTAACTTCGCTAGCAGGCCCTGAACCCTCACATTCCAGAACTCCGGCGGTAGGTCCCGGATGCCCGGGAGCGGCAGGACGAACTTGACGAGGAGGGTCTGGAGCAGCGGTGACGTCGCCGAAGCGACTGGCTTTTTCTCATCGTCGTGGCCGTCGGTGCTCACGGGCGGAGCTGGCGCAAAGGGGTAGCCATACTGGGAGATGGTGTGCGGATGCTTAAAGGCCTCTATTTCGGAGTAGGTCTCTGCGTGGGTTAGGATGTTCAAGAGGGCGTGGATTTGGCGTTCTGTGAGCGGTGGGGGATCCATGCATTGTTCAGACGTCTGCATTACAATTTGCCGTGATGTTGGTGATCAAGTGCGTGCGAGTTCGTGATGAGATACCGGAATGTTCGGGTGAGGAATATATGTACAGGTGAAGCCGAGCGGGTGAGGATGCGATGAGATATTACTGTGGCTGGCAGTGACCATTCCTTCCTTCCCTTGTTGATTTCATCGATAACTCTAGGATGGAACTCTTTCCTGCGCGAAAATCATGAATGTCTCAAGATCTCATCTGGACCCTGGGGAGTTTTTGCTCGCGTGAGCTGACCGACCTTTCCTCTTGATCCTCGTCACACACTGTGGTAGGCACAGCCACCAAAGGCAAAAGTGAAAGAAATGAAGTCAAGGTCAAATGTTTTGTCGATGTCCTCGAAACAAGTCTCGAAACTCAAAATGGCGAGACCGGCGAGACCGCCAGAGCTAGACCCGGATCGGGAAACATCAAATACAAATGCAAAACCCCCTAAAACCCAATTACTCCCGCGCGGAGAGACACGAGACCAGGACATGGGGAAGTAGAAAATACACGCGTTTAATTCAATTTAAAATCTAATAAAAATAATAAAAATAATACGAATAATAGATTTCTGTTTTTATAGATTAGATGGCAGCCTGGAGCTTGCCCTCGGCGTGGAGAGGTCCACGTGATGGGACAGAGCAGAAGCTGTCCAAGTCAAGTGACGACGCCAAATCAACATCTCTTCCTCTTTTCGTACGGCATGTCTTCTCAGCCTTAGTCCGATGATCCACGCCTCTGGTATCTCGGGTCTGAAAGTGAGAATAGAAGGAATACGCCGTGGTTTCAACGCGCCGCGAAAGCCCGCCGAACCATCCGGGCACATTCCCCACGCTTGCTCTCGCGTTTTGAAGTGATCTCGAGGCCATGGGTGAAATAAAAAAGATATCGGCCACAAGACGTATTGTAATAAAAACGCTGTCTGCCCCGGGTTCCGGAGACTTTTTTCCGTTTGGTCTTTGTGTTTGTGTGCTTGCATCGCAGATGCGAGCAACTGAGCACACCGAGCACCCTTCCTTGCACGTGAAATCTCGGCGGCAAAGAAGTGAAACAAACAGTCATTGGAGAGGGTATATTTCTATCGTCTAACACCAAGTGGGCATTCTATTCAGTTAGTAGTAGTATACAGTCGATGAGAGGGATACATCACAGATGTAAAAACACCAAAACACAACTTGAGTTCAAAAAACCTCATCACTTCTCGAAAACGTGTTTTAGTTTTGAGAACCGTTCGAGTTCATGTCGTGGACAGTCCAGGAATCGTCAACCCAAGGCTGCTTCTGTCCGATGAAGCACAACCTTCCGGCATCCTGCTCGAGGCCTTCGACGATATACTTCTGCGCCGCCTCGCGGACCTGATCTTTCGTGACGTCCAAGAGTCGCTCTCGGCGCGCCTGCTTCATCTCGTCCGTGATACCGTAGAGGAAGTAGTTCATGCCCTCCTCGTTGACAGACCGCGGCGCGTCGATGCGCTGGAACACCGAGATCTTGGCTTCCTCGAGGTCGCGGTCGGTCCACTCCTTTTCTGTTGCCCAGCGCCCCGTGTCCCGCATGATGGAAATGGTGTTGAGCGGGTTCGGGTCGCGGTACGAATAGAAGCCGAAGAGGCCATCAAGCGCCGAGCAGTAAGCACCGCCGCCGTAAGCACCTCCCTTCTCTCGAATCTCGTGGTGGAGATGCTTGTGGGTGAGGAGCTGTGCTAGGACTTGGAGCGGCGCACCTTCCGCTGCAGTATACGACGTCGTCGGCACGGAAAGACCGCCGTAGTAGACGTGATATGGCAGGGGGAAGAATGCCTTCTTATCTTGGGGAAGACCCGCGGAGGAGTTTGTCGATGAGCCAAAGTCAAAAGGCGCCTTCGCCCTCGCCGAAAGGAACTGCCCCAAAGCCTTCGTGTTGTCCTGAACGCTCTCGGATCCACAGGTGATCGCTGTGCGCATATTGTTGCCTGAAAGGATAAAGTTCTGAATCCTCTTCAACTTCTCAATCACGTCGCTGAGACTATCAGCCGCTGGTCGGCTGGCAAGCGAGGTAATGAGCTTAACCTGAGAAAGCCCTCCGACTTGCTGCTGGAGCCAGGCGGCTCGCGTTAGACCAGATTCGGCATAGCCCCTGGCGAACTGGTGTCCCGAAGACGCGATATCGTTGACTAGGCCGTCGGCGGATGTCTGAAGGAGTTGCCGAATTCGAAGCGGGGCTTCTGCGCTATCAAAGTCCGTCTCGACAACGAGCTTTCTGATAATGTCGAACATGGCTGGCACGTTTCGGTCCAAAGCCATGCCGCTAAAGGCAATGCCTTCGGTCGCCTCCCGGAAGTTTGTGGGCGATGACGCCACGCGGTAGCCAACAGAGACACCGCCAGTCTTGAGCTTGATCAGATCCTCCAACTGCTCCATGGTCATATCCTTCGTACCAAGACGCATGATGCTATCGGCAAAGAGCGGCATGAGCTCTCGAAGTTCATCAGGAAGGCCCTCAATTGTGTTGATGGCTCGGAAATATGTGAGTCCGTTCGTCGGCGCCTCGCGCCACTGAACGCTAACATCGTCCAACTTGTCATGACGCAAGACGGAGCGCTTCGCTTCTCGGGGAATGTCGGCAACGTGAACGCTGGGAAGACACTCCAGGTCTTCCGTCCTGGTCTTGCCCTGCTCCAGGAGCAGGGTTTGCTCTTGAGCCTCGAAGACCTTTCGAGCCTCAGCTTCTCCACCTAGCTGCGAAGCTGCTTGCTCGATCTTCGACGCAAGCCGCTGCTTCTCTTCCTGGGCAATTCCCTCTCCATATGTTGGTGAAGGGGCCATGACGAAGGTGAGAGTGTTGTCATTCAGCAGGTACTTGTCGAGAAGGCCCTCGAGGTAACCACCCTTGGCAAGCTCAGCTTGGAACGCGGAGATGGTCTCGTTCCAGGCCAAAGAGTCGAAGGGATCGACGCCACTGAACCACTTAGACTTCAAGCGGTGAAGCAGCGAGAGACCAAAGGTTGCCGTCTTGTGCTTCAGGCCGAGCTCAATCTGGTGAATGGCGCCGTCGATCTTGGTTTGATCGAAGCCCTTTGCCCGGGCCCCTTCAAGGATCCGTCGAACCTCTGCCTTTAGCTTAGGGACGTCTGCCTCCTTGAGTCCTGACAGGCCAATGGAAAAGATACCGTGGCTCGGACTGCTGTCATAGCCAGTATTGGGGCTCCAGTCGGTGCCAAGGCCAGACTCGATGAGGCCCCTGTAAAGCGGCGAGCCGTAGCCGTCCAACAAAAGGTTGGACAGGAGTGATAGCGAGAATGACTCAAGCGTATTCTTAGTCTCGCCCATAATCCAAGATACCGAAGCCTTGTACTGCCTGTCGGGGTCAACCAATGGGTCGATGGGGCCAGTCACCGTCACCTCCATGGGACCGGAGCTCAGGTCGATAGGTCGCCTATGATCAACCAGCTGGTGGGTCTCTCGGAACTCGGCTAGGCGCTCGTTAACCTCCTGCAGGTGGTCCGCGAGAGCCATGTCGCCGTAGGTGAAGAACTTGGCGTTGCTTGGGTGGTAGTTCTCGAAATGGAATTGCTTTAGCTGCTCATAGGTAAGGTCCGTGATTTTCTGGGGATCTCCGCCCGAGTTATTGATGTCGGGGAAGATGTGGTCCTGGAATCGGATATAATACAAATATCCGGCATCAGACATCTGACCCTTCATCTCGTTGTAAACCACACCCTTGAACACCAGCCTGTTGCCCTCCTCACCGGCTTCAGCCTGCGGGTTCTCGGGGCCGATTCGCCAGCCCTCCTGGAGAAAGTCGGTTCGTTTGAGAAGGGGATGCAGGGTCGCATCCATGTAGACCGACATGAGGTTCTTGAAGTCCTGCGCATTGGTAGTGGCAAAGGGGTAGTACGTATGGTCGGAGGCTGTGAAGGCGTTCATGAAGTTCGACAAAGTGCGCGGAAGCATCTTGAAGAAGGGGTCTCGGATAGGGTACCTGCCAATTGGGTGTGGTGTTAGCTAGCAAGACACCACGCGCAGGTTGCTGTCGGTCAAAGGACCAAAGGGTGTCATTTACTTTTCACTTCCGCACAGCGTCGTGTGCTCGAGAATATGTGGGATGCCCGTATCATCCGGAGGATTCGTCTTGAAGCCAACTGAAAAGACATTGTTGTTATCCTCCCTCGCAATATGGAGATAGTCGGCGCCAGTCTTGTCGTGCTTGAGGTGAAGGGCAGTCAGCTCGAGCTCAGGAACATGCTTGGAGCGCATGAGCGTGAAGCCGTGCAGCTTCTCGCCGATCTTGGGATACAGCGCCGCATCGGTAACCGCCGGCGCAGCCGTCTGGGCGACATGGCCGGCCTGGCGAGCAGCAGTTCGCAACATGGTCGGAACCCAGTATCTTGTTGTGGTGTGTAGTATGCCCGAGGCCTAAAAGAGCATGACACACTAAAAAGGTTGTTGCCCAAGATACTCCAGTGATGGATTGGAGAAGGATGGAATTCCTTCCTTGACCAGGAGAAGTTATCGTCGTCTGATGTTCTGATGTTACAAGTATACAAAGTCCGAAGTATATAAGATACGAAGATTGCGAAAGAAGTACGAAGTACAATTGCACCCGAGTCAGAGTCCCCACCTCGCTGACTAAGAAAAAAAATCGGGAAGTTGCGTCCTTGTCGTTGAGTGTTGCTGTGGCTTAATAAAAAAAAAAAATTGTCTCAAAAATCGACAGGAGCAAGGTTGGTCGGTCTCAGAGCGGCAAGACCACGGCTTTTGGGAGTCTGGGGCAAGACCCAGGTTGAGGGTTTAGTCATCAGCGCAATAACTCACAACCTCTTGGCAAGACGATGTCACGGAAAGCCATGGTCCAATCGGCCTGGCCAATGACTGCCGCTCTAACACGGGCGCTGTGGACCTGTGTGGACCTTAAACTGGCTGCAAAGGGAATTTATAGTGTTCGAAGAAGTACTTCTTCCTTGCAATTGATAGGTGCAGGACCGAAGACTCCAGCAAGAACACCCACACACGACAGGCAGAAAAGTCCAAGTACATCGCATCAATCAATACCGACACCACCAGCCAGACCCCGACTTGTTTCCAGGTACTTCGTACATCGTACCTCGTGCTCTTGTCCCTCTGTGGACTTTACAAGACAAACTCCGTTGCAGACCATCTTCAGCCCATTTCCTCTAGTTCCCACCTGTACATGACCGAATGAAAAAATCCCAATCCACGACCAAAACACTTTGGTGCCCCAGATCCCCGATCCCCGACCCCCGACGACATATCTGCCCCTCCCAACGGCGTGGCCACTGGATCCCAGCGGACCCGGGAGAACAGCCCATATATCCTGTCGTAATTTGAGAGCCGCCGGTAGGGATTGGGGCCTTTATCAACTGGTAAGTCGAAATACTGTCTGGGGTCTTGTGGCTCAAGCAGTTCCTAGCCATGCTGTAGTTTCCACCTTGATTGTCCTGGCGCCAACAAGCCGGTTGCGACTGCCTCAAGCTCGAGGTGCAGCCTTTCGTCTTTGCTGCTTTGGCCTTGCTTGGTTGATGTTCCTTCCCTCTTTTTTGCTGACTCTTCATGTTCTTTCTCAGGCTGATAATCCCCGCCCATTGCTCCTGCCTCTCGAGTGTTCCTGACCCACGACCCTATGATTCACATCGATCCGCCTACAGAGACACATGTCGCAATTGACAAGCTAAACCTCCACCCTCTTTTTCTTTGTTTCTCATTCTAGTCTCCTACCACTACTTCAACTGTTCTACGAAAGTAGTAGGCACGGGACTCATACATCTCTCATTAAAACGTTCCGTGCTCGCTTGAGCTCGCGTGACAGCCACGAGTTCCACCAGTTTTTCTCTATCCTCTCGACCACCTACCCCTACGGGGATGCCTACCCAAGTAAACGGCCACTCCGACCACACCATGGCGAACGGATCCGACGTCGTGCCGCAATCGGCCCCGGGGAAGAAGGGTAAACAGAGAAAGGTGGTCGATAACAATGATACGACACGACTCCTCCAAGCCCGTATCTCCCAGCTGGAGCAAGACGCCGCCGGAGAGAAAGACCAGGAAGCCGAAATTGGTATGCGATTCCTCGCCATGTTCCCTTCACATTCTCCCGCTCGCCCGCCAACGCGGCAGGCTTTTCGTCGTGGCGGATTAGTTCGTCTTTCTAACATATGCGGTGTTCGTCCAGAGAGAGAGGTCAAGCGAGCCAATCGAGATCTAATGCAGCAGATGGCCAAGATCCAGGACCCTGGCGACAAAATCGACTTTCTACTGCGCAAGTCGAGCGAGCTGCTGGCTGATATGCGCCGGATGGAGCGCGAGAACCAGAAGAACAAGAAGCGTGGCGACACCCTTCAGAAGGAGAAGGACGCCAACCGTACCGAGCTCAGCAAAACTGTCACTTTGAAGGAGAAGCTGGAAAAGCTCTGCCGTGAACTGCAGAGGGATAACAACAAGCTCAAGGTATGATGATACGGCCCACTTGGACTTCTGACTGTTGCTACTTAGGATGGTGAGGCCGCGGGTATTGACAAGCCGAATTTGCAGAACGAGAACAAGACCCTGAGCGATACGTTGAAGCACAGTGACGCAGCTTGGGACGATAAACTTGCCACGGTCCTGGCGAAGCTCGACGGCTACCAAGACGTCAAGGACAACCCTGGACGAGCCTCCGTTGATACCGAACTGGACGAGCTGTAAGCGGCCACCCCACCCCCATCTTTGGACACCGAAAAATTTTTGCAAGCTAACGCTACGAAGGTTCCGCGTGCGCTTTAAGACGTTTATCGAGCAGTACGATCTTCGAGATCTCCACTACCAGGCCGGAATGCGCAGCAAAGAGCTCGAGGTACAATACCACATGAGCAGGTATGAGAGGGAAAGGAAGCGCTCCGAGGCCGAAGTCGTTAAGTCGCGACACCTAGAGTCGCAAGTGCAGACCTTTGCGAAGACTGAGGCCGACCTGAGAAGCCAACTTAACGTCTATGTTGATAAGTTCAAGCAGGTATGCTCGCCGTCATGAGCGTCGCCATCGCCTTCCCTCCTCCCCCTCCCGTCCCTTTTCGCTCATACTAACCCATATTTAAAAGGTCGAGGATACCCTTAATAACAGCAACGACCTGTTCCTCTCCTTCCGCAAAGAGATGGAAGACATGTCTAAGAAGACCAAGCGCCTCGAAAAGGAAAACGAGACGTTTAAGCGCAAGCACGATGCCACGAATGCTAACATCTTCCGCATGGCCGAGGAGCGCGAAGACCTCAAGAAGCGCCAAGAGGCCGCCGAGAAGAAATGCGATAAGCTCATGAGCATCATCCGCAACATGCAGCAGCAGGGCCGTAAGATCCCCCCTGGCGCCCATGAAGCTCTCGAGAGCTATTCATCGTCCGGCGGTAACGGCGAGAGCGAGTACTCGAATGAGGACGACCCCGAGGACGAGGAGGACGAGGAAGACGAAGATGATGAGGAGGAGGAGAGCGAAGAGTATGAGGATGACGAAAGCGAGGAGGACAAGCCTCTCACAAACACCACGGGTCAACAAAACATCCCCGCTGTCAAGGCCGCCCCCAGACCTTTTGGACCTGAGAGGCCTCCTCATCAGCAGGCGCAGAAGAATCAGCAGTTGGCTCACGCTCAGACGGTTATCAACGGCCATTAAACCTGAGATTTGCTCGGCTGTTTTTTGCAATGTTGCTTCGGCCTGTCTATGATTTTACTTCTCCCAAAGCGCACCACATCCTCTGTTTGGTTTGCTCTGTACTCTGTGCTTGCGCTGCCAGACATGCTGTATATTTGGAATGTATGCCTCTGCCCCCTTGACACTGATGTAGTTCAGATCCCCCCCCCTTCTCTTACCTTTAGAGTTCTGAGCTAGTCGGAAACTCTATTATTACTATTGACAAAAGGGTCAGGGTCTTGCTCGTCAGGACAAGGATGAGGCAATGATGGCTCAAGTACAGACAGACTTCAGCTCCCCCAAGCTCAAGAACCAATAATAAAGAAGAAAGAAAAACAAGAATATACAAACTCTCTCCTCTTGCCCCTGCTGTTTTAATCCGTAGATTGATGCTTCACTTCAGCCGAGCTAACCCTATTGTATTGTTGTTTACTTGTTTACTCGATGATGCCAGGTGTACAAAGGTAGAAGGACAAAGTTTAGAGTTGCAAGGACCACTTGATTGACTTCTTTTCCCCCATTCAATATCCATGCACAGTGGTTTTTGCCCGTCTCGTTTGGGGTTACACGACATGAGCAGATCTGCTAGGTTCAACTCTAAATTAACAAAGCGTCATTGTTCGTTACAACTAGTTCAAGGTTTAAGGGGGGAAGTGAAAAATCATCAATTACTATCTAGGAATTGGTCAATTCCACACTCCTTTCAAGGGTTTTCGCATCTCTTTACCTCTGCTATGCAGAGGAAAAAAAAATAACACACAGAAGTTGAAAAAAACATTGTAACCCCCCTTTCCCCCTCCTTTATTCCTCTATGCCGTCCCCTAACTTGTTCCAACTTGGGGGACACCTCACTTTCACATGGTCAAGAGGGCCTTCGCGCCAGGCTCACTGCAAACATAGACAACATCATGATTGTCGGAAAAGCCATTGAACCTCGTAGCAGAGCACTTGGTGTAAGCACCCATGTTTTCAAAGTAGATCCAATCGCCGACGTCGAGGATCTGATCGAAACGGATGCTCTCGGTGATGCGGTCGATGCCATCGCAGGTTGGACCCCAGATGGAGTACTGGATGCCCTCGCCGGTGACGGAGGCGGAGGCCTCGGGCTTGTCATAGCAGAGGCGGTCGCCAGCGCGTAGGATCTTGGCAACGGGGTTGTAGTGGTCGAACATGATGCAGGAGAAGTTGCCGTAGACGCCATCGTTGACGTAGACCATGTAGCCCGTCTCGGCCATGCTGGGATCCTCGATGGTGCGGCGCGCGATGACGTGGCAGGCGATGGTGAAGGCCGACGAGACGAAGAAGCGGCCCGGTTCGGCGATGATGTTAACGTCGCGCGAGGGTGGGAAGTACTGGTCGAGGGCGGCGGTGAGGACAGCGGCCATCTCCTCGAAAGTCTCGCCGCAGAAGCCACCGCCAACGTCGAGAGTGCGCAGGTCGTAGCCGTGCTCGCGGGCTTGCTCGAAGACAATGTGGGAATCCCGGACAGCCTTGAGGAAGGCCATGGGATCCGAGGCGCCGGAGCCGACGTGGAAGCTCACGCCGACAACGTTGAGGCCGAGCTCACTAGCCAAGGCGAGGAGGCTGTCGGTGGTGTCCATGGCGGCACCGAATTTCATGCTCAGACGGCACTGGCTCGACGTATCGTCGGTCATGATGCGCAGGTAGAGCTCGGCGTTGGGGTAGAACTTGGCAATCTTGCGCAGCTCGTCGCCATTGTCAAAGGTCATCTGCTTGACGCCAACGGCTCTGACGTGGCGGAGGTAGGAGCCGGTCTTGCATGGCTGGGCATAAATGACGCGGTCAGGGTTCAAGCCGAGAGAGAGAACCTGGTCGATTTCGGCCTTGGAGGCGCAGTCGAATCCGGTGCCGAGGCTGGAGAGGAGCTTGAGGACTTGGGGATCCGGGTTGCATTTGACGGCTAAAAAAAGAGGGGAGAGACGAGTTAGATAGAGCACGCACACGCGCGCATGGCGGTGCCCGGTTTTGGAAAAGAGAAGAAAACTCACCGTAGAAGGGCCGAATGCGGGGGAGATTCAACTTCCAGCGCTGGTACTGGCGGTAGACGTCGCCCAGATCAGCGACGAAGAAGGTGTCCTCATCGCCGGGCTCGCAGCGCTCATGGTCAATATCATCGATCCGCTGGCGCATGGCCTCGGCAATGATTTGCTTGGGTAGCTTTACTCCATGATGATGATGGTCACCATCGGAGAGATCGTAACTTTTCATAGGAACATGATGGTTGAGTGGTGCGTAGTGCTCGATGACGGCAGTTGCCATAACCATATCCCAGGATTGATAGCGTCGATGCGACGGCGAAATAGCTGCAAGTGTTGGGGTTTCTCTGTTCTTGGCTTATCGAGAAGAGACTTGAAGCTCTAGCTTTCTGGCGGTGCAGTTGTTGACGCGTGGGAAAAAAGAGATGGGAATGCTATCTCTGTTTTGGGGGGTGGGGGATTTGTTCTGTTTTGTGCTTGAGAGAATTGACAGTCGATATCAAGCGGTCGTTGGGAAGGTGCACTCGAGAGATATCAAGATTTACTCAAGAGGAGTTTCTTCTTGGTCTCCGGGTGTGTTGAGTGGGCGTACACGTGTGCGTGTGCGTTTGCGTGGGAACAGAAATTTAAACCTTCAAAACGAGGGAAGGTGTTATGGAGGTCGGAAGCGGTAGGAAACAGATGAACCCTCGGCAAACTTGCGCGGCCTCCTCGACTCTTCCTCGGTGAGAGGAAGAACCTCAGGAGTCGTCCTATGCGGCAGCTGGTGGTTGTTGGGAAACAAGGGGGACTGGTGTTGCAAGGGAGAAGACTCGAAGAGCGGAATGTCGAGACGCTTACGGGGCGACTTCAGAATCGGCGGGGGGAGGAAGAAAGTTGATGATATGGAAGGTTTTGCGAACGCTGAAATCTTGGTCACTGACGAAATCTACGGCCTCGAGAGCCGTGGTGGATATGGCGCCTTTGAGAACGACCAAAGGCGGAGTCGAATCGATTTTATCGTTGCAGACGTTGATCGTCGGCAGACATTCAAGATGCGAGAAGCCGCAGGTCAAAAGGGGGAAAGGTCGAGGGTCGGTGTTGTTTCTAAATATCTCAAGAGAGATGATGCGATCGGGGCGAGACGGCAAGGTCTTCTGGAGAGAGGAGAATGTGTGTGGTCTTGGACAATTGGAAATATGAAGGGCTGAGGTGCGGTAAGCTCAGTGCGGGAGGTGGATGGACGAGGTCGTTGTAGTGGGTCGTGCTGCCTTTTATTGTTTTTTGCCCCTCCCTCACAATTTTTTTTTTTTTTTTCGCTCTGCACTTTCTATTTTGGAAATTCTGTGCTCCACTGTGCTGCAAAAGATCTGGAAGGAACAGAACACTGTTGCAGTGGCGTGCATGGGTACGGTACATGTACATATGTGCAATACAAGGTACTTGTCATGCTTCGTCAAACCCGGCAGTGCTCACTGACAAATACGACGAGTACAGCAGTTGAAGTGCAAGTGGGGCAAGGTCGTCGAGTCAATGGACAAAGTGTTTGTACTTGTACCTCAATGACCAGTTCGAACCTGTGTTGCAGCAAGCGGATTGGGCAATTTCGCAAGGGGCAGGAACAGAATGACAATGATTGGGAACTTGCTGCATCAATTGCTGGAAACGGACAAAGTACCGGGCCACCGTCAGGTTCAAGAAGGAGCGGCCAGAGATGATTGATTCAACCGATGCTGTACAACTGCGAAGTATACGAAGTAATGACTCGAGAAACAAACCGGGCAATGGACTGGACACCATCTCATCCAGGTATCACAGGTATCACGGGTATCACGGGCATCACTACGAAGTAGTCGCTTCAATAATAAACACTTGATCACTTGGTAATCTAATGAAGAAAAGGAGCAAAGCTTCGATGAATGCAGGATCAAGTGTAACGGGACGAAAACTACTTAATAATTCAGCATCTGAACCTCCGAAGTCCACTATTGATCAACCCAACGCCATGTCACCGCCCATTTGACAGCGCCTCACCTGTGTGCCTGTGTGCCGTGCTCGGCAAGGGCGAAATGGAAAATGCAAATTCGAGGTCCCTAAAGTCCCCGAGTCTGAATCAGAGCCAATTACGAAGTATTTCCTTGATGTTTCTGAGCTAGTGCGTGGAAAGAGGGCACCCGAGTGGGCTGGTCGTGGCGGGGTGAGATCAAATGGAGGGGAACAATTGAATGGTCAATGGCAGCGAGCTCTGAAAGGTCGATTGGCGGGGCTCCAGACAAATGCAACGGACCGAGACCTCAGTGGAAGCTCGAAAAAAAAAAAAGCTTGAGCCAGTACGGAGTACGGGGTCTGGTTAACATTGAGCCCATGCCACGCCACACCAACTTTACGAAGTAGTAGTTTATTTCGAAGTCATCATCCCAGGCACAACAAACTAACTTGCGGACACTATCGTCCAATTGTCCCTTTCCGAGATCATCCAAGGACCCAACACACTCCGTAGTTTGAGCTGATTTCCCTCATCTGAAATCACCCCATTGATCGTTCCTGGCTTCCGAACCTAGTTCAATATCCTCATAATTTTGACCGTGAGGAGCAGGCTTTCCCTGGCCGCCCCCGTGGACAGGAGACATCCCCTCTCGAGTCCCGACCCCCTCGACCTCCACCAATTATTAGGTATTAGGGCTCGCTAGTTGGCAACAGATGGCACACCACACGATACAAGATGCCATCATCTCTCCCCGTACCAAGGACATTTGGAGCCGAGCTCTCACGTCAAGCGTCCCAAGTAACTGTGTCCTCGGTGCCTGTCCACGCCATGTCCCGGATCTAGATCGTGAAGCGGTCTAGTGCAGTTGCAGTTGCAGTTACTGTTGCAATGTAGCGAGCGCCGATTCGGACGGGGAAGCGGCAGGAGAGCTGCTCTCTCCCCTCCCCTCTCGTCCTCTCCTTCTCGGCCAACAGCTAATATCGGACTGACGACTCACCAGACCGCAATAACCATTGCGCAGTAGCGTGCCTCTCCCGTCACTTTTCATATTTCTCCCTGCTTCGTACTTAGTATGCAACAGTCTCCGTTTCCATTCACGCCCTGCTAATATCGAGAAATCCTCCCATGCCCCTTACCCCTTTGCCCGCTTGGTTACTCCCTCGACCTCGGCGCTGAGGGCGGGTGCTGTGATTCACGGATTGTACTGGGGTACTCTCAGCTCCAATGATTCATCGAATACTCATATAGGATACTCACAAAGGTTGCCGTATGAAGCTGCCCTTTCCATCACTGCGCTAGCATCGACAAGGACGTAATAATAACTCTAGCCCCTACCGAACAATCAAGATGAGGAATCTAACGACCTAGAGTCTCCCCCCCTCCCCCTCCTTTTCCCTGGCAACCGCTGCACGCTGAGCCTGAGCTCTAAAGACCCAAGCGGAACGGCGGGGGGACTTTGTGTGATGCGATACATTGGATCCCGCCGCTCGCCTCGCACCGCAGCATGCACGAGCCGATTACAGCATGAGCTGTAGACTCCCTCCTTCATTCACACCTCTCTAGCCGTATTAAATAGCGCTTTGACTCAGGTAACTAGTATATATCGTGAGGACCGTCGTTCCCGTAACAAGAAGACAAGATACGACCAAAAGCCATGGATTCCCGTGGGACACCCTAGTACGAGGAACCAGTGCCTGCTCACTATCTCCTCAAGCTTGATGAAGAGGAGAGTTTCAAGCAATGTCTCGTCTTCCATAGGACTTTAATAGATCCCGCCGTCCTCATGTCGGTGACTGTAGTGAAGAAGCTCCTTGCGCTGGAGGATTTTGAGATGAAGATGTAGAATAGGATATAACCGAATCCTGATCCCCAATGCGACTTCGAAGCATCCAATCTTAGGCAGGCTATGGCGAGCTACGAGCATGGATCAGTGTTTTGCGAACTCGAGCCGAACGAGGCTTCCGCCTACGAAGTCTCCAACGGTTGATTCACCCTGACAAAGGGGGCAGAGAGGCTAGTCGATGTTCAGGTGGGTGGGGATTTGAAGAGTATCGAGCTTCCGAAGATGTCTTCAATTTGAGGTACTAGTACACCATCAAGCACCAATGTTCAAGCATGGACATCCACTCCGGCGCGGGCAGTGACTTCTCCTTTACCTGTGTACTCCTTTAAAGCTATTTTCTGCCCCCATCAAACCCGACAAAAATGGATATTCCATTCCTCATTAGATGGGCGGCAACGCCCTGGCCTTCGCCTTCGCCCTCCTGTTCTTTTCCCATCTTGTTTCCGTGCCAGAACCTCACTGGCCTATCGTCCCCTCTGAACAACAGCTCGACGGCTTCCAATACAATTTCGTGTCTTCCTCCTCAAAGCGGTAAAAGAAAGACTTCCCTGGTCCACTTTAATGCTCGCGAATCTAAGAGAGAACCCCTGGGAAGACAGCACGCAACATCCTCCCCAAGGCGGTGCGGTACCTGCACCATAGGGGCGCGCTGATAACCCGCCCTAACTGTCTATTCCACTCTTATCCGTTAAAGATAGCAACTTGACCGGGGATTCTTGGACTGTCTTTTGGTTTTCTTCCCGCGTGAAATTGATCCTGGATCCTGTAATGTCCGACCGGCTCTGCTTCAGGAAGCGTACCTCAATCCCGATCTTGATCGGATCACGAGTCATGGCCCCAGCTTCTTCACCTTTATTGAAGCCTATCCCAGTGAAGACCATATACAAAACACCGTCCTTACAGAAGAGCTTGGAGATTAACTCTCTCAGCTCTTCGCCCAGATCAGCCTCACTCACGATCCCCAGGCTATAAAAGATATAGTACCCGATGATAAATAGGCCAAGCTCAAAAAGGTGACAATACCAAATCCCAAGGCCACAATGCGTGGGAGGGCAGGGTTGCAAACGGCCACCATATGTGTTCCTTCTATACCTCTTGGCCGAGGATATCGAGAGACAAGGACCCGGCGAGGCAGGGGTGAAGAGAGCCTTCGGATTCCTGAGCAGGCTCAGCCTTTTACCCACTTCCAGCTTCAGGATGTCACAATGAATATCTCAACCTAAGGCTTACAGTTATATCGATCCTTCAACTACTCTATAAAGTAAGCATAAAGCAAGCGAGAGTCTACCCAGTCTCTCCATATCCTGTATAGAACCCAAGCAGCACCCCTATCAGAGACGTGGAATAGCAGCATACCAGGCCTTCTCTTACCCCTTCCCCGAAACCACTTCCGGCTGCTAATGGATGAGCGGCAATGTGTAGACTGCATCGGTGATAAGCGGCTTATCGTTAAAGAGCGCACGTCTTGGTAGTCTCAACATACTATGAGAAACAACGACCTTGACGACGGTCATCCAGAAGGCCTGGAGCATGCCGCACAACGCTTCAGGGGACTGAGCGCTGTTACTTGAGGTGTAAGGACGTAAAGTTGCAGCACCTACTTCGTAGGCTATTTCAAGAATCATGCACCGTCAATCCATAGAGTGCCACTCCAGATATCCTAGTAAGTCCGGCAAAAGACTTAATTTAGAAGTTACTATGGCTACGGGTAGGTGCTCGTCATCTATGATAACCCGCAGTGACCCGTCGTGGCCTATATTTGCTTACATCCTTGTCTCTTTGTGTCCAAAAGTATCTACCCTCGTCGTCATTACGTCTCCACAGCCCGAAGTTCCAAGAAGGAAAAAATGAGAATAAATTTCATATAAGCCTAGGTGCTCCGGAAAACCTCAATATAACGACCCTCCCGGAACCGCAGCCGACCACCACCTTCATCCGTGACACAGCCGAGCACAATGGCTGGTAATCTGGGGGCAGCCAAAGTGCTGGTGATCCATTCCAGCTGATCCATTGTCCAACTGAAGATTCGGGAGTTAAGCTATAGCCGTCACAATGCGCTCCTAGCATTAGAGACTGCGTTTCGGCTTGGGGGGTTTGAAAGGAACCACCGAGGGCTGGGGTTGAGGTGAAGGGATAGGAACTATGGCCTAATCCTATATAACCAATATTCGTGATAAGATGCGAGGAACTGGCGCGAAATGATATTATGTCCAGTGGGAAGACCCACCTAGGAATCTCGCGAGTGTAGACCTCATCACTAGTGGTTTCCCTAGTGGTTTCCACACCCCAGATCTTAATATCACCATAAGATGCTGAAGCAACCAATTTGGAATCGTGCGAGAACGCTACCGATGTGACCCCATCGGAATGGCCCTTGAGGGTGCGGATCTCAACTCCCGTTTCCATATCCCAGATCTTAACAGTATGGTCATCAGATGCTGAAGCTACAAGCTTGGAATTGTGCGAGAACGCTAGTGACGTGACCTTATCACTATGGCCCACGAGCATGCAGACCTCGCCGCCCGTATTCACATCCCAGATCTTAACAGTATAGCCGGATGCTGAAGCCACAAGCTTAGAATCGTGAGAGAACGCTACCGGTGTAATGTAATCGTTATACCCATAGTCCTCGAGGGTGCAGACCTCACCACCTGCAATTCCCATATCCCAAATCTTGAGAGTAAGGCGAGATGCCGAAGCCATGAGCTTGGAATCAGGCGAGAACGCTACCGACATGAGCCCATAGCCATGGCCCTTGAGGGTGCAGACCTCATCTTCTGCAGTTTCCACATCCCAGATCTTAATAGTACCGTTATAAGATGCTGAAGCTAGGAGCTTAGAATTAGGCGAGAACACTACTGATGTGACCTGATCGCCATGGCCCTCGAGGGTGGTAAGGTCGACAACATTATCACTCGCTTCGATATCCCAGATCTTAACAGTACGGTCATAGGATGCTGAAGCCACGAGCTTGGAATCGTGTGAGAACGCTACTGATGTGACCTGATCGCCATGGCCCTCGAGGGTGGTAAGGTTAACTCCATTGCCCGTGTCCAAACCCCAGATCTTAATAGTGCGCTGGGATGCTGAAGCCACGAGCTTGAAATCCTGTGAGAAGGCTAGCGACTGGGTCCAATAGCCATGGCCCTTAAGGGTGGTGAGGTTGACCCCATTGCCCGCTTCCACATCCCAGATCTTAACAGCACCATCATCGGATGCTGAAGCCACAAGTTTGGAATCATGCGAGAACGCTACTGATATAACCTGATGGTTATAGCCCTTGAGGGTGCGGACCACGCCCCTTGTTCCCTCACCACCTGCGGTTTCCACATCCCAGATCTTAACAGTTCGGTCATAGGATCCTGAAGCCACGAGCTTGGAATCGTGCGAGAATGCTACTGATGTGACCTTATCACTATGGCCCGCGAGGGTGCAGACCTCGCCGCCCGTATTCACATCCCAGATCTTAACAGTACAGCCGGATGCTGAAGCCACAAGCTTGGAATCGTGTGAGAACGCTACCTTCTCGATGTAACTCATAAGGCTACGGACTTCGCCTCCCGTTTCCACATCCCAGATCTTAGCAGTCGAGCGGGATACTGAAATCGCGAGCTTGGAATCGTGCGAGAATGTTACTGAAGTGACCTTATCACTATGGCCCTCGAGGGTGCGGACCTGGCCTCCCGTTTCCACATCCCAAATCTTAACAGTACAGTGGGATGCTGAAGCCACGAGCTTGGAATCGTGCGAAAACGCTACCGAGCTGACCGAATAGCTATGGCCTCCGAGGGTCTGTAAACACGGGCTCCATGTACTCTCGAGAGTTGGCTTAGTAGTAACCCATGATGGTTCCTCATGCTTGAACATGCTACGGACTAAACTCTGGGTTGGGCTGAAGAGTAAGGCTGACGTATATGTCTGAAGAGGGGCGTTCTCAATTATCCACTGATTGTGTCGAATGAATCGATATGCATCGTGGATAAAGTGAGATAGCTTGGATTGGGGTGATTGTTCCTATGCTAATTAGTTTTATTTTAAATGTAATTATATCGGAACTTGACTAACCCTGAGTAAGTTCCTCAAACTTTTCACTGAGAGGATAGCTTCGGGCATAGCTTGTATGAGGCTTGTCGCCTCTAGCCAGTGAAGGAAATGGCCCTCAAGGAAGCAGAAAATTGGGCCATCGTCACCGAGATGATGTCTGTGCTTGCTACCACTGCCTTTTGAGAATGCTTCACAGAGATGATTGATCCAGTGAACGCAACAGTAGCGCAAGGCGGCTAATGGGTCCGGCGTTGGTATTTTGACATCATCGGTGAATTGACCGAGCTGTGGGATGGCGTAGATGTTCCGTTGCAGCGGACGGCTTGATAGGGCCTGAATTGACCGGAAATGGAGAGCATAGTGCATTGCCTCTTTGCCGTCAGGACAAACGCTAGCTTTCGAGGATAAATAGTCTTTGGCTGACTGGTGAATGACATATACGGATTGGCCCTTGACTGTGAGGAAGGAGCCACAGGAGGCGACGACGAGTCGAACGTACGCCGGATTATCCGAGATTTCCGGAGGTAGTCCCGATAAGATGCCTAGCTCAGCAAGAGTGAGAGGTCGACGGGCCAACACCACTGTTGCTAGCACAGGTTGACAAAGATCCCATTCGCTCCCCGCTGACGTCTCGATCTGGGAAATCATGCGATCATAGAGGCCGTTTAAGCCGCTAGGGATGCCCTCAACAACTTGTTGTACACGCCAAGGTTGTGCTTTGCTAAGCTCTTCAGTAACAAGGGCAACCCAGAGGAATGTGCCGTCTGCCTTCCTGCGTATGACATCCCGCACTATGTTTCTTTTCTTCTCGTCATCTCGCAGCACCGGCAGCTCTGAGGTTTTATGATCGATGAACTTGTTGACTGCGTCAGCCACCTGCTCTGCGTTCTCCGTGATTTCCAAGGATAATTTAGTTCCCGAAGCGCCCTGGAGACCATAATCAATCTCGTCCTTATTTCGGCTGGAGACAACCCATCTAGCTCGAGACCTGGTTGTGCGGAGGATGAGCTTTAGGAGGCGATCTTGATCCACGATGCATTCGTCAAGGGCGTCGACTGCAATTAGAACTTTGCCAAGGCTGGCATCGCCGAGCATTCGTTCTAGGATACCTGACAATGCGTAGAATGCATTGCCATCCTCGAAAAGCCCGCGTCCCGCACGATCATAGTCTCTCTGAAGGTGCGTGATGAGGTTCGGACACTTATATGCGAGCATATATACCAAGCCCCTCACAACAGTAGTAGCATTGTTAAGCTTCTCATCTGTGCCTTGGCAGAAGAAGTAGGCGAGTGTGCTGGTCTTTGATATCTTCCGCTCTAGCTCGTCGACGATAGTCATTAGAAGCATTGTCTTGCCCTTTCCTGGGTCGCCCCTGATCCACAATAGATTGACGTTATCGTCTTCGATCCATTTTCGGAAATCTTCGTGGCCAAGAATCCAGTTGGAGGCGCCTTTGAATAGACCCCCCTTCGTATCCTCAATGCGCTCTTTATCAAGGCGAGGATCAGTTAGCCGCAGGTCGGAAAGGCATTTCACATTCTTGTCGTCTTGTCGCCAGGCCTCCTGCTTCGCGCAAAGGCTTTCAAGGGATTCGCACTGGGTGTTTGCGTGCTTGGCGATGTCCCTGAGCGATTGCTTGATATCCTCGCTGCTATATTTGTCAATGTCCTGCTGGATGACTTGCTCGGCATCTTTGATAGACTTCACGGTGCCTTCCCAGTCGTCAAGCTTAATTACGTCGCGAAGAAATCCGGCAATTCGGTTTCGGTAGTAAGAGCAGACGCTCTTCATTTGGTATGTCAGGAACGCTTTGTAGAGGGAGATGATGTGCTTCTCCAGTTCGCCCCGCAGCGAGGTTTGCGTTCCGTGGGGTTTGTCAAGAAGATTTGACAATTCCCAATACCAGTCCATCCTTGAAACAACGTAAGAGATGCCACTTCGATTTGCAGTTGCCTCGTTGATTGGGTTTTCAAGGACCTATATAAAAGTTAGTAAGGTCGATGGGCCGCATCGACATTCGAAAGACGAAAGACGAAAGACGAAAGCCTACCTGCAACAACAAGCACACCCCGCCCCAGGCAGCCGCTGCTTCCGGGGCGTTCTTGAGCGCTTTTCCTACGAATTCTTTCACTGAGGTCACGATGCGTATACCTTCCTGTACCTGCTGCTTCAGGGCGGCCTCTTCCTCGGTCTTCTTTAAGCCGGCCTCAACTGCTTGGACCATTCGTGTCCGTTTCTGGGCAACGCCGATTTGGCAGTCTCTGGCACCCTCATCCTGTAGAGTAGACTCATCTTGGAAAGCGGTGCGCAAGATAATAGTTTCGTATTCATCCACCAACTTCTCGTTATCACTTTTGACCTCGTCGTATGCCTGGGTCCAGAGCTGGCTGGCCAGACTGCTAGTGTCGTCGGTTTTGGGCGAGGGGCGATTTTGGTTCTGCGGGAGGAAATAATTAGCTTGATAGGATAGGAGTCGGATAAGGTAGTCACACAGCTTTGGGGTTCTGTTCTTGGTCTTCTGATCGCGTGAACTGGATGCGAGGTTGAGTTTGAGGAGGCTCCCCAAGACTTGGAATTTGAGAGAAGACAGGCACTGATGACGTAACGCCCGATGCAGGTTCCGCGGCGTCATCGTTCGAGCTAACATTGGCGGGGCAAGACCTCCCCTTCCGAAACTTTTTGAGCCTCTCCTTCAGCGGCTTCATGATCGGCTTCGTGATTTTGCGGTCGAGTTCGTAACGCAGAGGTAAGGGTACAGCCAGCCAAAGTTGGGGGAATGTGGTGATTGTCGGCGGTGAAGAGCCGAGTTCTCTTCGCAGCAGGCATCGCGAGGGAGCCAAGGAGACGAACCCCCGCTTCCTGCGAGATTGGCCAGGCTCTGCAAGCCGCATCCCTTTCGCCAATCGCGCCCGTGGGCTCTCAGCCTGGTACAGCGCTCGCGTTCGCTCTCATCCAATTGATGTCTACCGAGGTACTGAGGGAAGTATAAGGATGCCCAGAGCGGCTTGGCCAGCATCGGAGGATGGGATACCACCTTCACATTGATTCCGAGCTTCGTGACAAGCCTTCTCTACGCATAAAGAAACAACGGATTTAGCTCCAATTTCGGGCATCCACTACACAGAGTGGTATGTCGCTCATTTTTGGCGTAGTGGGCTAAATCCAATAGTAGCCGACGGGCACAGCCGCACGCTGGTCCTGGCATTGAGCCTGCTCAGCGAGGCGTCGGCCGCTTGTATGTGCTGTGTCTTAGTTGTTTTATCCCGAGACGATTAGACTTGACGGAATCCCGAAGACAAACGAGCGAAGAAGGTTTCGGCACAGGATATCACAAAAGGCTCCGAGTAATGGTATCGACCCAGAGGACAAGATAAAGGTCATGACCACGTAACCTGAATTCGGATGGAATGAATCCATTTGCCTCCATGCTTGCATCTATTGTGAACCTATTCTCTGTTTCGAAATCCCAGGTCTCCCCGTCAGCTATCCCCATTAACTTCCACTTCCACTTCCCTCTAATCCTCCACGGATTCGTCGTCTGAGCCATACTCAGAACCCTCCTCATCCTCATCCTCATCCTCGTCCTCCGTCTCTTCCGCATCTTCCCCCTCCAGTCCATACGCCTCGTAGAAATGCGATAAAGTCTCGACCTCCGTCTTATAGCCAACCTCAACCAACGCCTTCTCAATGTCCTGGAGAAAAAAAGTTCGTTAACATGATTTCGTCATAAACCTAACGCAGGAAGAGAGAGAGAGAGAGAGAGAGAGAAACTCACATCCTTCAAAAGATGAGCACAAGTAATGACAACATTACTCTTCCCCGGCTCAAAAATAGGCAATATAACCTCTCTCATCGATGCCTTCATCTCCTCCGGCGTAACGGCCCTTACCTGCGCGAGCACCTTCTCCGTCCAATCGAGTGGCAGTTCCCTCACGACGCCGAGCAGGAAACTCTGCAGCGCCGCCGCCGCCATCGTGCTCTCCTCGGCAGCGAACATCATGACGATCTGCGACACCGCCGCCTCCATGAAGTGGTGGTCGATCGGCACGTCGCCCTCGGCGATCTCGCGGATCGCCTCCTGCGACGCGGCGATGGCCTTTGTGGCGCAGGGGGAGCGGTACACCTTGTAGTGGATCAGGCCGGTCTCGATGTCTCGGCCGAAATAGGAGCCGTAGGCGAATCCGTGACCGCGGACGGCTTTCCATAGAGGGCCCTCGACCGTTTCGAGGTAAGCGATGGCAACCAGGAGAGCGGGAAATCGGGGGTCGTGGAGAGAGGATAGGCCCTTAGCTGTGGATACGCTGAAGGAAGTGTCCAGTGTCGCCATCGGAATGATGACGGCGCCGACGTTTCCGGGGTTCTTGCCCTCATCCGACAGACACGCGTCCATGAGGGGAATGGGCTCCATTCGGCCGCATTCGCTGCCGTCGGCGGCAAGCTCTTTGCCAATGATATCCCACACCGCAACTGGGTTAGGAATCTTTGCAACGTCGCCTGTCACAAGGATACGGATATTACCAGACACAAACACGCTACGGTAGACCGTTTTGACCCAGTCCACCACCTTCTGCGGGTCCGCCTCAAGAAGCTTCTTAAGGCGCTTAAGAAACACGGCTCTGACCAAGGTTCTCTTAGCCAATGTCATCGTGTCGGCTTCGAAATGGTGAGCCAGGACAACCTCGTTAGCCATGAGTTGGCCTTCACGCTTGGATTCGGGAACATCAGCGAGGAGTTTGCTGATGATGGCCTTGAGCCTCTGCTCATCAATGCTAGCATGGAACATGAGCGTCTTTATCCACTCAATGACAGTCTCGTACTTTTCCGGTTCAATGGCAAAGATGATGCCAGACCCGTCGGGGTCGCCAAGTTGCCGCGAAGAACCAATATGATAGCTGATGGTCTCCTTCTCGAGTTCAACAACCACTTCTTCAAACGTCATTTCTTTGCCCTTGTGTGTGGCATGCGTATTGAAGAATGCTTCGTTGAAGATGGGGAATAGAGGCTTGAGCTCGATCGGGATGCGTTTTGTGCCACTGTATATGGTGATGTGAACAAAGTTGCTAGGTACATGCTCGAATTGAAGGAACAGAGGGAACTTTGCCTTATCGCTCTGATCAATAATGGCCTGCGCCTTGTTGTCAAAGGTTTCGAGTTCTCGGGCCTTTCCTGCGCGAGCCGTAGTCGACTTGATAAAGTGGATGGACTCGGTGCTTGGAACCTCCCATTTGGCGATAACCTCGGGGGGGATGCGCACGTCATTCTTGGCCTTCGCGTCCTCGAGTCGCTTCGCAAGTTCTGCAAGTCCTTCTTCGCCAAGCTCTTCTTTCCGCTTCGCAAGCCTTGCCGTCTCCTCCTCCTTGAGTCTCGAAGCTAACTTCTCAGAGGGCTTGCCCAAGACTGAGACGTGGTGAGCGTCGACGAGCCACTTCTTGATGAAGCCCCTCCACTGCTCTTCGGTCCACTCTCGCAGCACCTCGTACTCGTTTAGGGTCTCCATAGTTTTGAGAGTAGAGCCGTCCCTATTGCCGAAGAGGTAGTCGTCTAGAATGCTGCTGGAGAAGAAATTGTAGGATTCCTCGGCGTGGAATTTGATTTGGCGGATCTCCCTGTCAAAGCACGCCTTCATGTAGTCCATATCGAGTGGCTTGGAAACGACCTCCTCCAATAGATCAACGATCCTCTTCTCAACCTTTTCGAGGTTTTCGGTCTCGACACCAGAAGCTTGAATCCAGATGACAATGTCAGGCCGGTTATCAGTGTAATATTGGATCACGCTTGCAAGCTTCTCCTTCTCGACAATGGTGTTCTCAAGAATGGACGCCGAAGAGCCACAGAGGTAGGTTAGAACGACCTGGACGGCAGTAGATTCTACAAGGTCGATGTACTTGGGACCAAAATAGGCCATGGTAAGTTCGCCCATAGAGAGATCCTCCTCGGGGAATTCCACCGTTTCGATCCTGGTTTCCGTAAGCTGTGGAGGTTGGGTGGACTCGATCCAGGGCCTGGGGATAACGTTAGACTGTCTGGCGTCCCAGTAGAGTGTTTACAATAAAATAAAACTCGATCTAAATTAGTATCAAAACTTACCTTTTGAAGGGACTATCCAGGGGCGGGATGTGCTCCTTGATGCTCTCCTCGAACTGCTCTAGAATCTCGAGCAAGTTCAAATGATCAACATCACCAACGACGATGACGCAGAGATTTCGGGGTTGGTACATCTCGCGGTGAAATTCTCGGATTCTGTCCGGCGTAAGAACCCTCAAAGCTTCCATCATACCGCCAGTCTCGTAGCGGTAGCCCACGCTCTCGGGGTATAAAAGGCGACGGGCGGCAATGTCCAAGAGCTCCGAACTTCGATACTGAACCGCCTGCATCTCCGAGTACACAACACCGGCATCGTTGCCCTCGCCATCAACATGCCATACTTCAGTGGTGCAAGCCTCGTCAGTCAAGAGGGGGACGAGGACGTGCTCGAGGTACAAAGGCAGAATCTGAGCAAAACCATCCCAGCCCGTCGAGTCCAGAAGATAGGCCGTGTGGTCGGTAGCCGTCCAAGCATTGGTTGAACTGTAGGCACGCGACGCTAGCTTATCGAGGAGGCCTTTCCAGTGGTAGTTCTTGGAGCCCATGAAGACGAGATGCTCAAGTGTGTGAGGGGCACCGGAGTCATCGAAGATTTCGGTGGCAAGAGCAAAGTTTCCAACGACCTTGGGACCCTTCCGATCGGCGACGAAGACTTGCATGCCGCTCCTTTCGGAGACGTACTGAGTAATGCGACTCGGTGCATAGTCAGTCTTGAAGCTTAGCTTCTGCTTGAGGTGGCCTATGGCCTCGGGTAGCTGCGGGGCAGCATCATCATTGCTGGCTGCCTTTTCTGCAGGCATTATGCTCGTTCTTCTGTTGCAGACAACACCTGGGCAATGATGGAGGAGATGTGCGTAATCTCTAGTCCGGTGAGCCAAGCTACTTTGTGCCTGAAGGTGAGGAATGGAGTCGGCACTAGTCAGCGCCTCGTCCTGCCGTTTCGTCCCTGTACAGTTGCCCCGCGTTCAAAGTCTCGGAGGATTGGAGAGGGAAGAGCAAAAAGGAAGAGGAGAAGATGAGAGCAGAAGAGGAGAGAGAAACCTCTATGAAAGAAGGAGGGGCAAGTTGGGAATTTGACGATATCAAGTACGTCGAGCACTGGGCTCCCTTGCAGCGACAATTGAACCAGGAACCAACGAGAGTGGACGTAAGCAGACAAAGACATCCGTATTTAGTTTCCTCCCGTTCCGAAAGCTCAGTTTGCATTAGGTGCAGGACTTGGACTATTTTGATTGCCTGCTGCCAAAGCTCCGGGGATTTGCAATCTCTAACTGTATTACGTTACTGCGTAAACGCCAACAACAATGCTCACATTCAGTGTGATTGCCTTTTCTGCCTTTTCTGTCTCAAAGAAATCTACAAAGTATAAACCAACAATTGGTCGAAGGGAAGGAGGGAGACTCGAGTTAACCAGAGCCCAGGCACAAAGCTCAACTTTACTGCTAAGTTTGACAAGTACGAGCGAGGCGGGGTAGTTTCAATGTTTCTGCACAACCCACAAAATATTAGTTTGCAAGCCCACATTGACACAATGCATTGATGCAGGTAGGGAACACACATCTCAAGCCCAGGCGACAGGACATGGGTTTATTCTGTATTTCAAGGGAGCGTCGATAGATTGAGCATGGGTGCATCTATGTTTGCTCACTTTACATAGTAACGTTGCCGTAAAAAACCGTAAAAAACGGAAATAATATTATTGTTAGTTGTACTTGCTGGTTGTTGCCGTTATCCGTCTCTTCTTAGATCTCAACCCTACTTTCCACACTGCCAAGTACTCACAGAGGTACCGTTCTGTTAGTCAGGTCCAAGGTTTGACCCCACCAAGATGGAAGCCTGAAGCCTGCAACGAATCTTCGACTTCAAATCAACATCCTTGGACACAACGTTGAAGGCAGGCATGAAGGACGTCAGCGTCAGCATCAGCATCAGCATCAGCATCCGCCAGCGAGGTAAGCCCATGTGCACATCTGCGAGCAAGGCTAGCTCCTGCAGAGCGCCATCAGGCTGCCACACAATATGCAGGATATTGTACAAGCAGTTAGATTGGGAGACATGTCACATTCTTGAGAGTTGGGTCAGGCTGTTGAAACCTCAGAGAAAGAACAATCAGTGTTTCATTCCACATGTCATATCTGCCTTGTGATATCATTTGTCCGAAGAATCAATCTGGTCCGTGCCCATCCATGCCTTCAGCCCCTCGCCCCCGGCAACTCCAACCACATACTTGCATTCGTACTTCTGCTGACTGATTAATTCACAAGCCACAGTGGCTAGTACCCTTAAACAATGGTGCTTTCGCCTTCGCATTAGTCTGCTACCATGAGCTCTCTTTTGGGGACAGAATCAAAGCTTCAATGGTCCATTTTGGCCAGCTCTTCTTCCATCGTAAACTGCAGCCATCACCAATGCCTACCTTTTAAAATTTGACGCCTCCTTTATAGGCTTTTTCTTCCCTCGACTCCCCCCCCCGGCCCCCGAAAACAAAAGAAAATGGCGTCCCCCGAGCTGGCCATCGCCAAGGCCGCCTTCTCCGCAGCCCTCCTCCGCAAAGACCCCGTCCTTCCCAACAGCTGCACCCGCGAGGACGTCGACACCTTCAACGCCCTCTTCCAAGACGTCGTGCGGCAGTGCTCCCCTCAAAACGTTCAGGTTTGGCACCATCTATTCTCTCCAAACGGGCCCGGCTGCCCTCCTTCCCCAGAAGGGGGGCAACTGAATACATTTTTTGTGTGGACGGACCGGAGGCTAAATATTTGATTCTCATCTTTTTATATTTTGTTGCTCTTTTCACAGAAATGCAAACGCTGGATACTACAAAATATAATACGCTCGCCCGCCCGCTCTGCCGCGCTGGGCAAGTATCTCGTTGCGGCGGCCAATTCGTTCGACGACAAGCGGAGCAATAATCCTGGTAGTGGCGATCGACCTAGGCCCTCAGCGAAGAGGAAGAGGCTTCATGTCTTGTACCTACTACATGACGTCTTATACCATGCGAAGTTTCGGGACCCTGGAAACGATGAGTTCGCGAAGAGCGCGAAGGACTACTTGGCACCACTATTTACCAGTGTCGCCTCGTTCTCAAACGCGCCCAAACATATCGAGAAGATTCAAGACCTCTTGTCGTTCTGGGAGGAGAAGGCACTACTCGAAGCGGATACTATTCGGAGTCTCAGGGATGTGGTTCAAGCTGCCGTTGTGGACAAAGAGAAGCTCCAGACCGCCGAGGCTGCGACCCAGGGCGCAGTAGCTGGGAACGGCTCCGGGAAGACGCCAAAGGAGGTCCCATTCGTGCTGCCCCCACTGCACGGCGACCCGTCCATGGCCTGGTTCGACCTTCCCGCCGCGAACTGGCTACCACACCTCACCCCAAACTCTACGAAACCTATGAAGCCAGACATGATCAGGCCCCTCCAGCTCGCCTCGGGACCCGCCGACAAAGTCATCGTAGATGCCGTCAAAACCCTCCTCGCGAAAGTCGATCGGCTCTTTTCGAAGGACAAAGGATGGTACGACGATCCCCACGCGGATCTCAACGAGATGGGCGAATGCGTTATTCTTGACGAATCGAACGGGGAAGTTGTTGGAGGCGAGACGTATTACGGATGGTCGAGAGACTTTTGCAAGAAGATGAAGGATCGTCAGAGGAGGGCTCGGGGAGGGAATGGCCCCGGCGATCGCCGAGGACGTCGATCCTCGCGGTCAAGCAGCCGCTCAAGTTCTCAATCCCGAGAAAGATACGGCAGTCGGTCTCCTTCCTCGACGCCTGCTCACAAGCGCAGGAGGCTATCGCGATCATACAGCAGGAGCCGAAGCGGGGACAGGAGAGCCAGCCAGCACAGGGGCCGAAGTCGAAGTCGCAGCAGCTATAGTCAGAGTCGGAGTCCCACCCGCAGTCGTAGTCGCAGCCGTTCCCCCCGTCGTAGCACGAGCCGCGATCGCTATCGTCGCCGTTCCAGGTCTAGAACCCCCTCGCCGTCGCGGACTAGGACAGATCGCCGACGACCCGACTACAAAGACCGACGTAGTCCCTCGCCACCTCGCGCAAAGCCCGGTCTAGGTTCCGCCCCGAGCCCGGCATACTCTCAACCGCAACAACCACCTCCACCCCCACCACCTCCTTACGGCGCCCAAGCACCTGGCGGCTTCATGGGATTCCCTCTAAATCAGCAGCACGTCCCGCCTCCTCCCCCACCGCCCAACTATACAGGTCAATGGCCACCCCCACCCCCACCTCCTGGCCACATGCCCGGTTGGAATCCGGCCGCAGCGGCAATGATGATGGGGGGAAACATGCCGATGCCAATGCCGATGCCGCCTGTTCCTCCACCGCCCCCGGGTATGCCGGGTTCTTGGGGCGCCGGTCCGCCTCACGGTGGTCCGCAGGGTCAGTATCCTTATGGTCGGGGTGGTTATCGAGGGGGTTATGGAGGGGGAGGGAGAGGGAGGGGACGAGGATGGTGAGGATGTGTCTCGAGGATGTATTTCCTGCTTTCATCTTCTTATGATATATATATATATAGTAAAGCAGTGGGAATAAAGATACCAATCCAATTAACGGATCCATAATGCACTTGATCACCTCTCTATATCCTGGAGCTGTGTGTTAAATCCAAACTTTGTAATGTAAAGGACGGAATAAACAAAGGACAAAGGGAGACGACAACGGACAAGAAGCGAAGCGAAACCCGAATTCTTACCTATTCTCTCCTTTTCTTTTCCTTCTTTTCTCTTTTAATCATCAACCTCCTGCATTTCCCCGGGTCCCGTACAATCCACAAATCCCCAGAAGCACACGAGACGGAGCCAGTTTCCTAACAAGACAAAATCCAGAACTACGGCTCTCACGCCTCTTCTCTCGCAGAATCATCACAACGTTCGAAAAACCTCATCAGTCATTATATTTTGATGCGAGCTAATCGACATAGCGTCATACTCAAAACAAAACAGTGGCAGTCCCCTCCAAAATTTTTGCGTGTGTGTCCGTATAAAAAGGGTGTCCATCCGAGAACAAGGGAAAAAAAAAGGGGGGTTGGTTACGACAGAGTAGAAGGTTTTAGCGAAAAACAAAACGCTCCTCTGCAGGAAGAAGAAGATGAAAGGGTGTGGAGATGGGATGGAAAGGCAAAGTGGTGGTTGTCGAAGAGAAGTGTTTGAGAGACAAAAACAAAAAAAAGAACTCGGGAAAACGTTGACAAAAATCAAAGAGGTCAAGCTCTCTCAGCTTAGCAGGACGCCACCGTTTGTCCGAGATGAAACGAGTGACACAGGAAGCCCGTTAAAACGCCAGCTATTAGAAAAATTCAGAACCTCTCCCTTCCTCCGCTGTTTCCGTCACATCATCATCGCCCGCTCCGCGAGGAGCCCGCCGATGGGTGCCTCTCGTGGAGGGCGGGGAGACGCTCTCTACGGTCTCCGTCCTGCAACTTCAACGAGTCTAGTCGCTTCTGGTTGTCTTCAGTGGCCGGGTCAACTTCGCCGCCTCGGGATAGCGAGCCGGAATGACCCCGCCCGTTCGTCCCGTTCATGAGCAGCCTCCGCTGGTTGGCTTGGTCGGTAATCGCCTGCCACTTCCTTTGTCTCATGCTTTCGCGCGCTGCCGCAGAGTTCTGTTGCTCGGTGTACTCGTGGGAACAGTCATCGAAGAGTTGCGGGTTGATTTCCATAAAGAGCTTCATAGCGTTATACACCATTCCATGAATTGTCCTGTTTACATGTTAGTTGGGTCATAAGTCAAGTCAATGGGTTCTGAAGGACGGTCCAGAAAAAGGCTGGTGAAATGAAGCCTTTTCCCGGAGCCTAGGATAAACTCACCTATTCCAGTGTCCTTTAGAATTTTCATACAACGGAGCGAACATGATCGGGAGAATGATCTCGACGTTGTCGCTCACGAGGTTGCAGAAATACTCATTGTTCCAGAAGTAGAGCGCGCGTTCGGCGACTTGGAAATGGGGACTCGCGACGGACTTGGCCAACTGGTGGAACAAGGGTTCTTGAACTTTGGCGAATTCGGCCGGGTCCATGACTTCGAAAATATCCTCAACCTCATTAAGGAACATGACTTCCTTCGTACTATTGACTTTGGGCCAGTAGCGGAGCAGTCCAAGAACGACCTGTGTAAGAATTGGTTAGTATATATATCGCATCTCCAAAGCAAGCGTTGGAAGGCAACAAGGAAAGGGAAAAAAAGGTACCTCTTCGGTAAGGGAAGCGTCCTTCTCAAGGAACTGCACAATACAGTAGGCAAGCTGAGGGTGGTACATGCTGAGACTCTTGACCTTGTGGAGAGGGAGGAGAACACGGGTGAGGAAGGTCTTGTGCTCCTCTTTCAGCGGCAGGGCGAATCCATTGATAATAGATCCGAGAATCTCGAGCAATTCAGCAATACCATTGAACCTCTCCGTCTCGTACGTAAACTGGAAGAACACGTTGTTGATGGATTTTCGAATAAAGGACCGCAAATTCAGGAACTTTCCGTAGATGCGGTGCAGCGTCGTCTTGAGGAAATCTCTCTCGCGCGGGTCCTCCGAGTCGAAGAGCTCAAGCAATTGCAACACGAAGCTGTGGTCAATGTAGGCCTTGGCGATGTTGGTGTTGAAGTCTTGGCTCTCGATGAATCGAAGGAAAAATTCGTACACGACCTGGATATGAGGCCAAGCAACCTCGAGGACAGGCTCGTCTTCTTCGGGGTCAAACGCCTCGCCCTGGGGGTTAACCGGGGGAGGGATAGGACGGAAGAGGTTTTTGGCAAACATCTCCACCACCTTGGGATACATGGGCTCGACGATGACCTGGCGATTGTTGGCCACGTAATCTAGGAGCTCGTGAAGTGCAAGTCTCTTGATCTCCTTTGATTTCATATCGGCGCTGGCGTCGTTGAAATCAAAGATAACATTGCACTGCTCAATCTTCTGCATGAACAGTTCCTGGCGGCGATTGGGCGGCACGTCGTGGAAACCGGGCAACTTCTCTAATTCGCGATGGGGGGAGATCTCGAACCGAGAGGAATGCTGTCGCTTAGGAGTCCTGAGGCCTTCTGGCACTACGTCCTTGGGCGTCATTTGATGGATTCGATCGAACATGAGAGATTTGCCGGCCTTGGGAGGGGCTAGATCACCAGGGAGAGTTTCCGTCGCGCCAGGGGGAGGGATATGCTGCTATTAATATGGAGAATCGTGTCAGCAAACTCAAATATTCGAAAAGGGAAATAAAGAACGACACAATGAAGAAGAACAAGTCATTGAGCACGGAAGGACGTAAAGGAAATAGGGACCGAAGAAAGGGATGTGTGGGGTGGAAATCGGGGCAACGCTGGGAAACTTTGGAAGGTAGAACCTACCATCGGTGAGGGGCTGACGATGACGGTAGGAGGCAAAGCGCCATGCCGGGAAGGAGTGCCCTGACCATTTGTCGCAGCAGACCCGGCGAGTCTATCGGGACTGGACTGAACTCCTAGGGCAGGCAATTGCGGCGCCTGCTGATTCGCAGCGTTGTGGTCGCCGGGCCTGAAGCCGGCGTTACTGGGCGGCAGAGGCTTATTTCGGATATCATTGAGTGTCGAGGTCGAGGAAGAGGGTGTCTGGACTGGGGATTGATTCGAGTCTCTAGAAGATGCCGGAGAGGCCGTTCCGTCTTTCGGTTCTTTGTTCTTCTTGGAGGACTTATTAGGGTCCTTCCCGCGAGAGAGCTGCGTCACAACAGAGTTAGAAACGGCAGTCAAGCAAAACGCTGGCTGCGGGATGGCGCGGAGAACGGGCCAGCCAGCCCTTGAGAAGTACTTATAAAAACCCAAATGCATACACTTACAACTTTCTGGCTGAACCGCTTCATCTTGGAGGTCGCCAGCTTGGGCGTGTTTCTCGAGTCGCACTCGTTGATTAAGGTTGGTGTGATTAGGGGGCGCGGCTGAGCAGCAGCAGCGGGGTTATTGTACTAGGAGGTATGCTGGCTCGGGGAGTCGGGGAGCTGCCAGGTGTCGACGGCGCAGCGCAGGTCTCCGGTACTGTGGAGGAGAGGATGAGGGGTCAGTGTCAGTCCAAAGTAAATACGGAGACTGTCGAGTCGAAGAACAGCAAGTCTAAGAAGGGAATAGCCCCGAGAAAGAAAGAAAAAAAAAATCTAAAAAAAAAAAAAAGAAAGGAGTAAAGGAAAGGATCAAAAAGCCACTCGCTGAACGCTGATTGTGGGAGACGGTGTGAGACAGCGGAATGGGAGATTGGATTGAAAAACAGCAAGAACAATATCTTTGGGTCGCCAACATACAAGGGTCCGTGAGTCTGTGATGGGGGCGGGCCAGGGAGAAATTACCGGCAATGCAATATCCGGGGTGGTGAAGGTGGGTTGGCGGGCACTAGACGTGCAAGTCGCGTTTCCGGCTGAGGAGGGTGTGGATATTCCAGGGTCTAGTAGAATTGATTGCAGTACCGTGGAGGGGACTCGAGGCGAGGCGAAAAACAGGAGTTACAGACGAGGGTGTGGGATGGTATCCTATCTCCAACAGGATATTCGATAGTGAAACCAGGCGACGGTCAATCAGCAGACCGACGGCACTTAGGCTCTCTGGGCGTTCACAAGTCTACTATTCTATCTTGACGCCGAAATGTCGGTGTTGAATAGGCTAGGCTCGCCTTGGCCTCGAGGAGATGGTTTCCGCGGCGGTGGGCAGGCTCGAAGGAGGATGGTTGGCCCCGTGAAGCGCGAGAAGGGACAATTCGATCAGGCTCGCATCGGATGAGATGGCCGAATTATTTTATTTCTTAAAGATATGGCTTTTTTCGTCCTCGAGGCACGCTGTGTTCGAATCGAGTTGCTTTTGTTCACCGTGTTGCGGTTTCGGGCTTCGATCGTGGGTTCTCTCCGGCGCGGGTCGGTAAAGACGTTATGACAAGGGAGGCGTAAACAAGGCAGCGTTTATAAATCTATCCAAATTAGAACGGGTTGTTAAAAACAGGAAAAAAAGAAAAAGAAAAAGAAAAGTCCCCAGGTTGCTATTGTTGAGGCCGTATTCACCTAAAACTAACTTGACATGTGTCGGTGTTGAGAGACAGGAAGAGAGCTTAGAACACGGAGTATCGAGGGGATGATGCAGGGGGCCCATCCCACTACGGGATTAACTCGTGGGGAACGGCTTTCCGTAGGCTCAAGGCAGAAGAAGGGAGATCAACGCTGGTCGTGTTACCTTGTGATGTGCAAAACGGCGATTGGGCTCCAGAAAAGGGAATTTGATGGCTGTTCCGCTAGAACTTGGAAGGGGGTGCCGAGGGCAAATTGGCAGCTAGATCAATTTGATTGAAGTGATCAAGTGGCTTGGGCGACTAGTTCGAGTTGGTTGAGATTTGGTTGGCCCAGCGTCGCAGATTCGCAGGGTGCTATGGTACGAAGGAGCAACTAGCAGCCTGGCCAGGCAGAGGGACCACTGGGAGGGTCAGCCACAACGCAGCACAACAGACTAGAGAAACGGGGCAAAAGGCAGAAGGCTTGGAGGTGGACAGGACGAGGCGGCTGTCGAGGCGTTCGAGATGCAGAAATAGAAGCCAGACAAGAGCCCGACGTGGGTCTGCATATACTTCGTAGCTTGGGGAATTTATTATCAAGCTGCCGGCGAAAGCGCGCCTTATAAACAGACCAAATGGGTCCCTTGGCAACTTGGCAACTTAGCAGACTTGAGATGATGTCCAGTAATGGTCTACTTGAAAAATGAGGATCAATAATGGTGGTGGTGAGGGGAAGTTTTGCCGATGCCCGTGGATTGATCGATGTTTACTTCGTCACTGCCCACTGCGACTGCCAAAGCCACTGCCAGGGCGAAAGGTACGAAGTACTCAGTCCTATGTGAGCCGCACTGTGACTCGGTGTCTTGTCTTCCATATCAAATCGACGATGCCTCAACTACATGCACACATTGACTGTACGAAGGTACACCTCTGCTCTCTCGCAGCGTCCAAGTCGAATGATCTATTGACCCACCATAAATCGAGTAGTAGCATCGCAAATATCTCCAAGTTATTACATTGATGGTAGATTGAGGCGAGCAGTGTGTTTCGCAGCTTCACTGTTACTTCGAGGCAACATTGACGTTGTACTGAGGCAATATGTGCAACACCAGTTATCCTCAAGAGACTCCCCCGAGTCCCCAACTGAAGTCAACTGCTGACAGCACAACTAGACTCCTGTTGGGAATTCTGGAGAATGTTAACCACAGATAGGGTTGTTACCGCGCGCTATTAAATAGGGACCAATTCCTCAGGTTAAACCACATCGCGCGCTGCACCACAGAGCATCACCGATGAAGCTTAAAACCGCGGGTCGATCAAACCAAAGGTTGAGGATAATTGGCAGTCTTCAGACGAATAACGTAAATTAGACAAAACACGCATTCCTCTGTCTGGTCTTAAACACGTGCTGTGTCGAGGACGAAGGATCTTGGATGCTTTTGTTTACGACTGCTTAGTAACAGGGCACTAATTAACACTGTACTAATACAAGTTACATGAGAGGGCGAACCAAACGACGCTAACTCCGCAGTAACGGTACCTGCATGTCCTGGTTTTGAAATAGGGTGTTTTGACACTGTTGACAGCCGGCAAAACTGTCCATCAATCATCGCCTCCACAACATCTCGACTTCCAAGCATTCGATCTGAAGTGAGATGAGAAGGAGGCGATATTTCGCATCCCGACATTCAGTCTTCATCTACTTTTTTTTTTTTTTTTTTTTTTTTTTTTTTTTGCCAACCATAGCATTATACACTTCGGCTATTATTATGTCTCTATAAATTCTTCTCCGGCCAAGGCACATAAACAGGGGACCGAGAGCACCCCATCCCACCCAAAGATCAATCTCATCTCACGATCCTTTCTTACACCTCCCGAACCTGAAGTGAGGAAAAGAAAGAAAGCGTAAAAATGAACCCCAGAGACGAACCTATGGACGACAGGTCCTCCCATACAGAGGACTACTTTGATGAAAGTGATGAGGACCACGTCGAAGCCAACCGGTCCATTCAGGAAGTTCCTGAAGACAACCCCGAAGAGGGCGAGCCCGTCGAAGAGGAAGAAGACGAAGGAGCTCCGAGATATGTCGTGCCTCCCCGAGCCATGGGAGCCGTAGAGGTTCCCATGATAGTCGCCAACGTTGACCGAGCGACTAAAGCCTTCGGGAACATTACTTCGTACAAGCCGGTAGGTTTTTTTTTTTACGTTTTTATTTGTTAGCCTACTCCGTTCCCGATTTCGAGAGACCTAACTGAAGCTTTAGTTCCTTGACCCAAACCGGAATTCGCTTCCGCTGTACATGGATCCTGAGAATGCCTTTTGTCCATCCATTCTGTCTCATAATGCATCGACACATAACGTGCTCCTCAAAGTCACTGTCCCTAAACGAACAGGGCGGAAGAGGAAGCGCGGGACTGACGGTCCCTGGGAGGATTGGAGAGAAGTTGGAAACGATGGCAGCAGCGCAGCACCACCAGTCAACGTCGAGCGCGATGAGGATGTAGCGTCTAAGAAGCGATTAGACCATCCCAAGACATTACTCCGGAAACTCCAGGATAACGTTGAAACTTACCGGGTCGAGACCGTCGGTGTCATTAAGCATACACATCGGTACAGAGGTCAGTTCATTTTTTTTTCTTGTCCCTCACTTCTTCTATCTATCGGTAGCTCATATTTATTATCTAAAATAGGTCTTATGGACTTCCAAGTTGACCTCAGCCGATCTGAATTCGCTTCCAACTTCGTCGACAAGATCCTCTCAAAGGATGGTAAGTGGTTGATGGATCCCGTTCGAAGCAAACCAAAACCACTTCATATACTAACACAATCCCATAGTCAACAAAATCAAGCAGTTCAGAATCGGAAGGGACATCGACTCAGGCCCCCACTCCGACATAATGCCACCCCCTAAATTCACCCACATGACCCTCCCCTTCAACTACGCCTACGAGCAAAACCCCTTCGTCCACGCCATCAAGGGTGACGAGGGCGAAGAGCAGGTCGTCAACACCACCGCCCCCGCCCTCGTCGGCTGCTTCATCGCCGCCACGGACCCGACCCCTCAAGCCCCCAACCGCCTCCCGAACCTCCTTGACCCCCTCACCGCCGAGGTCATCACCGCCGTCGAGGAGGCCTTCGAGTTCCGCCCCATCTGGACCCGTCGCTCCCTCCTCAATTACCTGGGCCCCCGCCTCAAGAACTGGGGGCCGCTCAAACGCTTCCTGGGCTATGCCGCGTACCAGTTCAAGGGTGGGCCCTGGCGCGACGCGCTGATGCCCTACGGCCTGGATCCCCGCTCGGATCCGAAATACCGCATCTACCAGACCTTATCCTTCAAGCTTCCCTCTATCAAGAACGTTACGAGCAACAAGAATGCCAAGAAGAAATCCTGGAAGAATTTCCGCCGCGCCCGAGACGCCGACCCTTACAAGTTCGAAGAGGATACCGCCGAGAGCCATATCTTTAACGGAGACACGTACTACTCCAACGGTAAAGTCTGGCAGGTCTGTGATATTACCGACCCCACACTCGCCCGCATGTTCGCAGAGGCCAGTATCCGACCGACCTGCGACGTCGAGAGCAGCGGCTGGTACCACCAGGGTCTCTGGGGTAAAGCCAAAGCCGTCATGAAATGCAAGCTCGTCGCCGTGCTCTTCAACCGCACGCTGGCCCCCGATGCCTTTGACCACCTCTTGCACGGCGCCTCTACGTACGAGGTCGAGCAAAGCGTCCCTGGCGGCGGCGAAGACGGTGATGAACAGCAGACGCTACAGTACCAACGCTCCACGTCCCTTACACCACCCCCCGGCGCCATCGTCTCCCTCCGTCTGCCCGACCTGCAGCTCACGAACGAAGAAGTGCGGTTCCTGAAGGGCAGGAGAATCCGCTCCACGGGCAGGCGCAAGACGGAGAAGAAGAAGTTCATGTCCGTGCAGCTGAGTCGGAGGCCTAATCGGCCGTCTACCGGTTTCGCGACGCCCGTCAAGGTCGGCGGTCCATCCACCGTGCGTGGCAAAGAGGCAGGAGGGCGACCCGCCGTGTCTGACGCTGTTCGTCCCTCGGGCCGGGATAGGGCTGGTGAGGAGCCCACGGATGGTGATGTTGCGAGACTGCGAGGGCAGCGGAAGGACGGCCGCGTGTCTGAAGCTGGGCCCTCGAGGATTGATGATGTCTATGATGAAATGGAAGTTGGAGATGAAGAAGATATGGATGAGGTTGAGGAGGAAGAAGAAGAGGAAGATTACGATGAGGAGGGACAGAATGAGCGCTATGATGACCCATATTCTTATCTGGATGATGATGACGGAGTCGAGTACATATATGATGATTAAAAACAAACCGAAGAAAGCAAGTTTGAGGTCACGAAGGAATGGATGATACGCAGAGAGGATTACTAGCGAATGAATGAATCAACTGGTTTATTTATTTCCCCTGCATTCTGGGTGACTTGATGCGAAACTTAGTGCATATCAGAGCCGTATCCTCATCTCCTCACCAAACGATATCGGGCAGACTGGCAAAGTACTTTCAGATTCGCGAAGAAAAGAACAAGATCAAAAAGGAGGGGAATGAAATCGAAACTGTCTGGAGAACGGGTAATTGAGGGCGCTTGGTGTGACCCTTTTTACCAAGTCATCTCCCTCTGCTTCTCAGCCCAGTACTCGCTGCGTTCCTTCTCCTTCTCCTCAGCAAACTTGTCCAGGGCCTTGATGACTTTGACACCACGCTCTCCCTGATCACCAAACTTGCGGATAGACTCTTCGGTGACGACGTAGCGGTTGGTGTAATCCTCAAGGGTGCCCGAGACATCGGCGATGCCAGCAGTGAGCTGGTCGAGGAAGGGCCGGAAGTCCTCCGTCATGCGGATGCCGCAGCGGGTGCTCTGGGATTCGGAATGCTGGGTCAGAGCCGTGGCGGAGCGGAAGTAGCGGAGGCAGTGGGGGCACTGCAGCTTTCGGCCGTCGTAGGCGTGGGCGCCAGAGGTCAAGTGGTCGACGAGGGCGTGGCCCATAGTAAAGCTCTTCCTATATATCAGTTTCGTCCTTGTTAGTGACCTGACCATGATTTTTTCCCCTCTCCACGGGGGCTCATAGGCGACATTACTCACTTGCAGTCAGCCTTAGGACAATGAAATTTCTTACTCCACTCGCGGTAATGGTGCGCCAGATTAAAGTCCCGGTGGCGAGGGTCGGTGATGTCAAGCGACTCGCCGACCCCACCGTTCAAAAGCTCGCCATTATCCCACTTCACTTGGGGGTTGTGAGGTGCATCCCAACTCTCGCCAATCCATGTGGAAGCGCCACCATGGGGATCGGCTTTCTTGGGGCTCCCCGTATTCTGGGCAGCAGCCGTCTTGGGAAGTCCTCCATCACTGGAGCCCATCTGGTTCGCGCCACTAGCATTTCGAGAATGGGAGGACGACTGGCCAATGCTGTTGTCGTCACGGGCCTGCTGTTCTCCAGGGGGATAAATAGGCTGCTTGCCTTTCTTACCTCGGAGGTGGGGAGGAACATATTCCTCAGATCCGGTGTTCGGGATCTGAGCTGGCAAATCGGCCACGGCGTTGGCGGAAACATTGTCCAGCTTGGGAACTCCAGCAGAATCGCTTCCATCTGCGGCCTCATAACAGCTCTCCTTATCAATGGTAACAACGTCTCCATCCTTAGGCGTCTTTGTAACGCCTCCCGAGATGGAATTCTCAACACCGACTTCCGAGTGGGCCTCCTCAACACCATCATCCGACTTGAGCTTTTCCAAGTAAACGCCCGTGCGAGTGAATCTAATCTGTCTGAGGCCATCGCTTAGCATAGGCTTCCGCTTCTTGACCGTGCCTCCCGACTTAGCGGGCTCATGGGAAGGGCCGGACACAGTGGAAGGCTCCTTGACAGAGCCGATATCAATGAGGACCTCGCCTTGCTTCTTCGATTGAACGTCGTCTGTAACAGAACTTTTATCAGACGCTTCGGGTTCCTTGGATTGCTTATCCTCAGCGCCCTTGAGAGCTTTAGCCGCCCTTCGCTTATCAGCCTCCTTGAAGGCAGCGACAGCGTCGGCCAAGGTGGGGAAATCGTCCTTGTTTGAGATATCAAGTGGCTTAGGAAGGGCAACCTTCTTAACCGGCACCGGGTCCTCTTTGGCCGGTACGGGAGGCTTGTCGGGGACCGGTGACTTCGCAAGGACAGGCGAATTGTCGAGGACGGGCAGCTTGTAGGGGACGGGAGGCTTGGCGTGAGCGGGTGGAAGGTTCTTTACAATATACTGCGCGTAGTATCCCTTATTTGGATGATTGGGGTCGCCGGCATCCTCGAGGCCCTTACCCATCTGAAGCTTCTGGATGCGGCTTGCATCCAACGCTTCCTTAGAGATCCTCCTGCATTGGCCGGACTCAATGTGAGAGATAAGACCTCCAACTCGGACGAAGCTAAGGCCACAACCAGGACACTGCAAGTCCTGAGGCTTTGCATGATACTGTTTACTCAAGCAGTTAGATGAGAGCTCTCCGAGCATATAGATGATAGTAGTGATGCGGTAAGGAAATGCTGCAGCACGTACCTGAAACTGATGCAGGAGAACAGTATCTGGGTTCGAGAACATACGGCCACACTCGACGCAGTGATTGTGGCCCTTACCGGAGTCCATCATCTCCAATTTATGCGCAGCCAAGGCGTCGCATGTAGGGAATACCTTGTGGCACTCCTCGCAAGCAGGGCGCTGCTCGCTAGGCCTTGGTGCCATGGTGAAACTTGCCCAAGAGCCTAGATTCCTAGAGAGTCAGTACGAAGCGTTGATAGCGCGATGGAAGTGCCGAAGCACAGTTTGTAGTACCTTCGATTATCCCGGAGCTATCTTTGCGATATGTTACGGGGTTGGCCAGGATATGTTCGAGAGGCTTGAGGTGAATGTGACTCGGATTCGAGAGAGGAGGGTTGGAGAGGAGAGAGAAAGAAATCTCGACTCGAAGGGGAGCAGTAAAAAAGCTTTGTGGGAGAGGGGAGCAAAGGTAGTAGCAGTAGCAAGGGGAGTAAAGGAAGGAGCAGGAGTTAGGTAGGAATCTTAGGGTTTCGAAAGCTGGAGAGGTGGTGATGTTTCGCTTGAGGTTATGAGGATTTTCTCTGTCCTCTTCGTATAAGTGAGAGAGTGAGCAGAATTGTGGTATATGTTGTCGAAAGTGATTCTCTCTGGTGGCAGTCCAAAGTCTTTTGCTCCTTCCCAGTTCTTGGGGGACTGTAGAGATTCTGTGAAGCTCTTTCCTTCTTTAATTTCTTTGTTCTTCTCCCCTTTGCTCCTTCCCCCTGATAGCTTTAATCTCCACTCCCGTCTCAACTTTGGAAGGAGGAACTAGAAACAAAAGCTTCCTATGAAATGAGGGGAAATAACGTGTTCTACCGACTTCGTGCCCAAGTGTTTCTCTAGTCCTCGGGCCATTGCTGTCTGATAGAACTGCATTTCCTCTGGTTGTCAGGCCTTGGGCTCCTCATTTCCTTCTCTGACAGCAGGATACTTACAAACGAGTGGCCATTTCGTTTGACCTTGGACCTCAGAGCCTTCCATCTGGAACCGGCATGGCGTCTTACACGAAAGGGATACAACAAGTCGCTGTCGGATATCTTCGAGGCATTCCTTTGTCCAGAGGCTCTCCTAGAGTGAGAGCACGATCTCGAGCTTCTATATATAAATATATCAAAATGCTAGTCCTCCCAGCAGGCGTGATGAAAGGCATCGAACCACGAGTCCTACTAACATGATGAACCTGCTAATTAAAGTACAATCCAGACATCGAGCTCTTTACTCTTGTTTGCCTGTAGAGGCCCTCTCAAACAGTCATTTGATTCTCTGCTTGTTTCGACCCCGTTGGCTGCGGCGAGCTGTGTCCGAATACCGACAAGTTTCAATTCGGCTCGATTTGCATTTGAAGCTGTGCTCCTAGCTCAAAGTTACACGAGGTCAATTTTGACCGTGCAGGCCTTAGCTAGATACAACCAATGCCGGCCATCAGGGGCTCCCTCAGAATACTCGTCTAGGAGTCCATTCTTAGCGGTGGTCTTTACAAGGCCCTACCCTTGCCGGTCTTCAAGCCTCAGTCCTGCTCCCCAACACGGAGTCTCCACGCGTTCTCCATCAGCAACAAGTCAGATAAGGGTGATGCCAGTGTCACCCGTGCCAACAGCGCCCGTCATCTTCTCCGTCGTTTTCCTCGTAGCGCTCCGCGTTTGCCCAGGTGGCCTTCTTGAGCTTCACAAGAAGAGGGCTAGCAATGTGTCTAGCCCACATGCATAAGCCTCTTTATCTACCATAAGCCGCCACTCGCTCCTTGCCCCCTTGCCGATATCCCACAGAAACCGGATGGAAAACCAGCTTGTCTCATCAAATTCCCGTTAGCTCCGTATCGATCGTTCTCATTCGCTTCTGGTCCAACCTCACAGCCGGGACCGATGTCGGCAAGATCCTCCGTGGCCCACTCCTTCTAGGCTTATTGTGTCAACCTACTTTGGACCAACACCTTTCTCACCTCCCCTCCTTTACCTTGCATGAACTCGCGCTGCAGAGAGAGGTCACAAGATATTCCGCATGCCGTGTCATACTCTCCACAAGCCTCTAGCAGCCACGACAGCAGCGGGCTGAGTTGACTAGAGCCCTTTACACTAAGGTCTGCTATATTTTGGGAGGGTAAGTGCGGTCCAACGCCACTTATCAATAATAGAAATTCTAATATCAATAATGGAAAGACAAACGTTTGTCATAACCCGCTCATGCGTCCCCAAGACCATCCTCCCTCTGCAACTGAGTAGAGAGGAAAGTAAGACACTGTTCCTCAGCCCAGCTATTTTCAACGAATCATGAAGAGGTTCCTTTCCAAGGCCAGCCCGCTTTCGACGAGCATTGGCACTGCCTTCGCTTATCCTCATTAGGATAACTCGGCCTGCACCCGTCCGGAATGACGAGTCTGACATGTATGGCTCGTTTGAAAAAGGAAGGCGTCTGCTGAAAAAGAACTGGATAGAGAGCGCAGCCAAGTTCTGGTCGGCGGACACCGGACGAGTCAGGAGGAGGGAGACGGGACAAGGGGGGGTGCGGTCTTCCCTGACGAACCGGACATCTGCGTGCCAAAAAGTGGTTATATTTAAAATGGCAATTGCAACTCCGCCTGGCCTTTCAGTGTGCATATTTCCGCGAAGCGGGAGCGAGGGACGGCCCTCCAAGCTGGCGATATCTCCCGTTCCGTTCTGATGGGCAGGCAGGCTTCTTCTTTCGCTCTCTGCCCCCACCTAATCCTTGCGCTTGCCCCCGGTCCAAGCTCTCTGCACGTCTCTCAACGAGGTAATCCTCCACCAAACGAACGACGACGTGATAATAAAGTCGCAAGTTTGATATACACTAACAAACGGATATTGGTCGCACGTGTCCAATATTTCTATTTCCTTGCCGATGGAGAGCCAAGCAGTTCCATAACCCCACCGATCCCAAAGACGGGTCACCAAGCCACCACCACCCAGAAACAGACCGGTTTACTTTGTGAGTTATGACGATCAGTTCCGGCTTTCTTTCCTTCAGACATGCCAGGAATATCAGCGACCCGCTTCTGGTCAACCAATTTAGGTCAAGGAGGCCTTGCCTTGCTCGCCCAAGAAAGCAGGCATTGGCGACCACACGGCACACAGATACAGCTCTCAACAAGGACGACCGCAACTGTTGCTGTCACCCTCCTCCGCTCCCCAGGTATCTGTTCCGGCGAGCCAATGACACCCTCGCTCCCCACATAAACTTGCGTGTTACTGCAGCTGCTGTCCTACAAGTATGGCGATCGATCGAAGCTTTCTCTCGAGAGGATGCATGTAATGCAAGTTGGCCCCCCCCCCCCTTCTTCTCACTCCCCAGACGTATGTAAGACATGGTGTTCGCGAATAGAGGAAAACCCGCCCATCACATAAATGGGTTAAAATATCGATGTTTACAGGGGGGAAAACAAGTTGGGGGTAATAAGATGCTGCGACCAGGCATGATTACGACAATGCTGCATCCGAAAACAAAAGGCTCGAAAAAGCTCACCACACACACCCCTCTCCGGCCAAAGAGCCAACTCACGTCCACCACGTTCACCACGTCTTCTTAACCCTTTCCGGACGCGCTTACATGAAGCCTGCCTGCCGGCTCCGCCCTGCGACGCCTTCTTAGGACGAGGATCCTTCCTCCTTTGTTCACATCCCGAGCGCAGGGATAACCTAAGAGGGGCGAAAAAAGATGGCCGAACATGGTCCCTTTCCCCCATATTTTCGTAGCTTTTTCTTCGTCTGACCCTCTCTTTTTGGGGTCGTTTCCTGCTTCATGCCATGTTCGTGACGTGGCAGCGTGTTCGTGGAGGGGGCGGTTCCATTTCGTAATGATACGACATGACAGGATTATCAACCATCATTTTTACTCTCTGTCTATTCTATTACTGCGAGATGCAAGTCAGAAATAAGTGGAAAAGGGCAATAGATATTTTGGGGGGACGAGAAATACACCAGATGACCAAGGTATACGAGGTTCTTCACGATATCATCGTACAGGTACTTTGGGGGGAGATGCTCTGGTTCCTGTTTCCTTTCCCTTGTCACACCCAGGGTGTCCAGACTGTCGGTTCCTCTTTTGGAGGATTTTGGGGGGGAAAGGGGGGGCATGGGAAGCAAGGATCATGGTTTCTCGCATTTTGTGGAGGATAATTTTGTCCAGTTTATTCCAAGTTAATATACCTCGATGCCGAACACCAGGGAAAGCTAGTCCAAACGACACCTCGTTCGGCATGTTCCAACCGGGACCTGAGGAAGATGCATAGTAGATGCGCTCGTCTACTCGTCGAATATCGGTCCCGGACGGTCTAGTGTTCGGCAAGCTCAAAGGAAAAAAAACTGGTGTCTTTTACTTTGTCGACAAGAGACTTGGTTCAGTTCCGTTTTCTTTAAGCTTCCTCGGAAGTGTCAACGGGCCACCGAGGGTCCGGGATCCAGTTTTTAGCGGAGAAAGCCAGATAATTCTGGACAGCCCGCGCGTGCCGCTCCGGCCGTAACAATAAGACTATGAAACGACGGGGATGTGCCGACTAAGCGGACCAGGATCTCAGCAGCCACGAACCACGGCCCAAGAGTGCACCAAGAAAAAAAATAATCATAACGATGCCTAGGCAATAGCTCACATCTCCATTTTGGTTCGCCTTACTCTGACGGCTCTCCAGCTGGAGGCAGGAGGGAAAAAGCAGCCATAAGGAACATCCTCTAGAAGTGAGGATCGAGGTGGATCCAAGGGACCAGATCTCTCTTCAGCTAATGGCGAAAGATTGCGTATCTACGTCAAGAGAAGATGTTGGCCATCGGTCGGAGAAACAAATTCAAGAGAATAGATAGATAGACCGAGCGTCCTTGGTAGTCGGCCATGTCCCCCGCGATAAGACATGACCGTCCCAGGCACCTCAAGGCCCGAGTTGAAGCCATCTTGACCCAAGATTCTCAGAATCGAAGATTCTTGAAGGAAGAAAGGGTGATTGTATCAGAGGTCCATGAAGAGACAAGCAAGCTCAGCAATTGCTGTCCGCGATCCCAGTCCCAAGGCCGGACGCCCTATCAAAGGGCTAAAAAGAGAGGTTCACCACATCAACCAAGCATTTCTCAACCGTGTCGATGATGAAGCGCGGATGTAGTGAAAACAAACCTTGGAGGTCTGTAGCCACGTCGCGAGCTACCGGTCCAAGGGCTGAATGATCC